CGCTTAAAGCACACTATATTTTGTACTCCGTTTGAACGCTGAATTTTGCCATACTTCAGACGACCATAACATCGGGGGTATACAAATGTACATAAAATAAAATAAATCCTTTCAACGAGCAATTCTTCCTATTTATCATGTAAAAATATTATTTTTTGCCCGTGAAAAGTGAGTGCACCAGACTAAAAAATATATAGCGTGCATTTTCACGGAGTTCAGCCATTTTCTTTGCTGTACTCCTACTGCAAATCACACGCTATTGGGACAAAACTCGACGTTTTTGATCTTTCCTTCTGTTTTGATTCATTTAAATATGTCAATTTTAACTTAAAAATTACCCTACCTTATTTAACAGTTGGTTCATACGTCAGCGTGCGTTCATCGAGATATGAAGCACTTGGGAAGTTTGGAGAGCACGAAAGATGCGTAAGAGTTGCTCGAGGCGTAGCACTCATTTTGCCACTTTTTACTTCAGATAGCAGCCTAGGACAATCTGTGTGAAGATTTCCAAAGATGTATTCAATAAGTTTTATGAGTAAATTTAAAAACTGTATATGTTTGTGCTGCTAATTTTAAGCTCGTCTTGCTAACTTAACAGCAATAACAATCTAATACAAAATCGAGTCTATATTATGAAAAATTAGGGTGATGGTAATTAGTAAACCTCAGTATTCGATATATAATAAACTCTTATTCAGGTAATTTTACGTTACTTCAGAGGTAAACATTAATAGATACACTACCTATAAGACACACAGGCACAGAACCATACCAGGCACCTGTGTTATTGCAATATAGAGCATACTGTCCAACCAATGAACATCCATCATCGCAAGTAAAATGATGCTTGGAGCCCTCTACGGAACCAGTTTCGTTTCCTTTTCCATTTGGTATGGACGACGGAAGGTTGGGACAATCTGTGACCATTGAAGAAACAATAATTGAATTAAATCTGCAGCAGCATTTGACGCTTCTAGATAAATTTAGAGAAGAATCACCCCGTGACTCATCCATTCCTGCAAATAGTATCACCAAACCTAAACCTAGTTCCATACACAAATAACTTATCAATAGTATTCCTAAGTATTCCTGACCTTGACTTTTTCGTTACGTGAGCACTCATTTATTCATATACTGCAACAAGTCTTTTATTCCCCCCCCTCCTCCCATATTCGAACTTGCTTTGCTTGAAAATAGAATTAGATACAGTCACAATAATTCTTAGTCAGGCATATTGGTTCACAATATTTTAACGAGGGTCAGGAAAAAGGGACGCTATTACAGAACTGTTAACCGATATTTAAAGTTTTTTGTTGTGCTGAATATCTTAAAGAGTTTTTGTAGACAAAAACTTCTGGCAGGTCTCCACTAGGTACTCAGATTACCATGAAGTTAACAGAAAGTGCTACATAGGCGGAGTTTAAAATAATCGAACTCTCATGCGTCCGTACCTTCGAGACACGTGGGAACGGAGGCATTCCATTTTCCCTGATCGCTACATTGAAGGGTGTTTGCCCCCACAAGAGAGTATCCTTCCTGACAACTGAACCTGTTCTGAGATCCCTCCACCGACTCACTCCCACTAACGAATCCATTTGGTATGAATGGTGGAAGATTAGGACATTCTGAAGAAAGAAGAAATAATGTGGAAAGTCATTCCTTCGAAGGAGCTCATTAGACCATGGGTTATCTAAATTCTTGAAGCTGATATTTGCAGTCCACTTCGTCCTTCTCTATCCTTGCTCCTTCTTGATTTGTGATTGACTGACTCATTTGTGTTTTTTCTATCTTCTCAAACATGATTTTGAACCGTCTTTATAATTGAAGGTTTACTTCTCTACATAATAAAAAATGACTCAATGTAACTTGACGTAGCTCTGGTAAATTACGTCCGTAAAGGATATGAGCGCAAGTTTAACTAAGGGGGGTAATTTTTAAAATATCCCTACCTACATCTCTAAAACCAAAAATAGCGTTAGTGTTAGCTGTTATCATAACATCAGACCTCGTAACCCAATGGAACACATGTTTTGCAGTTCGCATGTAGCTGCATCATAAAAACATCACAAAACTTTGCTTAATTGAATTCCCGTGTGCCCCATCACCACATACATAAAATAATCAATATTTCTGTATTCCCCATATTTTCCTGACCTGATTCATTTTCTTTGGCTGCAAATGCCGTGTATACCATGGCTTTTGAGGGCGATCCATCGTCTGCTAATATAGACTCCAACGACCCTGCAGAGTGAAGTACACCCCTTTCCCTTTTAAAATGAAGTATTCCCCATATCCGTTGAACGTGAATGGCTTATTATTCGGACGAAAACAAAACAAACTGGGTCCAGTGAATGAAATCGAGGCAAAGTTATCTTTTGTGTTTCAACTTTACATTGATTAGCCTCTCTTTTTCCTGCTTATTCGAGTTAACTTCAGCGATAACCAAATTTGAATTTGTGGGGCTCTACCGTTTTTTTAGACGCAAAAGCCATTCCCTTTAAGAAGCAGCGATAGATCAGTCCTAAACGCGATAACGCAACAACTGTAATAACAACACGTTAATCTGTTCCTTCCCGAAGACGTATGGAGTTTAGGTCAGTCTCTAATAAATACCTCTTAATGTGTCTGGATTAGATTCCTTCTGATGCCATTTACATCTCCTTTCTGCCCACGGCGCATTCTTCTAAGAAATCACTTCACTCCACACCCACTGAGACTTAGATAAGTTGCTGTAGCTGTTTTTTTTGACACTCCAACAAGATTGATAAAACGATCATCAATGTTCCTAGAAAATAACAGTGAAACGAGAGGATTAGCTTTGAGAAAAAACACCCAAACCAATCATTACCTCGAATATCTTTTGACATCAAGAGCCTGAATTTTTTTGATAAGGAGTAAAAAACATGGATCCTCCTCCTTTCTTTTTACTCGCGCGACGGAATTTACAAAAAGGGGGACAGCTTGTAGGCTTTTTTTTTCCCTTACCGAGTGATGGGCCCATCTTTTTCTAAGGGCCCGGCGCAGTGATTTAAAAAAAGTATGGCTGAGTAAGTCTGAATAGACTGTACGCAGCTACTGCGTCAAACACTAAAGCACATCCAATCTTGACATAGCTACACACTCGACCAGTGACAGTTAGCCGCTGTGCATTCTCAGCTGTTTCAGGCATCTTTTCCTCACTTGAGCATGTCGACTCTTCTTTGATAGGACGAACTTTCATTTGCAGGACCGACGAATACAATTTGGCCCTCACGGCAGCATCTCTCTTCAATAGTTCTTTGTCAGCCTCAGCTTTCAGCCGAAATCTTTGGGCGTCTTTTTTGGCTTTGTAACACATTTCTTCGACAGCGTCCAAGTTGTCAAAGTACTTGTCAGCATTCTTCTCGAGTTCGCGGAATTGTCTTACAACTTTTTCATAAACACTTTCGTCTTTACCAGGCACTTTACTCGGATATATTTCCATTTTGCCGCCAGTTGTTGTTGAAACCAGTTTAGTTGTGATTACCGAAACAGAACACTTTTCTTTCTGACACAAAACATTCAGTTTTCGCTGTCTCCCTCTCCTTTTGTGACAGTAAACTGACTATGTCCAGAATTAAGTTGATTGTTTACTACTTCGCGGAAGCTGTCCAGTACGGGGGACATCGTCATGTCCCATTTCAAAGCGAGCCAAATCAATCGACACTTCCTCGTCTAGTCCTCCCATGCTTCCCGAATCCCAACTAATGTCCACAGTGGAATCCACCTGTCACGTATTACCGTCCTCTCGCTGGGCCTCGGGAGTGTATCGATTTATGGGAACTTGAACAAAAGAGATAATATTTTTTAATGTTTCTTTTAGAAAAGGAAGAAATAGAACGACCCGGAAACTTGAACAAAGCCAATGGTGCATGTTGCCTTTCAAATATCTTGCAAAAATCTGAGGGCCTTGTGAAGATTCGAACCTCACCGAGGTTCCATTTTGCGATCGGATATTCTACCACACCCGGAACTATTTGAGCCAGACATGGCTCTTTGATGAGAACTTGTGGATCCCATGGCCAGAGCGACTCGAGTGGAGATTAAAAATATATATATATTTCAAATTTTGAGCTTGGTTGTCCAACAAAGACGTAGACGTAAGATCGTTCGTCTAAAAAAAATAAAATTCCTACTCCTTCTTTTTAGTTTTTCCTTAAATTTACACTTTTAACTGATGAGAGAAGTGAGCTCAACGGACAATTTGAAAGACTGTAGTTGATGAAATACCTGATGTGTATACCTTTATGACCAAATACCTGAATGACAGCCGTAATGTCTTGTTCAACACTAGTATGGTAACTGATGACGTAAGCTCTTCGCTGAAAGTTGCATTAATGTTGACGTCATTGTCGAGTTGAACCACAATGTTATCATTTGCAGTGAAGCAAGTTCCACTCATTTTCGCGTTTGTACCTCCTAATATAAACAGGGTGATATGGTGAGAGATCCTGTTAAATAAGAAGAAGGCAGATGAATGCAATGCTTGGGTAACGTATAACGGAAAAATGGTACTGGAGTTTCAATTGCAGCTCGCGATGACTGAAATTTCTGCCAGGAACTGTTTAGACGAGAGTGGCCACTCCTCAGTTATCGGCAAAGTCAGTCGCACGAGTCCAAAAAAACATCAGCGAGGAAAAACTGATGATAGTGCGCCTACTGAACGTGGTTAAAATTTGCGGTTCTTCATTTGTTGGATCCTTTTTTTTTTAAACGACACATTTTATGGAGCAAAGTCAGTACAATCTGTAACACTTCATGCTTCGCGGTAAAGATTGCAAGATGATTGCAGGGGAATGCACGCCTTTTAAAAAACGAAGTTAAGAAACAAAAACTGAGGAGGATAAAATTATTATTTCCGTACAGTTTTAAGTCACTTTCCCAAAATTTTGTTGGTCTGTTCCATTTACTCCCTATTTAGATTTTTTAAATTCAAGTTATTTTTCTCTTTTTAGGTGTATTAGCTGAATGTCCTACGACATCTACAGATCTATGCCTATGAGACCGTAATGTTTCTTTGAACTATACTTGTGTTTGCAAATTGTACCTTTTGTGTTGCATCCCCCAGCCTCCACACTTGCTTCATGGGTTCGGAACATCCATGGCAACTGACCGTCTCGAGCAACGTTTGAGGTAGAAGGAAGATCGAGGATGTCATTTGTTCGGGAGCTGGGGATAACGAAGAACCTCACCCCATCTCCAGCATTAAACCCGTCCTCCAATTCAAAGTCAAATTTACAGTCAATTCCATACAATTATGGTAAGATCTTCATCATTGTGTAATATTTCGGTCACAGATGCAGATAGAGGAAAGGGTTCAACTCTACTCTATGAGTAATCTTTTCCAAGCGAGCTCAGTGCATGAATAAGTACCTTTCTCTTGGGCGACGTTTTAACCTTTTTTAGAGTCACAACAATGAAGGTGTCATGTTTATAGTTCATTGAATTAAGTCGTTCCAAAGATATTTGAGTATTCCATTAGCCATACGTTCTTTAGTAAAAAGATTTTTGAGAAGTGCAGACTCTCATTTAAGATATGGCACGAGTATGAGGCCCTTGAGATTAGAACTGGAGAGCAAAATGGGCGTAAAAGAGGTCTGAGAGGGGTCTTATTTTAAGGGCAGAACCCTCCCAGACTCTTTGCAAACGGCTGGGCTCGAAACCTGCGGGCTTCGCCGCTCCCGTCGTAGCACTCTTGTGCACCCGCAGGCTACATGGATTATTTAAGCGTTTCGCGGGGAAAATTCAGTCATTCTAAATCGGTCAATGTAATTTTGTTTTACAACTCTCTGTAAAATATCAATGCTTTCATTGAATTTTCTGTGTGATTAGTAGTGTAACTAGGTTTATTTTAGTTACCCTTTTCTCGGGGTATAGTGCTGCTGCATTAGTTGAGGAATACGTATCCACATATTTTTGGCCACTTCTAGAGAGTGGTTTTTTAGTGGTTTTTCGTATCTGGCGTAGCACAGCCTATTTTTGTATAACCCTTCAGTTTCAGTGAATACTTGCAGTACATTGCAGATTGTAGTAGGATGTGTAGACAACAAGACTGGCTGACTCGTCCTAAATAAACTTTCACATTGAATATCTCGCCTGCGTGTAGTCAGAATAGTTATCTTTCATTATTACCTTGTTATTAAATTCTCCTTCAGCTCCATAGAATGAAACTCTGTCGCAGGTCGCTATGTAAATCCACGAGGCTTAGAATTTCTGGTGATGTACGAATCCTCGTCGAACATCCTTTCTAGCTCGGTCTAGCAATACAGGGTCAATAGAATCGCTGTATAATACAGTTCCTCTTTTTCTGGTGTCCACGTCACCCCAAAAAGGCGAAATAACGCGTCGGTTGTCCCCCAGGGGGAATGGAGCTGGGTTGTATTGACCCACTGCACCCAGAAGTAAGATAACTCCATTTTTGTTCACCTGAAATCACACACGCACAGAAAAGATAAATCAGAAATGAAAATTCTGAAGTCGATAATCTTCTGGGAAGTTCAGTCGTGTAAAACATGATTCTTCACAATTTCCCCTGGTAAATTATTTCATTTTACAATACACGAGTTTAATCATCTTGGGACTCTTACACAATAATCCTAAAATCGAATTATTTGTCCCTCAAACAAAGTTGAATTTTACGCGCTTTGTAAGCCTTACCAATACATAGTTTTACCAACATTGTTAAAGGGCCAGGGGAGTGGATGTTCTGTGTACACGCCTGACCTAGTCATCATTTCGTAACTAATTTTATTGATGAGGATTAATGCTACTGTAACAATAAGTATGAACACAAAGTGTGAAAGATTACGGAGAAGTACTAGAGCAGTGGGAGACCAGCTGCCAATCTTTTTCGGGTAATTAAATTGATATTCAACAGTTTTTAAGTTCTGAGTTAGTTTTAGATTGTCATTGTAACATTTCAGGTCGCTTAACAGTCTAGTCCAGTGGAAAATCTTCCTCCACTGAAACTATTGAAGGTCTTCAACGACAAGTACATTTTGTACAACATCATACTCAGCCCAATTGAGTTCTTCTTCTTTTGGGGGGGGGGGGGGGGGGGGGGGGAGAGGAAGTAGGGCTGGCATTGTCAAGAACACGAAGCTCTGAACGACACGCTTTTTAGGGCGTTTCGAATACTTAGCAAATAAACTAACAAGATTACTGTCGTCAATGTCGGGGCGTAACAAAAACTTTTTCGTAATGGAAACGTAGTCGGATTTGGGAGAAAGTAAAATGCGGAAGTTGACCTTGCAATATGACACAACGTTAGGCTAAAACACCAAAACAAGTCCTCTAGTGCCTCAAAAGATTGGAGCTTCAGTTTTCTCCTTATTTCCCTCTTCTTTTATACATTTGTACAGGAATATATGAACTTAATTAGTATTCTGTTCATTCCTGACACACTTTACAAGTTTCTAGCTTCCAACATATTCACAACAGCCAGCTTATTTTTTATGGATCTGAGATTTCCCTTAATTTTGTCTGGACTGTAGAAATAGTTGGACAACAACCACAAACTGCTTAAGATGTTCAAACGACCTCCGCAAATTAACGAGTATGCTACGACAACTTCTGAAGATAACTGGAGGTGTCTAAGACAGTTTAAGGATAATGCGAGAGGGAGATTGCCAAACAAAACCCTGATTATTTTTAACCGCTTATACGCGAACGAAGAAGTAGAATGAATTCATAAAAAGTCGGATGTATAAGTCAGAAGCAAAAATTGCTGTAGTAACAGGAAATCGATCTCAACGGATGAAGTTTACACAAAATTGGCGAGTATGGATAGTTACCTACATATCAAAAGCAACATCTTAGAATCCTCACGTAAGATCGTGACCAGGAAGTGATTATATTAACTTTAGACTTAAAGCAATCCCTCTTCCCAGAAGAAAATTTTTTGCGTCAATTTTAATATCTTAAACAATATCGAGTCGTTAACAGGAGGTTTCGATATATCGATGAGAGTTACATATCGTTCCTAGGTTTGAAATGCGGTGATAAATATGATGATGATGATGATGCCACCACTGATAACAATACTACTACTTATAATACTACTTCTATTAATGATCATTAAACTTTGATTCTGATAATTTTCTATTATTCTGGGAGTGAAATGGTCATCATGTGTTCCCCAACATCACTATAAGTAAACATTTTTCGACATTTAACAAATGTCATCTCAAAGTGATAAATCTAAAAAGTATATTCTAACATAGACACTCGCAAAAAGAGCCTACCAACAGTGGGCTCAAGTTTTTCAGAAGTGTGCTTTGCAAACAGCATAGACTTGCCAGCCCGGCTGAGTCCAATTGCAATCACAAAGTATGATGGCCTGGGTGCAGAAAATTCCCTGTAGCAGATTGTTTGATAACACAGCACGGTGTAAATACAGTCTCTTTTTCCTAACGTTATACATGAAAGCCAACTGACCCAACCTCCTGGTACATGCGGCAAATTACATCCAAGGGGATTGGTTGAATACAATCTTTATAAGCGGGTGGGGGGTGGGGAGAAGGAGGAGGTAGTTTTCAGTCAAAGGGTTATTTCTATGCCAATAAAATCTCTCTAGAAAATGAACCTTCACTATAAATATGTGCATCCCATCTTCTGGACAGAAGAGGAAAGAAAAGAAAGACTATACACCCAGTCTCCCGGTCATACTTGCATAATGCTATATATCTCCATGAAAAATAAAACTTTTGGACAACTTATTCGTCTGCCAATGTACGCTATGTAAATTGTTGCTTCATGAAATAGAAATGGGCAAAAACACAAAAACAAAACAACTATAACTGGATGTTTGCAATCAAATCTTGAGAAAATTAGATAACATGATATCTTTGATTAAAAGTGATAATCTTCATTTTCCGTCTGATGGATGACACACATTATCACTGTTTATCTCTTAGTTAGTACATGTAATATGACTGGTCAATTTAGCAGGATGTATTTCACTTTGCAGCCAGCTAAATTCAAAAGTTTGTTTGAATTGGATTCTTCCCTTCCCGTCTGTTTGATCTTATAGTAGAACATAACACGAACGCGATAAGTAAGAGGAATAGATACAAGAGGAAAGAACTTGGCAAGAGTGAGTTAATTTATTGCTGTGGACAGACCAAAAACATTTGCTACTCTCGATCTCATTCCAACTCTTTTAATTTTCCTTTCCCATATGTATGACCAGAGATGACCAGTGACAGAGAGGATAACAACAATTTGCTCTACGGGGAGAAATTTCGAAAGAAATGGAAAAAATGTGAAAGGGAGCCAAATTCTCTTTGCATATAGGTGGCATGTAATAAATAAAGGCTGAGGCCAATTATTTATTACAGTGCAAATGGGAAAAATAATAAGCTGTCTTGCCTGCCGAGTAATCGATCTAGATGTTTCATCAAATCATTAACAGAAAGGCTAGTGAATCTTTATTGGTATGTCTCACGTAAGAAGGCTGGTAGTACATGCGAAGAAATACACCTGTTTGTGAAAATGCAAAATTATGAAAACAGATTAAAAGAAAGTTTCGTCTCGTCTCTTACTTTATGTTTTTCAAAATATTGTCAAACTCTTTAGATCATGCGAGTTATTCATTTGTTTTAAGCCTGAGCCTTGATAGGAAATGTCTACATGGTCTACTTGCATCAAGCGGAAGCTGGCATATATAGGAAACCCAATTTCCTTAATAAATAGAATGCGCGATAGATACCCTTTGATGGCTTTAGCAGCTCATCGGATAATTTCTATAATACATACATTGTTTTAAAGTCAAAAGAAGAGCATTGTAAATTGTACCTTGAAATAAATATTGATAACGTTTAACTTCTTGTGAATTGATCTCGACTCGTTGAGCGGCAGTTTTGCTCACTTACATGATATCTTTTCTCAATTCGGTAACAACGTTTCTGGGTGTGGAGATCCACTTTTAAAATTGAATTGCTTCAAGACCGTAAGTTGATGGAGCTTATCGCCCTGCGTGGATTTTCATCAATATTCCCCTTTAAGTTAAGGTCGCCACTTGAAAAATTAACTTAAAAAGACATTTCAAACATTGAGTGAAGTACTAAGGAAGGATCTCTTGATATCGCGTTAAGTTACGGCGGGAATATTCAAGCGTTTAAAGGGGGCTCTTATAAGAGTTTCCTCAAAGACGTGACATTCTAAATCCAGAAAACATAGTTAGGGTCTACGGAAGTCTTTCATTTACACTACGCCCACAGGATCTTTAGAGCGATCGTTTTGTGGAGCAGTGGTACATTTGTCTTCACTATCCACAGGTACTTTAGGTCCCTTCACAACTTCCAATTCTGCCTCTTCGTCACCCTTCGCGGTTGTTGTATCTTTTTTACCTGATCTCCGTCGACACCAAATTACCAACAGGCCAATTGCGATTATCAGAATTAGGATTGCGACACCATTCAGGACGTTAAGGTACCAGCCGTTTGTATCCTTTTCTTCTTTATCTGTATGAGCTGAGGTAAATTGAAAGTTGTTCAGTAAGGGGGGAAGTACATATAAAAGACTTTCAGAGGTATTTTTATCTATGCTTGGAACACTGCCACCACTGCTATTAGTTCACGCACTCGCACCAAGATGACGCAGCCCCTACCACTCACATTAAAATGATTTTAATTGGCATCAAAACTATCAACACTACACAATCACCATAGTTGCCAATATCACCGCTGCCACCGCAGTCAAGCAATAATCATCACTACCAACTATGCCACGAATGCAGATAACTTTAACATCGCTATTGCTACCTACCCTCCTTCTATGAAGAGCATTATGGGAACACCGCTTTCACAACCAGCAAAACATCCACCACCACCAATACCAAAAGAACTGTTAACTGTTAATGCCACTACTTCCTTTGTTACTACTGTTGCTACAACTAATTTCTAATTTTTTGCGAGACACAACTCGATTTGGTGTCAATTATAACAAAGCATTAGTGCATAACAGGTCGGCCGTTGCAAAATGAAATCAAACAGGAAACTGAGAGTTTAACGTACCCTTTAAACATACAGGAATGCTACCATTCCATTGTCCCTTTTCATCACAGCGCAGCGAGGTTTCTCCATCTATGCTGTATCCTTCATCGCAAAGAAAGCTATACACTACACCTGATGTGGATCCATTACCATCAATGTGCCCGTTTTCTAGAGTGCGGTTCATTTGAGGACAATCTTAGAAAAAGAATGTGTAGCTGTGTTAGCGTACAGCTTTCTGACATATTAATGTTCTTAGGTAAGCGTCTAAACTCGTGTGTAGGTAAGTAATTTTAACAGTAATAGAGCAGTGGTATTGGCTGCTTTAAGAGTTATTCCCAATGGTCATGGTTTATCTTGTGAGCATGTCTTCATCAAATTTAAATTTAAAACATATTTACTTACCTTTTAGACAAGAAGGTGTTGTACCATTCCATTGGCCATTCTCATCACAATGGAGGTACCTGTTTCCTTCTAGAGAATAACCATTAGCACAGCTAAACCAGACCGAAGAGCCTTCCACGGACCCACGGCCGTGTTTATAACCATTCTCTATGCCAGCAGCCAGTGAGGGGCATTCTATCGAGGGAAAAATCACATAAAGAAAAAAGAATTGGAAAACAGGCAATAGATGGCTAAATCTAAAAATAAATATCACTGAGGAACACGTTATGGGCAACCACAGACATTGTTCCGGCAGTTTGTTCGACCCACGGCCATGTTTATAACCATTGTCCTTGCCAGCAGCCAATGAGGGACATTCTATCAAGGGAACAAATTATGAAGAAAAAAAATTGGAAAACACAGGCTATAGATGGCTAAATCTAACAATAAATATCATTTCTCTCCCAAGAGTTCCAGTGCAAGAGAAATAAATCGAAAAGTCAATGTAAGTAGTTAATATCTAGCAAACTCCCTTTATCAAAGGAAAGGATTGACCTTTGACCACACATTCTTGACATACCTATGAGACAGGTTGGAAGCGAGCTATTCCACACACCAGAATCCGTGCAAACTAATGTGTCCGCACCAATAAGAGAGTAGCCCTCCTGACAACTGAACTTATACTGGTTACCTTCCAATGAGCCGCTACCGTTAACAAAACCATGCGATATTGATGAGGGAAGAACTGGGCATTCTGGAAAATAGACATAGATATGTTCTTTGTTTAAAATTAACCTCGATCTTTAAATTCCCAACTGACGCAATAAGACAAAAAACCTGCAAACAGTAAAGGCTTCGGTGGGGTAGTAACACAGGAATACTGCGATACCGTTACCATGCTCTTCCAACCGGGATGTGAAACCACACAATCGAACTAAGATCAATCTGGGTCCATGGCCAGAAGGAGGAATATCCAATTTCATACGACAAAAGCCAAAATTACCAAGAGTTCGAATAGCAAAATATATACTAAATGTAATAGAAACTGCTTGTTACATCCACAACAATTAATAGGCAATACATTGTTACTATGTAAAGTGATTTTTGTTTGTACCTCTAAGACAGTTAGGGACACTGGCGTTCCATACACCCATTTTAGTACAAAATAAAGTATCATGTCCGACAATAGAGTAACCATCCATGCAACTAAAATTGTACATAGACCCTTCCACGTGACCTGATCCATTAACTGCTCCGTTTGCAAGATTCGAAGAAAGTTTTGGGCACTCTAGATAAAAAGACGACAAATACAAAATTTAATAACGTAATTATCCCATATGAGGGAGGTAAGATTAGTAACCGAAAATCAATTTCTCATATACCTATTAGGCAGGTTGGGAGTGAGCCATTCCACTCCCCGGCATCCGTGCAAACTACTGTGTCCGCACCAATTAGAGAATACCCCTGCTTACAACTGAAGTTGTACTGAGCACCTTCCAATGAGCCACTTCCATGGATGAAGCCATTTGCCAACAATGAGGGAAGCACCGGGCACTCTAGGGAATAACAAAATAAGGTTGCCTACGTAGAGAACACTCCCGTACAGTTCAACTAACAGGATGATTATCCTTAACAATAACAACCAAGATTTTTAACAAGGTCCAGAAGAGGAAGACAGACCTCAGTTGACAAGAGGCTAGCACTGTCATATTAGGGCTAAACATTTCGGTTGACTGTGAATATGCACGTACCTCTAAGACAGGAGGGAAGCGAGTCATTCCATATCCCAGCATCCGTGCAAACTAAATTTTCCGCACCAACAAGTGAGTACCCTTTTTCACAGCTAAACTGATACTGGGATCCCTCTAAATAGCCTTTACCCTTGAAGAAACCAAGACTCTTGTGGTGGCCTCCGCTCTGGATGAAACCATGCGGTATAGAAGGCGGTAGGATAGGACATTCTGAAAGACACATGTAATGACATTCAAAAGCCCTTTAATTATAGCTTTAAATCACGAGAATGATTCATAGTAAAAAATCAAGACATTTTTAGAGATCCGGTCCCCTAGCGGTTGGCGCGCTGAAGTCCGGGTCGAGAGGTCTGGGTTCAAGATTTGGCCGGGCCATTGAGCTATATGGTCATAGGCAGAACACTTTATTCTCATGGTGCTGCCTCTCTCACCTAGAAGTAAAAATCGGCACCGGCAAACTTTCAAGAAAACTCAAACTTTCAGGATGAGAGTGGCAATATTCCTCGTCGCTTCATTTTACAGAAAACGGGATAAGCTACGGCTGGATGGATGACTTAGCTCGACTGCAGGCTTTTACTTTGCATACAACATTACGCAAACAATTCAAAAGGCACTTACCTCTGAGACAAAGGGGGACACCTGCGTTCCATCTTCCCATTTGAGTGCAATACAGAAGATCTTGACCCACGATAGAGTAACCATCGTTGCAGCTAAATTTGTACAATGATCCCTCTACGAAACCTGTTCCATTTATTTCGCCATTTTTTATTTCAGATGGCAGCTTAGGACAATCTGTGTGAAGATTTCCAAAAATGTATCCGATAAGTTTTTTATGAGTCAGTTTGAAAACTGTATAGGTTTGTACTGCTGATTATAACCTCGTGTTACTTACCTGACAGCAATAACAATCTAATAGACAGTAGAGTCTTTGCATTATGAAAAATTAGGGTGATGGTAATTAGTAAACCTCAGTATTCATTTTATCAGAACTCTTGTTCAGCAAGGGTAATTTTACGTTACTTCATAGGCAAACATTAATAGATACACTACCTATAAGACACACAGGCACAGAGCCATTCCAGGCACCTGTGTTATTGCAATGTAAAGCTCTCTGTCCAACCAGTGAATATCCCTCATTGCAAGTAAAATGATGCTTGGAGCCCTCTACGGAACCAGTTCCGTTTCCTTTTCCATTCGGTATGGACGACGGAAGGTCTGGACAATCTGTGGCGATCGAACCAACAACAACTGAAATAAACTTGCCACAATGTTTGACTCTTCAGGATAAACTTTAGATAAAATCACTCGGTGACTCTTGTATTGCTGCAAACTATGTGACCAAAACTAAACATAGTCCATACACAACGAATTTTTCGTTACGTAAACACTTATTTATTCCTAGACCGTAACAACTCCTTTATCCAACCCCCTCCCCCCATAATAGAGCTTGTCTTGCTTGGAAAATAGGATCAGATACTGTCACAATATTTCTTAGTCAGGCATATCAGTTCACAATAGTTTCTTCGATATTTTAACGAGGGTCAGATAAAAAAAAAAGTAGCGCTATTACAGTACTGTTAACTAATATTTAAAGGTTTTGTCATGCCGAATATCTTAAAGAGTTTTTGTAGACCCTTGAATGTAATCATTTTGCGGTTATTTTTTACCACTTAATTACAGCTACCTTTGAGACAGCTGGGAAGGCTGGAATTCCAGTTTCCGCCCACAGAGCAAACTAACGTTTTCTCTCCAATAAGGGAGTAGCCCTGCAAACAACTAAATCCATACACGGAGCCTTCCAAGAAACCTGAGCCGTTGACAAATCCATTAGGTATTGATGACGGCAGTTGTGGACATTCTGAAAATAAGATTACTTAAAATGAAAAATCCGAAAAACTCGTATAATTCAGGGGGAGAAAAAAAAGAAATGAAGAAAAATCAAGGATCACTTTGCTTCATGATAGCGCGCAACGTAACAACCATGGACAGGAAACATGAGATGATAAATTCATTTTCTTGAAAACTAAACCTGTGACAAGTGGTATATTCAGCGAATTGCGGGCTACGAATCACACAAGGTTCCTTTAGGAAAAACTAGGGATAGATATCTCTTGAATTTCTCAAGCACCAGGAAAATGGTTTCAGGCATCGGAAGCGGGGCACAAAAACGAGTGAAATGAAGTAACACAAAAACTCTGGCAGGTCTCCACTTGGCACTTACATTATCATGTAATTAACAGAAAGTGCTACATAGGTGGAGTTTAAAATAATCGAACTCTCATGCGTCCGTACCTTTGAGACACGTAGGAACGGAGCCATTCCAGTTTCCCTGATCGGTACATTGAAGGGTGTTTGCCCCCACAAGAGAATATCCTCCCTTGCAACTGAACCTGTACTGAGATCCCTCCACCGATCCATTCCCACCAACAAATCCATTTGGTATGAATGATGGAAGACGAGGACATTCTGGAGAAAGAGATAATAATGTGGAAAGTCATTCCTTCAAAGGAGCTCATTAGTCCATGGGTTATCTAAATTCTTAAAGCTGATATTTGCAGTCCACTTCACCCTTCTCTATTCTTGCTCCTTCTTAATTTGTGATTGAATGACTCATTTGTGTTTTTTCTATCTTATCAAACATGATTTTGAATCATCTTTATAACTGAAGGCTCGCTTCTCTACCTAAAATTAATGACTCAATGTAACTTGACGTAGTTCTGGTAAATTGCGTCGATAAAGGATTTGTGCGCAAGCTTAACTAAGGGGGTAATTTTTGAAATATCTCTACCTGCATCTCTACGACCAAAAAAAGCGCTGGTGTTAGCTGTTTACATAACATAAGACCTTGTAACTTAATAAAACACATGTTTTGCAGTTCGGAAAATGCAAAACATGCGGCAACGATTTCTGCAATAGGTGTTGTAACCACACGCCATTTGTCAAATTTAATTTGAGTTAGATATCTGTACCTCTCATACATATGGGAACACTGGCATTCCACCTTCCCTCATCGGTACAGTGTAAAGTGGCTTGGCCTACCAGAGAGTAACCGGGGCGACAGCTAAACCTGTGGTGTGATCCTTGCAAGTGACCCGAACCATTGACTTCGCCGTTTGATATTGAAGAAGGGAGCCCTGGGCATTCTGCAAGTATTTAAGGCAACTCTTAGGTCATTTAGAACAATCGATCATGAGATCGTATAATCATATCTAAAACTATTTTCCCTTAATTTTACCGGGAATTGTATTACGCCGTCTCTTTAGGTTTCCAAGGCAAATTATCCTTCGCAATTAGAATTTTTGGCGAGCCAGTTTTTTCCTGACGGAGTAAAATTCACTTTTTTTGTCCCAATAACTAAAAAACATCTCGATTTTTAGCGGAAAATGAAGAATTGAAAATACATTTGTTCTAGTTTCATTTTCTTGAGGTAATTTTTATCCTTACTGGTTTTATTTCAACAGCATCACTTTCATGACAACATGATCTGATCGGCTGTTATTTTGAACCAACTTAGCGACAAAACGGAGAAAAATAACCATTTGAATTGAGGATGGAGTTTATCATGATCTCCATTGTTTAAAAAGATCTCATGGTCATTTGCGAATTGAAAGCGAACTTATTTTCTCGTTAATCGAGATCAAGGATAGAGAAACGACAGTCAAGGAACTGGAATCGAGGGAAGGAGGATCGGGTGTCAAGAATGTGTTAAATCGTTACGCGAGGAAGTGACTTGGACTCTAGTCACCTGGAATAAAGTGAATGTAGTGAAATTAGAGTGAGCCTAATAGAGGGAATTACTTTTTTGATGAGTTACAAAGATAACACAATTTGACTACGTGAAATGCAATAACCACGAGGTGATTTGCATAGTTTAGCTTTGTGATCAAGGACAAAACTGAGGATGTATGCATTAACACTGGAAAGTTGCACGTATATAATTTTCAAAGAATGCAGTTTAACTTCTCCTTGTCTTCAAAAAAATTGATGATTTCATTATGATCGATCCTTAAACATCCATCCTCGATCCTTCATTCCTAATCCTTGATCCGCGATCGTTCTTTTCTAGGAAACCCATCTAATGTATTAAGGCTGAACTTGATACCTCGCAAACAGACGGGTTTTGTACCATTCCATGAGCCATTCGCCTTGCATGTCACGGTACTGTCACCAACCAAGACATATCCACCGTTGCACAGGAAATGATACGTTGAGAGATAAACACTGCCGTTCCCGTGAAAGCGACCATTCTTAAGATGCCAAAGACGAACTGGGCATTCTTTTAAAGAGGAAATCAAAATGTGTAATGTTATCACTCGGTCATTTGATTAATTTTTTTCTGCCTTTCAAAGGTAATTACCTACCACGGGGACATCAGTGACACACTCACCATCTACCTGTGCCTCTTTCCGTTCTTATTTACAGTAAGACTTAAGTGACCGGTCATTATTATCTCCTATGAGGGGAGGCGGGGTTCAATGGAATATGGCTGAGTCCCGATATAATTTGCTTGATCCCCCCCTATAGATAGCTCTGTAATATTCATATGAATATTTCCCCTCATTAGCAGTTAATTGGCAGTCAATGATCTATAGTTCCCCCCCCCCTTTTATACTCTTTCGGCGACGACGGATCTCCCCTTCGTTTCTCCTGGAAACCATCTGACCCTTTGATCCTCCCTAAAAACCTACCCCCACTTTCCCCCGGTGATTAGTAAGACTGCTCCTACAGTTGAGATCAAAAGTTGAACAATCAAATTAGCCACCTTAAGCAGATTTTTTTTTCTTGTTAACAAAAGTTAATTTGCAGTTTCAAAGAGGCGAAATGAAAATGTAAACGAAAGTTAAGAAAGTAAATTAAAACAACTTAGTTTCCCGCTAAAAACTTGCTAACCTATCATTTAAGTATTTTCAGACATAAAGACTGAAATTTCATGCTATCAAATTGGAGGGTATCAGAAAACGTTTCCATAAAATAAAATAAAAAATTGTAGTACCGCCGCGCCTCGAGTGACTCTAAAATTTCTTGCTTGCCCCTTTAACTTTCCGAGAGCTTCAAATCTCAATGGACGTATGCAAACGAATGAAACAATTGTTGGTTCGATAGAGAGGCTATCGTGAATTATCTGGCAAAAGATGCATTTCTTGAAAGCGTCCAATACTATTACAGCGTCTCTGCACTAAAAAAAATGATTTCTATGACCTTAATTCTTTCGTTCCTAAGGCTGATTAAAGTATCATAGAAAAATTTACCAAGTTCGGTGTTACAAAAACTGGTTTGATTCTTCAGATAAGAGAGATTGCCGGGGAATACCATTGTCGGTTGTAGTGACTAACGTTTCTACAACCTTGACTTTGTTGAAGACTTCCGCTCAAGTTATCGAAACCTCTTGTCACTGCTATCAACTGCAGCCTTCCATACGTCAAATCTCAGCCGCGTTATTAGACTAAACGTTCAAATTTTGATGTGGAAGTATCAATCAATCAATTTTATTTCCATGCTGACCTAAGTTGTATCCATTTATATCACTTGTTATCAAACGGTATCAATTATCGATGTTATCGAATGATCACGCGGGAGCAAAACGCAATTATAGTCAACGTAACAATTTTTAAGGCATGCAGTGAATGAAAATAGTTGCAAAAAAAAATTAATTATTGGTCTACTTTACCTTTCGGCAAGCAGTTTGGAGCCGAGCCATTGTAAAGTCCATCTTTACACGTCACGTGACTAGAACCGTTCATAAAGAAACCTTCATTGCATGCAAACTTGTAATCAATCCCGCCATCGGTGTCATTTCTGTGAACAACCCCATTCGTCAGCTGCGAGTCCAGTGGTACGCAAGCTGAAAAATAGAGACAACATCACACAATTTAGCAAACCTTGCGATGGACATATCAGCCTTTAGCCATGAGAAAACAGGAAAGAGACCTGGAACAATACGGGAAATGGAAAATATCCTTAGATGCGTTTTCGTTTGGTATCGGGTCCTTGGGACGCTAAGAATCGTTGGAGAATGACTTGGTGTAAAAATTTTCTTCTGTATGAATATAATCGATATCTCATGCATGAAAGATCGCTGCACCGGTGGACACCGCTAACAGAATTGAGCGATTGACAGGACGCCCAAAGCTCTGTTTTCAACTGCAGACACGGAGTGCAAAGCCTTCTGGACAAAAATAACTTTTTTCTTCTGTAAATGAAAGTCATTTTCACCCCAAAAGGCCCAACATAGGCTTGTCTCGTTGTTCAATTTACGTGACGCCGAAAGCTCTGTTATGAGCCGCAGACACGAAGTGAAAAGCCTTTTGGACGAAATATAAAGAAAACTCATTTTCACTCAAAAGCACCTCTCGTTTTGCAATTAAGAATTGTAGGAGCTCGTGAATACTCCAATTGACAGATCAACTATTGTGAATTGATGTTTAGCTATTTCAATAAACTATAAAAATTAATATTAACCTGGCTTCACAGTGTCGTTTACAACAGTAACAAACTGAGTCACAATCTCTTTTGTTGCTCGTCCGATTCGCACTTTGCCAGTTGTGAAAATATCGAACAAACACTCGGAGCTATCTCCACAGACATTCTGGGCCTCCTTCTCCAGCACCTTATCGGTAAAGTCCAAGTTTTGACTGTCAGGATATATTGGCTGGAAATTCGGATGGTGAAACGTGGAGTGGTCCTGCCCTTGTTGATAGACAAAGAGAGACTCATCAGGTTTGGTGACCCCTGCGGACGAAAGAAAAGATGTAACAGTCAAGTGCACTTTTAAGGGATAGCGCCATTAAATGGTACCCAAGGAGTTTCCTGTGTCGCTCTTGTCTCGTTGTTTTAGCCTATGTTGTCCCAAAAGTAGTTTCATATCATTAAATTTTATTGAGATCTTTTGTTCTAAGTAAGACCAAAACACCTTGACAGAATTTTTTCGTAGCTTAATCGTGAGATGAAATAAGGCGGAAGAAAATAAAATCATAATGATAGAACTCATTACAGAGGGGATGACAATCTCAATGGATACAGTACAACTAAGCAGTATCTGCACTGAGGAAACAATGTCGACAAAAATTTTATTTCTAATTCGAAAGTTATACTAATAACCGGTCACATAGGTTTTTAATATTTTGATTAAGAAATCTGAAATTTGAAAAGGCTCTGCTTGCGTTTTATGACTAGCGAAACTTCAAAGATAATTTCCTAACCTGGATTAACATTTGAAAAAATACAATAAAGCAATCATATCTGAAAGTTACGTACATAATTGTCCGAACTCCCTGTGTATGATTTCCAAACTCGAATTTGTATTTAGAAATGTTCCATCGGGCTTGAGGAATTCCGTCTCTTTACTGTCATCCCAGTATCCAAGGAGACCGGAAGTATTACCTGCAATGAACAGTTTATCTTTCCACTCTCAGTATCGGATACTTGCTTCAATTATTTAGCCTGTCCATTCTAGGGGTTGGGTATGTAATGCCGTTTTGTTTATTTGGAATGTCACAGTTACTGAACGCGTTGCGATTGGTCAGTTTAGGGGGCCATCCTTCAGTTATTTTTTTCATTCAAAATCACCCTCGTGAATCCTTTATTTTCTCCAAATTTTTTGTTTGAACTTAATTAAGCCTAAATATCAAATGGGCTCGTTTTGCTTTCGAAGTGCGTCTTTTCTATGTGAGGCCGCTCTGAGTAACCAACAATGTTTCCCCAAACCAATTTAATACACGTTACAAATACTGCAGAGGGTCGTACATTTTCCCCGCGATTTACGATTTGTCACCGTTTCCCTTCGACTAAAGACCAACCCACATCACGCTTGGGCCATCAATCAACTATGGAAAACTCTGTCGAGAACTAAGAGTAAAGATCGCGAACTTCGATTGCAAGTGTAACATAACATCTCTTCTTTGATAAAAAGAGAAGAGTCAACTATCCCCTTGGGACCTCTCCCTCTCTCAGCCGGGCAAAACTTATTCAAAATGAGTATAGCTAAGTATATTTCTCTTCCTTAGAAAGACTTATAAACGTTAAAGATAAACTGTGTACACGAATACTTGCAAAAGGTAGAGAAATAATTGAAATCAATTTAAATTCTTCTACCTTCTCTTGATTTTTACCTTTAAAAACTGTTGGTACCAAAGTCACGAGACCAAGCAACTCTTGCTGGCCTTCAACTGTCACGGAGATGCCGGAGTTAAAAATAACGGAATATTTAGTAGTGTTGATGTAATACAACACAGAGACTCCGGTAAATTCCAGAAGGGAGAGCTCATCAAAATCAACTCTTTCCCCATTCACCAAAACATCCACTAAGCCACGACCATTCAACTGGATCTACATTAAGCAGAAGAAGTGAAAAAAAGTTTAAATAAGCGCAACAATTAGTTTAATTATATTCACAAAAGAACGAGGACATGCTGGCCCATCAATGATGATCCAGTCTCCTGGCACAGCCACGGAGGAACCTGGACCTGTGTAGATCTATCGTGCTCACGCCCAACATGCTGACCAATAGGCCACCTTGTATCCAGCATGGCGATGACGGCCTTATATAAATACATCACGGAACTTACTTATCAAATGTGAATTCTCGTTTGCCCCATCACCACATATATATATATATATTTTTCTGTATTTCCCATATTTTCCTGACCTGTACAACGTCTGATCCATTTTCTTTGGCTGCAAATGCTGTATATACCGTGGCTTTTGAGGGCGATCCATCGTCTGCTAATAGAGGCTCCATACGCCCCTGCAAGGTGAAGTCTACCCCTTTCACTTTTAAAATGAAGTATTCCCCATATCCGTTGAACGTGAATGGCTTCTCATCCAAGGTCACCATGTGTGGGTCCCCAAAACCGGTAGCTATGGGCAACGAAAAAACGTATTCATTGAAATAAAGAAGATGTGAACTGTTAAGGGAAATCACTATCAAAGAACTATACATACATTTTTTCCCTACTTTTAATTAAAAGTAAAACATAATGCCCAAATGTAGTTGATAATTAGCAGCGCGCTTTGTCTAGATTAGTACAACTTTTGCGCTACGCTTGTAATTGGATATAGTAACTGAAAAATGTAAAAGGAAAGTTTTTACGTGCCACTCCCGTGTAATTGGACGGTGCGCGTCATTTCTGCGGTCTGCTATCGATCGAGACAGCTGGGTTCATTTGTATTAAAAAATTGAAATGTAATGTATTTATTTATGAATAACTCAAACCTTTGAGAATTTGTCTCGTCAATTTTTTTTTCAAAATTTTGTTGATGGGTAAGGGGATTATTTTGTCGCTTAGATCTGTCTTCAAACAGACTTGCTATTAACAAATCGTACTACCGCGTTTACTCAAATACGCAAATCATTCCTATGTTTATAGAGCGAATTTGACTTCACTCGGAAATACTGTAAACTTTTAAATATGTGGCATTGTCACACAGGAGAGTAACACGCCCGCTCCTTTTCTCAGTGCGTGTTCAGCCTTTTCGTACATTTTTCGTTTTCGATTGTGAATTTTGAGCGACCACATTTTATACGCTCCGACCCCTGGGTTATCGCGTCACCCACACGCTACATCACACTTATGAAGTGATTAAGAATTACCGGGTCTTGGTGCTTGATATCTTGAGCCGTCGTCTGAAGGCCGCTTCTCAAAGTACTTTTCACAATTCTTAGAGTTGCGGCAGCAGTCTTCGTACGGCACCTTATCATGGAAGAAATGAGATATCACAGGGAGACCAGCATTAGGATGAACGCGGTCAAGGGACCCTGCGTCTGGTTGGCCCACCATTAAGTTTCCAAACTTGTTAAAGCAGCACTGCTGACCAGAGCCTGTGGCACTATGGAAGAAGAAAGTAAATCAATGCTCCCGCTCGATATCTATTCGAACGAAGACAGGAAATACTGGGTCCAGTGAATTAAATCGAGGCAAAGTTATCTTTGGTGTTACAACTCTGCACTGATTAGCCTCTCTTTCCTGCTTATGAGTTCCTTTTTTTCGTTGCACAGCGGGGCTTCTTAAAATCAGCAGTTAGAAAAGACGATTTTGATATCTCACTGCATTTCCTCAGGGCTGTTTGCCAGTAAGCTTCTACTAAACTAAAATTAAGCATAACTGACCTGGGATTGACCATTAAAAAACACTGGAAAGCTCCCTTGTGGTATCGATCACATCCATCGCGATTTTGGGGATTGCATTCCTCATCAGACATGAAGCGCCCGCGATCTACCATAGCCTGAGTCAACCTCAAAGGGCATGGCTGCATGCTGGGATCTCCTTAATGATGGAATACAACAGTATAAGTCAAAATCCTTCTCGCCTTGTCACTACTTTCACCTGGTTAAAAACTACCCGCTAACGTTAAGCATGCAGGAACGTTTTCTTATATGCGAAATAGGAGGGTCTTGCCATCACTCTGTTGGAATACTAACCCATGTTTAGCCCCACAACCCTCTATAGGAGCTTACGTTGCTCTTTGAAGCATGAAAAGTTTAGCAGCATTGCTAATCCTTTCGGATGGCAGCTTCTAGGTTCTCCTGACGGCTATATAACACCCATTTATACTCACGTCTTCTCAGAGAAAGGGAATACGAGAGTGAAGAATCATTCCTAATGTGCTAATAACGAATTGCCACAAGGACGCTTACAACATTTTGACGTGCTGGGGATTTCGAGGTGGCCGAAGCTGATGACTGAAAAATCATCTTCTAAGAAAATGGTCCTAATTCGAGTTAACTTCAGCGATAACCAAATTCGAATTTTTGAGGCTCTTCCGTTTGAATCCGGACTTTAAGACACAAAATTAAGAAGCATCGATAGATCAGTCCTAAACGCGACTGTGTGGGAGAGCATATTTTCCGATAACAACACGTTAATCTGTTTCTTCCCGAAGACATATGGAATTAAGGTCTCTAATAAATACCTCTGAATGTGTCTGGATTAGGTTCCTTCTGATGCCATTTTTTACATCTACTCTCTGCCCGCGGCTCATTCTTCCAAGAAAACACTCCACTCCACACCCACTGAGACTTAGACACGTTGCTGTAGCTGTTTTTTCTTGAAACTCGAACTAGATTGATAAAGCGATCATCAATGTTCCTACAAAATAATAGTGGAACAAGAGGATTAGCTTTGAGAAAAAACACCCAAGCCAATCATTGTCTTACGTATCTTTCGAAATCAAGGGCCTGAATTTTTTGATATGGAGTAGAGGAACATAAATCTTCCTCCTTTTTTTTTTTACTCGCGCGACAGAGTTCGCAAAAAGGGGGACTGCTTGTAGGCTTTTTGTTCCCTTACCGAGTGATAGGCCCATCTTTTTTTAAGGGCCCGGCGTAGTGATTTTAAAAAAAGTATGGCTGAGTAAGCTTAAAGAGACCATACGCAGCTACTGCGTCAAACACCAAAGCACATCCAATCTTGACATAGCGACACACTCGACCAGTGACAGTTAGCCGGTGAGCATTCTCAGCTGCTTCTGGCATCTTTTCCTCAGTTGACCATGTCGGTTCTTTTTTGATATCCATCGGTTCAGTTTTTCTTACATTTCTATGACGGTAGAATACAATTTGACCCTCACGGCAGCATCTTTCTTCAATATCTCTTTTACGGCTTCAGCTTTCAGTCGAAATGTTTCCGCGTTTTTTTTTTTGCTTGGTAACACATTTCTTCGACAGCGTCCAAGTTTTCAAAGTACTTGTCAGCATTCTTCTCGAGTTCGCGGAATTCTCTTGCAACTTTGTTATAAACACTTTCTTCTTTACCACGCAGTTTACTCGAATATTCCATTCTACCGCCGATTGCTGTTGAAACCAGTTTCGTTGTGACTACCGAAACAGAGCACTTTTTTTTTTGTGACACAAAATATGCACCTTAAAACTCGCTGACAAAAACGAACAGTGAATTGCAACTGACGTAACAACTGAAATGTGTTCTGTTCTTAACTGGCAGAGCGCACGCCCCATTCAAATAGACTTTTTTTAAACAATGAATTTTTCAACAAAACCACACCGAAAGATATTTAGAAACTATTTTCATCTCCTGTCTGAGTTCCCTGCTCATGATCAGTGATTCAGAAGACGTATAGCTGCGCTATATACATTTATCAACACAAACAGTCCACAGACATGCGTTTAACGCCACTGAGCGACAATGCAGTTTCACGCAGAATGTTATTCATATGATGAAAAAGCATGCCAAACTAACTTTTTTTTCTTTCCCGCGCATTACTGCTAAAAGAATCACCCTTACCCGTCTCCCTCTCCTTTTGTGACAGTAAACCGACTATGTCCAGAATTAAGTTGATTGTTTACTACTTGACGGAAGCTGTCCAGTACGGGGACGTCATCATCTCCCATTTTATAGCGCGCCAAGTCAATCGACACTTCCTCGTCAAGTCCTCCGATGCTTCCCGAATCCCAACTAATGTCAACCGTGGAATCCTCCTGCCATGTATCACCGTCCTCTCGCTGGACCTCGGGAGTGTATCGATTTATGGGAACTGAAACAAAAGAGATAACATTTTTCAATGTTCCTATTAGAAAAGGAAGAAATTGAACGACCTGGAAACTTGAACATAGCCAATGGTGAATGTTGCCCTTGAAATATATTATGAACATCTGATAGCGTTGTGAAGATTCGAACCTCAGCGAGGTTTCATTTCGCCATCAGATACTCTACCACACCAAGAACTATTTAAGCCAGGCATGACTCGTTCATGAGAACTTGAGGATCTTATGGCTAGAGCGACTTGAGTGGAGATTAAATATATTTATATTTCAAATTTTGAACTTGGTTGTCAAACAAAGACATTAAAAAATTTGTCTAAAAAGATAAAATTTCTGTTCCTTCTTTTTAATTTTTCCTTAAATTTACAATTTTGATTGATGACAAAAATGAGCTCAACGGAGAATTAAAAATATTGTTGTTGATAACGTACCTGATGTGTACGCTCCATTGTAATTGAATGAATTTCCGCCGTCAGTAGATAACTTGAATGACAGCCGTCCTGTCTTGTTCAACACTGGTATGGTAACGGATGACGTTAGCTCATCGCTAAAAGTTGCATTAATGTTGACATCATTGTCGAGTTGAACCACAATGTTATCATTTGCAGTGAAGCAAGGTCCACTCATTTTCACGTTTGTACCTCCTAACATAATCCCAGATCGGGGTGATATGGTGAGAGATCCTGTTAAATAAGAAGAAAGCAGATGAATGCAATGTTAGCATAGCGTATAACCGAAATACGGTATCAGGAACTGTTTAGACGACGAGTGGCCCCTCTTATCGGAGAAGTCAGTCGCGTGAGTCCAAAAAATAAAAACTAGTGAGGAAAAACTAATGATAGCGCGCCTACTGAACGTGGTAAATGTTTGCGGTTCTTCATTCATTTAGATTCTTTTTTTGAAAACGACACATTTTGTGGAGCAAGGATAGTACAATCTGCAACACTTTTATGTTTCGCGGTAAATGTTGCATGATGATTACAGAGGGTTGTGTGCCGTTTAAAAAACGAAGCTAAGTAACAAAAACTATAGGAAGATAAAATTATTGTTTCCGTACAGTTTTAAGTCACTTTTCCCAAAGTTTCTTGGTCTGTTCCATTGACTCCCTATTTAGATTTTCTTAATTCAAGTTATTTTTCCCTTTTAAGGTATATTTGCTGAACGTCCTCTCCAGCGACATCTACAGATTTGTGCTTTTGACTCCGTTATTTAAACTATACTTGTGTTTACAATTTGTACCTTTTGTGTTGCATCCCCCAGCTTCCACACTTGCTTCATCGGTTCGGAACATCCACTGACCGTCTCGAGCAACGTTTGAGGTGGAAGGAAGATTAAGGATGTTATTTGTTCGGGAGCCAGGGATAATGAAGAACCTCACCCCATCTCCAGCATTAAACCCGCCCTGCAATTCCAAGTCAAATCTACGGTCAATTCCATACATCTAAGGTAACATCTTGATCATTGTGTAATATTTTGGCCACAGCTGCAGATAAAGGAAAGGGTTCGACTCTGCCGATCTATGAGTATCTTTTCCAAGCGAGCTCAGCGCATGGATTAGTACCTTTCTCTTGGGTGACGTTTTAAGCTTTCTTAGAGTTACAATCGTAAATGTGCTATGGTTATAGTTCATTAAATTAAGTAGGTCCAAAGATATTTGGGTATTCCATCGGCCATATGTTCTTTAACAAAACATTTTGAGAAGTGAAGTCTCATTAAAGATGCGGTATGAGCATGGAGGCCCTCGAGATTCGAGTTGGCGAGGAAAACGGGCGAGAAAGAGGTCTGAAAGGGGTCTCATTCTCGGGGCAGAGCCCTCGCAGACTCTTTGCAAACTTCTTGCACGCTCGCCTCACGGGTAGGCCCGAAACCCGTGGACTTCGTTGCTCCTGTCGCAGCACTCTTGTGCTCACGCAGGCTACACAACTGTAGGGCGAGGGCAGGAGAGAGAATATTTGAAGGCTATAAACTATTTGAAAGAGCGTTTCATTGCAACCTGCAAGTTTATAAAAGTTGGTTTTTTTTTTAGATCGTGGTAATAAAGCCAGTGGGCTCACTTCTTTTACTTGTCAGTGTATTGTCTCTTACTTTACATTCAGACACTCACCTGAGCAGGGGTACCGCCCAATCCATCCTGAGTCCCTCCGCTAGCTGTACCAGTTGTCCACACGATTTGATTGTAATTGAATATGGCAAATGAATGACGTCCATTTGTAACCAGCACTGCTTGAAAATTGTTCACCTGAAAAGATACAAAATTGCAATTTCTTTGTAAATCACTTCCCCTTTTACACGAGATCCTCTGCTTAAACCATTGTGAATTAAGGTTATTTGTCTTCATAGCCCTGCTGGGGTTTTAACTATTGTTACCTTGTTTTTAAAGTTAGAATAGGAAAGACGGTAAATTTTGCGTTCAGTAATGAAGTGGGGAAAGACATTTTACGTCTTTTCACAAGCATGGGACATAAGAAAAAGAGCTGGACCGATGCAAGGTTCTTATGTAACACGCGTCCTGCTTACTGCTAGGATCAGCAATTTAGAGAGCGTCATGTGTAAAGAAGAAAAGAATGAGGTCAGAGGTAGCACTTCTAGGGTCAGAAGTTCGATGCCTGTGACAAAGCGGAAACTTTATCTTTCCCTATTACCTTGTTTTTAAAGTTTCCTTCAGCTCCATAGAATGCCACTCTGTCCCAGGTCACTATGAAAATCCAAGAGGCTGAGAATCTCTGGTGATTTAAGAATGCCCGTCGAACATCTTTTGTAGCTCGGTCCAACAATACAGAGTCAATAGACTCCCTGTATAATACAGTTCCTCCTTTTCTGGTGTCCACGTCACCCCAAAATGGCGAAATAAGACGTCGGTTGTCCCCCAAGGGGAATGGAGCTGGGGTGTATTGACTCACTGCACCCAGAAATGAGATAACTCCATTTGTGTTAACCTGAAATCACACACAGAGAAAAGTTAAATCAGAGATGAAGATTATTCTGAAGTCGATAATCTCCCTGGAAGCCTTATGAAACATAATTCTTCACAACTTCCCCGGTTAAATTATTTAATTTTACGATACATGTGTTAAATCATACTCAGATAAACTAAAATGGAGTTTGCAAGTCTTGGGACACTTACGCAATAATACTAAAAACGAATTATTTCTCCCTCAAACAAAGTTGAATTTGATGCGCTTCGTAAACTTTACCAATACGTACTTTAACGAACATTGTGAGTGGGTCGAGGGAGTGGAGGTTCTGTTTACACGCCTGAATTGGCTAAAAGTACTTAGTTTTTTTTAGTATATTTGGGCATACTAGGACATGTTTTCAATAACTTCCCAAGGAGTTTTGACCCCCATTGAAGGATATATGCTTCTGATTTAATCCGCTGACCGATCACATAGAGGAAAAGCTTACGGTCTTCCAACGTGGACTCAGCTAGGCGATAAGCCGCTCTGGTTGAAGGTAAAAATAAAATGAAAATTGTGATACTCGCTATTTTTTCATCAAAATAAAAACATTAGACTCTCTAGTTGTCAAATTTCTAACAACTTAAACTGTAAGATTATTCACTCTCGATTTGTTATTGTGAAAGTTGATCCTGACTTTTCCCGCATCAACTAATAGGCAACTATCAACTATCACGCGACAAAGATCTCGATCTGATAATCTGATTGTTTTAAATGTCTGAAATATTACCCTTGAACATATTTCGACAATACTCAAGTACTTAGTGAAACAACTACCAAACTGTTGTGCCCGCCAGACTATCACGAATGCTTTTAATGCACGGTCTGTCTTGTATACTGAATTCAAGTATTTTTCTATTTGTTTGCATGCGTTCTATTCGTCTTCTGCTAAGGTCGAGATGATTTCTGTGCAAGAAGAGCCTAATATATCTCATGACGTACACCACGTACGAAACACATTGGTGGAGTAGAAAGGTCACTCGTGGCGTATTGGAGTACTTAAACAATGCGATAGAACTGAAAATATTGTTGGGCAGTGAAGATATGGCGGAATAAACGGGCAACTTGTATCATTCACAAAAATATAAAGATAGAATTTTAAAGGACAATCATACTTCGTTTTAAAACATAATTGATGAGTGCAGCATTCAGTTATACTTAATTAAGCAAGACAAATGTGGTTCCGACAAAAATTTTAACTGTCACGCCGGTAGTTCAAAGGGATTTTAATCCACGAGAAATCACAGGCGCTATCAATGTACAATTTTCTCGAAACATTCTTATTTAAAGCGCATTACAAGAATCTTTAATGAAGTAAGAAAAGGAGAAACTTTTTCAATCTGTGAATTTCAATTCCGCAAAGTTTAGCGCTGATATCACGTCCAATCAAAGTCGATTTAAATGCAGGCAATTCAATATTTTAAAAAATAAACTTATGAAATATATCTCTGAGTGTAAATATAATTCATGATCAAAAGTGCAAATAAATACTGCCTACTTACATATAAGGAACCGTGATTCTTGTCAAAATACGGGAAGAGAATTGAGATTGGTATTTCTCCTGAGCTGCCGTCGTCATTTGGCGGAAGTGCATTATCACCCTCGCTGACTCCATAAGGATAGAAATCACTTAGCGGAACACTGAAACACGATGTTATATGAAGGACTAATGTGGCAAAAATGTTACAACGCCGCCAACACATTTTAGCACCGATTCTGTCCAGAGAGGTATTCGAGAAGACGTTGGAAAACCAACTCTATCCTTTCCTAAACCAGTCGCAGACAACACTTAAAATTTACTTCTAGTGATCTAAAGCAGATTGATGACACTCGTAATGCATGTAAATAAAAAATTAGTTTTCAGCAGGTTCGGTTGAAACAGCCGTTCTGATAACAGAGAAGAAGTTGAACTTGCATTGAAAAGGAGGTCATCTGAAGAAAAGTTCAACTCGTCAATCAATTTATAGCCAATATAAATATCCAGGTACGTGTTGGTTAAAATACCTTCGCATCACGTATTTCCACGGCTTAACTTCCGTGCGGAAGCGGCAGCCGCGCTTCTTCCAAGAAGTCCCTCGATTTCAAGGTTTGCTGAAGAATTAACGGAACGGAAGTCACGCAGAAACTCAAATAAATAAACAAGTAGCCGAAGAAAAAGATTAGAAAATGAAAACAATAGGACGTAAATTGATACAAAGTGGAACTACCGGTAAGCGCTTTGTAGAACGGAAGATAAAGGAAAGACAAAAGGAGTCAGACGTTCAAAAAACACTCGTGTGTATGCCATCTTAACTGAAGAACAAATGGTTTGTTGTTGTTGCTTGTTCTTTCCTATTAGTTTCTCCTTGTACCCACCGACACACAAATAATGCATGACTTCTTGAAATTTTAATAGTACAAATGGTGAAATGTTTTTTTTTTCAGTGTTAATCGTGCATTAAAATAAATTATTGTTAAATGATAATTGTTTGATGGCGTTATTACAATTAATACTAGTATTTCAAGTATTATAATTATAAATAAGTGATGCATGCAATATTTTCATATGTAGAGCTTAGTACTATAAGTAGTAGGGATAGAAATTGAAATAAAAGGGGCCGCAAATTGTTGAATGACTCGCATCAACAGCAGGGCAGAAGTCGACCTAAACCGAGTAAAAGTAATCGGGTAGGCTTGATGTTTTGAATGGTTGATTGAGCGCGATTTGACCGTAGGCAGTGTAAGTATTGATAAATTCTGGTCAAAGCATTACATAGGAGGGATGAGAAAAAATCTGGTCATCATTTCGTAAACAATTTTATTGATTACGGTTAACACTACTATAACAATAAGTAAGAACGCAAAGTGTACATGATTACGGAGAAGTACTGGAGCAGTGAGAGAGCAGCTGCCCATCGCTTTCCCGTATTTAAATGAATATTCAACAGTTTTAAAGTTCTCAATTAGTTCTAAAGTGTCTTTGTAACAAACCTTCCAAAACTGAAACTAATAAAGGTCCGTAAGGATAAGTACATTTTGTGCGACATCCAATTCAGACCAATTGAGTTCTTCTTTCGAAGGGGAGGGGAGAGGAAGCAGGGCTGGCCTTGTTACGAACATGAAGCTCTGAACGGCGCGCTTTTTAGAGCGTTTACGGATATTTAGAAACTAAATCAACACCAAAACCCTATTTACAAGATTACTGTCGGCAATGTCGGGACGTAAAAAAAACTTTGTCGTAATGGCGACGTGGTCGGATTTGGAAGGAAGTAAAGTGCAGAATTTGACCTTGCAATATGACACTTCGTTAGGCTAAAACACCAAACACGTCTTCTAGTGCCTCAAAATATTGTAACTTCCGCTTTCTCCTTATTTTCCTCCTCTTTTATACATTTGTACAGGAATATATAAATTTAATTAGTTTTCTGTTCATTCCCAACAAATTTCACAAGTTTCTAGCTTCCAACATATTCACAACAGCCAGCTTATTTCTTGTGAATCTGAGATTTCCCTTAACCCTGTTGGGACTATGATCGGACAACAACCACAAACTACGGAAGATGTTTAAACGACTTCTACAAATTAACGAGTATGCTGCTACAACTTCCGAGGATAACTGGAGATGTCTAAAACAGTTTAAGGATAATACGAGAGGGCCATTGCCAAACAAAACCTGATTATTTCTAATCGCCTATGCGCGAACGAAGAAGTAGAATGATGTAATAGAAAGTCGGATTTATAAGTCAGAGGCGAAAAGTAGTTGTGGGAAATCGATCTGAACGGTTGAAGTTTACACAATTCGCAAGTATGGATAAATACCTACATATCAAAGGAAACATCTTCCTAATCCTCACGTAATATCGCGATCAGGAAGAGATAAGATGAACTTTAGACTTCAGGAAATCCCTCTTTCCCAAAATAAAATTTTTTTTGCGCTAATTTTAACATCTGAAACAATATCAAGTTGCTAACGGGAGGTTTCGATATATCGATGAGAGTTACATATTGTTCCTTGGTTTAAAATGCGGTAATAAATATAATAATGATGATGATAATACTGCCACCACTAATAACAATACTACTACTTATAATACTACCACTATTAATGATAATTATACTTCTAAGAATAATAATAATAGTAATACTAGTGGCGCAAGTATTTTTACAAATAACTCCAGGAAACCGAAACTCAGAAATCGATTAAATCAAATATGAAATCACACAAATGCTAGCAGTTTTCTGGTTTATAATATGTCATTCGTTAGTCGGAACACTTTCCTGAGCTCATAATCTATTTTGTTCTGATGTTTCCGTGTCGGGATTGATAAATGACACTAATTTACTAAGTCCTTGTTTGGCACTTTCCGTGTCGTCTTTAGAGCACGCTTGTATGTGCCAATTTCTCTTACGAGCAATCGCATCCAACCCCATCATCCTCGACAGCTGTGGGTTAAAAAAAGAAAATCGAATACGCAGATAAAAAATCAAACATGCGCATAAGATTTGGACGCCGTTTCACAAATCAATTAACAAATGCCGTGGGTCTGTTCAGCAATAGATCACAGATGACGCCAAATTGTGGTAAGAACAAAAAAGTGGCACAAGAGGCGCAGCTGATAGTGATGTTCTTGCCATATTTTGACCTCTCCTGTGATCTATTGCTGTGCAGACCCACGGCATCATGAAATCTTTTTTTGTATGATAGCAAAGCAAAAAATAGTTAATGGTGATGTTAAATAAGCGTCTGTCCTCCAATAGACCATCAGTAAGAACTAATCGAGATACGCGCTTAATTCAGCTTATTATATAATACTCTGTCAAATTCTTCCTGTATAAACGTAAAGACTCCTGGAATAGTCCCCAGCTTTTACTAGTTAGCTGTAATTTTGTATAGAGCTTTAAAGTTTCTTGCTCTTTGTTATTTGACACGAACAACTAGTAATAGGACATCGGGTTGTTAAATTCAAAGGTAATCGCGCCCATTTTCTCGAATCATTCTTAATTAATGAGATAAACATTATGAAACAATGAAGATAAGAACACTTGTGGGCTTGATTGGCACTTACAGCGTAGGTCAGAAAGTTTCCCAAGTTCAGTTGAGAAAAAAAAGCCCCCTATGTTACATTTCTTTGAAATTTTTATTGACTTGTCAGTCTCTCTTGCAACAGTTATTGCCTTTGACAGAGGGTCATAGTTAGGTGGACAACCAGCCATTTACCAATCACCAAATAGTTGAGTCAGAAGACATCTGTTTTTTTAACAATAAAATTATTCAAAATAACCTGCAAAAGACTCCACTTGTCAAGAATGTAGTGGATTACTGTGATATACATCGTTTACCATAAAAACGAACCGAAATAAAACCATCTCTAATCCTGCACCGCTAAGCTCGTCTGCACTGCGGGCTCCATTAACATCTTGTTTGTTGGCTAAGACCGGCAGAGGAAGGGATTCCAGGGAGGAGTAGGACAGGACTTCTTGTAATTCAGCTGCCGCTAAATCCACATTACCATCATTGCAACAGCTGTCCACTACAAACACCTGCAAATTATTGGTTGTTGAATCGGATTTTAATATTCACTCAATAATCCTTATTTTAAAAATTCCAGGATCCTCCTATCCAAAATAAACATCTTCCATTGTTTGTTATAAACAGACTTTTCAAATAAAGGATTACTTTGTTCCTTCAAACATTATTTAGTTATATCTGTATCAACAGGTTTGTTTTCCACCATTTTCTCATGTGTGGCTTACTTTGATCCTCTCAGGAACGGGAAGGAGCAAGGCACACTTCCTACCCAGCTGTTATGTCCAGAAACGTATGCAGAAATGAAAATGGCAGATTTAATTAGATTTCGTCAAACCAAGTGAATGTTCATGAATTCGACGATTTTCGAAAATTTTAGTCAAATTCGTCAAAGCAAAATCAGCTTAGCGGAATTGAAAATTTTGACGAGTTTTAGTCAAATTTATCCAGCGAAATCAGCTTGGGGGATTTGACAATTTTGACAATTTTCCGTTACTACATCCATTTCTGGACTTATTTATTTGGAGAAATGTTTGTGCAGGGTGTATCCAGTTCTACATAGGCTGTTTTATGTGATTACATAAATGTAATATTAAAAGATATAGATTGGTACAAGGCCTTCTAATAAGTAGCGTTTAATTAGTCTGTAGTCGTAGGTGTGGTTAAAATATATAACAAAAATAAATCAGGAGTCTGATTTATTGATCACGAGTATCAATAGAGACAGAATTGTGCAACAGATTTTCCTGATACTAATTCATCAAAACTGATCAACACATTTACAAACCCCTATCTTTGACAACAACCTCATGAGGATGCTTCAAAGATTTTCACCAGGGTCGCACGCTCTCAAAGTATGTAAACACCATTGTAACACCACTTCTGAGAAATATTTTATAAAAGCAAAAGAGGATGTTTTTCATGTTTACAAGGCCTTATCTACAGACTTGCAGGGTTGGGAAAATTCGTGAAAGTTTGCAAAACTTTCACAAATTTTCCCAGCCCCCCTTGTGTTCAGATGAGACTATGTAAGCACAGAAACTGAATTCCTCATTGGCTTAGCTCTAAAATAAGCTTAGGTTTTTTTCTCAATTTCCACTGAGCTCCTCCAAAGTAGTGTGGCAGTATTTTCTGATTTTTTGTCTCCACGTATTATGCAAAGTGAGATAAATTCATGAACAAATAATTTCATTCATTCAGAAAAATTCTACCATCAGTACCATAACTAAAATGACGATCATCTGAAATTCAATAACTAAAAAGATGCACGCTGCTAATTGGTTTTTCGGTAAGTCAACTCCTTTGGTCAAAGTATTCTAAATTTGTGCAAGAAATGCCCTGATTTCAGTTTCTTTATAATTGTACACTTGAAAACTCGCTCCCTTTAACTCCAGCCTCTTTGGATTTCTTTGAAAGTTGTGATCTATTAAGAGTTATGATCGTTGTTATTACAAGTAACTTTGCTGTCATATACTTACCTCCAAGTTCTTTAACATTTAGAATAGCACTGGGTAGCTGAACAGCTTTCACAGAGAAACCTATCGTAGCCATTTCAGAAATACATTACTGATTTAGAGTACCGCTGAGCGTATGCCAATCATTTTTGTACAAGGTAATTTCCTGAATTGAATCAAAAAGTTAACAAGGGTGGTTTGTAAATATCTTCTACTCAGAAGTAAGGGATACTGCCTTGATATACAACCAAATTCTTCCTACTAGCCCATGAAGCAGTGTCACTAAACAAACTGGGAGAATCTTTTCTCTGATTCTGAGGGTAAAATGGTTATCATGTGTTCACCAACATCACTATAAATAAACTTTTTCCGACATTTAGCAAATGTCAACTCAAAGTGATAAATCTGAAAAGTATATTCAAACATAGACACTCGCAAAAAGAGCTTACCAACAGTGGGCTCAAGTTTTTTCAGAATTGTCCCACTCAGCTTTGCAAACAGCATTGACTTGCCAGCCTGTCTGATTCCAATTGCAATCACAGAGTATGATGGCTTGGGTGAGAAGGTTCCTTGTTGCAGACTGTTTGATAAAACTGTACAGTAAAAATACAGTCTCTCTTTCCTAACGTGATACATGAAGGCCAACTGACCCAACCTCCTGATACATGCGACAAATTACATCCAAGGGGGCTGGTTAAATACAATCTTTATAAGGGGGTGAGGGGTGGGGAGAAGGAGGAGGTAGTTTTCAGTAAAAGGGTTATTTTTTATGCCAATAAAATCTCTCCACAAAATGAACCTTCACCATAAATATGTGCATCCCGTCCTCTGGACAGAAGAGAGAAGAAAAGAAAGACTGTACAACCAGTCTCCCAGTCATACATGCATGCTCCCATATATCTCCATGATGAGAGAAACTTTTGGACAGCTCATTTGTCTGCCAATGTAGGCCATGTGAACTGAATACCTGTCAAATGTTGTTGTCTGTGGTCTTTCGAAATGTATGCTGAGATCAAAAGCTTTCTTTAGCGTCGTTTGGATTAAAGGTTGAAAATTTTAATGAAGACCATAAATGAGGAAATTTCTGTGTATTTCAACTAGCATTTGCGATTTTTTCCTAAACAACGTGCTTTACACACTAACTGGATAGTATTATAAATTACACCTTGAAATAAATATTAACAACGTTTAGCTTCTCGTGAATTTATCTCGGAGACACCAACTCGATAAACGGTAGATTTGCTAACTTCCTCGTTATCTTTTCTCAAGTCGTTAACAAAGTTTCTGGGTGTGGAGATCTACTTTTCATATTGGAACCCTTTTCAAGACGGTAAGGTGATGGAGCTTATCGCTCTGCGTGGATTTTCATCAATTTTATATTCCTCTTTAAGTTAAGGTCGCCACTTGAAAAAGTAACTCAACAGACATTTCAGATATCGAGTGAAGTACAAAGGAACGATCTCTTGATGTCTTGCAAAGTCACGGCGGGAATATTCAAGCGTTTAAAGAGGGCTCTAAAAGAGCTACATCAAAGACGTGACACTCTGAAATCCAGAAAACATAGTTAGGGCCAACGGAGATCTTTCATCTATACCACACCCACAGGATCTTTAGAGCAATCCTTTTTGTAGAGCAGTGGTACATTCGTCTTTACTGTCCTCAGATACTGAAGGTTTCATCATGACTTCCAGTTCTGCCTCTTCGTCACCCTTCACGGTTGCTGTATCTCTTTGACCTGACCTCCGTCGACAACAAATAACCAACAGGCCAATTGCGATTATCAGAATTAGGATAGCAGCACCAATTAGGACGTAAAGGTACCAGCCGTTTGTATCCTTGTCCTCTTTATCTGTACGAGCTGGGGTAAATTGAAAGTTGTTCAGTGAGGGGGGAGTACATATGAAAGACTTTCAGAGGTCTTTTTATTTATTCTTGGAACACTGTCACCACTGCTATTATTTCACGCACTCGCAACAAGATGACGCAACCCCTACAACTCACATTAAAATGATCTCAATTAGCATCAAAACTATCAACACTACACAATCGCCATCGTTGCCAAGATCACTGCTGCCACCGCAGTCAAGCAATAATCATTACCACTATGCCACGAACACAGAGAACTTTGATATGGCTACCTACCCTCCTACTATCAAGAGCATTATGGGAACACCGCTTTCACAACCAGAAACATATCCACCACTACCGATACCAAAAAAACTGTTAATCAAGATTCTTGCTAATGCCTCTACTTTCTCTGCTACTACTGCTGCTACTACTAATTGCTAAGTTTTTGTGATACGCAACTTGATTAGGTGGCGACTATAGCAAACCACTGATGCATAACAGGTCGGCCGATGCAAACTGTAATCAAGCAGTAACTTGAGAGTTTAACGTACCCTTTAAACATACAGGAATGCTACCATTCCATTGTCCCTTTTCATCACAGCGCAGCGAGGTTTCTCCATCTATGCTGTATCCTTCATCGCAAAGAAAGCTATACACTGCACCTGACGTGGATCCATTACCATCAATGTGCCCGTTTTCTAGTGTGCGGTTCATTTGAGGACAATCTTTGAAAAAGAATGTGTAGCTGTGTTAGCGTACAGCTTTCTGACACATTGATGTTCTTAGGTAAGCGAATAAACTCATGTGTAGGTTAGTTATTTTAACAGTAACAAAACAGCGATATTAGCTGCTTAAGCGTTGTTCTTATTAGTCATGGTTTATTTTGTGAGCATGTCTTCATCAAATATGAATTTAAAACATATTTACTTTACCTTTTAAACAAGAAGGTGTTGTACCATTCCATTGACCATTTTCATCACAATAGAGGTATTTGTTTCCTTCAAGTGAGTAACCATTAGCACAGCTAAACCAGACCAAGGAGCCTTCCACCGACCCACGGCCATGTTTATAACCATTTTCCATGTCAGCAGCCAGAGAGGGGCATTCTATCAAGGGAAAAACACAGAAAGAAAAAAGAATTCGAAAACACAGCAATAGATGGCTAAATCTAAAAATAAATATTATTTCTCTGCCAAGAATTCCAGTGCAAGATAAAGAAAACGTATCCTTAATTTTATGCCAAGTCTGGTGGTCTTAAAACCGTTGTGATGAACAGAAAAACACGATTTAAGTTATTCAACACGAAGAGTGTTGGTGCTGATAAAATGGCTAGATATACCTTTAAGACAACTGGGAAGGCTGGCGTTCCATTTTCCTTCTGCCGTACATTTCAATCTCCGTTCACCAAATAGTGAATAGCCTTGATTGCAGCTAAAACTGTACTCGGATCCCTGTACTGAGCCCGTACCATTAACATGCCCATGTAGTATGGAAAGGGGAAGCTTTGGACATTCTGTGTGAACAGATATATGAAGATTATATTCACGGTAATGTGTAGGGAGAAAACAAAACAGATCAAAATATGATTAAATAAAAGAATAAAGTTGACTTTTCATTTCTAGATTACTGCGAAGTGAGCAACCTTTCTTTGATCGTACAATAAGGAAACAAAGCATTTCGTTAGGAGACAAGAAAGTTACAAAGTTACAAAGAAACATAGAGTTTATGATAAAATACGTTTACGCAGGCTGCAAAATGAATTTACGCATATCAGTCGTGTAGAAACTGTACATGGAGCCGAAAAGTTAACGTAAGTATTTAATATCTAACAAGCGCTCTTTATCAAGGGAAAGGATTGACCTTTGGTCATACACACTTGACATACCTATGAGACAGGTTGGAAGCGAGCTATTCCACACACCAGAATCCGTGCAAACTGATGTGGCGGCACCAATAAGAGAGTACCCCTCCTGACAACTGAACTCATACTGATTACCTTCCAATGAGCCGCTACCGTTTACAAAACCATGCGATATCCATGAAGGAAGAACTGGACATTCTGGATAATAGATATAGATATGTCCTTTGTTAAAAATTAACCTCGATCTTTAAAATCCCTACTGATGCAAAAAGACAAAAAACCTGCAAACAGTAAAGGCTTCAGTGGGGAAAAACTGCGATACCGTTCCATGCTCTTCCAGCTGAGATGTGAAACTGCACAATCGGACTAGGATCAATCTGAGATCCTTGACAAAATCCAAAATTACCAAGAGTTATAATAGAAAAATATACACTAAATATTAAAGAAACTGCTTGTTACGTCCATAACAATTAATAGGCAATATATTTTTATTGTGTTAAGCGATTTTTGTTTGTACCTCTGAGACAGTTAGGGACACTGGCGTTCCATACACCCATTTTAGTACAAAATACAGTATCATGTCCGACAATAGAGTAACCATCCATGCAACTGAAATTGTAGATAGACCCTTCCACGTGACCTGATCCATGAACTGCCCCGTGTGTAAGATTCGAAGAAAGCTTTGGGCACTCTAGACAAAAAAGACAACAATGACAAACTTTAGCAACGTAATTATGCAATATTAGGGAAGTAATATTTGTAGTTGAATATCAATTTCTCATATACCTATGAGACAGGTTGGGAGTGAGTCATTCCACACTCCGGCATCCGTGCAAACTACTGTGTCTGCACCAAATAGAGAATACCCTTTCTTGCAACTAAAGTTGTACTGAGCACCTTCCAATGAGCCACTTCCAAGGATGAAGCCATTTGCCAACGATGAAGGAAGCACCGGGCACTCTAGAGGATGAACAAAAAAAGGTTTCCTACGTAAAGAATACTCCCGTGTAGTTCAACTAACACGACGATACTCCTTAACAATAACAACCAAGACTTGATGCTAGGTCCAGAAGAGGAACGCGGACCTCAGTTGAGAGAAGAGGAACACTGTCATATCAGGGCAAGAAAAAAGAATTGGAAAACACAGCAATAGATGGCTAAATCTAAAAATAAATATTATTTCTCTGCCAAGAATTCCAGTGCAAGATAAAGAAAACGTATCCTTAATTTCATGCCAAGTCTGGTGGTCTTAAAACCGTTGTGATGAACAGAAAAACACGATTTAAGTTATTCAACACGAAGAGGATTGGTGCTGATTAAATGGCTAGATATACCTTTAAGACAACTGGGAAGGCTAGCGTTCCATTTTCCTTCTGCCGTACATTTCAATCTCTGTTCACCAAATAGTGAATAGCCTTGATTGCAGCTAAAACTGTACTCGGATCCCTGTACTGAGCCCGTACCATTAACATGCCCATGTAGTATGGAGAGGGGAAGCTTTGGACATTCTGTGTGAACAGATATATGAAGATTATATTCACGGTAGTATGTAGGGAGAAAACAAAACAGATCAAAATATGATTAAATAAAAGAATAAAGTTGACTTTTCATTTCTAGATTACTACGAAGTGAGCAACCTTTCTTTGATCGAACAATAGGAAACAAAGTATTTCGTCAGGAGACAAGAAAGTTACAAAGTTACAAAGAAACATAGAGTTTATGATAAAATACGTTTACGCAGGCTGCAAAATGAATTTACGCATATCAGTCGTGTAGAAACTGTACATGGAGCCGAAAAGTTAACGTAAGTAGTTAATATCTTGCAAAAGCTCTTTATCAAAGGGAAGGATTGACCTTTGGTCATACACACTTGACATACCTATGAGACAGGTTGGAAGCGAGCTATTCCACACACCAGAATCCGTGCAAACTGATGTGGCGGCACCAATAAGAGAGTACCCCTCCTGACAACTGAACTCATACTGATTACCTTCCAATGAGCCGCTACCGTTAACAAAACCATGCGATATCCATGAAGGAAGAACTGGACATTCTGGATAATAGATGTAGAAATGTCCTTTGTTAAAAATTAACCTCGATCTTTAAAATCCCTACTGATGCAAAAAGACAAAAAACCTGCAAACAGTAAAGGCTTCAGTGGGGAAAAACTGCGATACCGTTCCATGCTCTTCCAGCTGAGATGTGAAACTGCACAATCGGACTAGGATCAATCTGAGATCCTTGACAAAATCCAAAATTACCAAGAGTTATAATAGAAAAATATACACTAAATATTAAAGAAACTGCTTTTTACGTCCATAACAATTAATAGGCAATATATTTTTATTGTGTTAAGCGATTTTTGTTTGTACCTCTGAGACAGTTAGGGACACTAGCGTTCCATACACCCATTTTAGTACAAAATACAGTATCATGTCCGACAATAGAGTAACCATCCATGCAACTGAAATTGTAGATAGACCCTTCCACGTGACCTGATCCATGAACTGCCCCGTGTGTAAGATTCGAAGAAAGCTTTGGGCACTCTAGATAAAAAAGACAACAATGACAAACTTTAGCAACGTAATTATGCCATATTAAGGAAGTAATATTTGTAGTTGAATATCAATTTCTCATATACCTATGAGACAGGTTGGGAGTGAGCCATTCCACACTCCGGCATCCGTGCAAACTACTGTGTCTGCACCAAATAGAGAATACCCTTTCTTGCAACTAAAGTTGTACTGAGCACCTTCCAATGAGCCACTTCCAAGGATGAAGCCATTTGCCAACGATGAAGGAAGCACCGGGCACTCTAGAGGATGAACAAAAAAAGGTTTCCTACGTAAAGAATACTCCCGTGTGGTTCAACTAACAGGATCATAATCCTTAACAATAACAACCAAGACTTGATGCTAGGTCCGGAAGAGGAAGACAAACCTCAGTTGAGAGAAGACGAACACTGTCATATCAGGGCTGAACACTTTGGTTGAATATGCACGTACCTCTAAGACAGGAGGGAAGCGAGTCATTCCATATCCCAGAATCCGTGCAAGCTAAAGTTTCCGCACCAACAAGTGAGTACCCTTTTTCACAGCTAAACTGATACTGGGATCCCTCTAAATAGCCTTTACCCTTGAAAAAACCAAGACCCTTGTGGAGGCCTCCGCTTTGGATGAAACCATGCGGTATAGAAGAAGGTAGGATAGGACATTCTGGAAGACACATGTAATGACATTCAAAAGCAATTTAATCATAGCTTTAAATCACATTTATGATTCATAATAAAAAATCAAGAAATTTTGAGAGATCCGGTGACATAGCGGTTGGCGCGCTGAAGTCCACGTCGAGAGGTCTGGGCTCGAGATGTGGCCGGGCCATTGAGCTATATGCTCTTAGGCAAACCACTTTGCTCTCATTGCAGTGCCTCTCTTACCCAGAAGTAAAAATCGGCACCGGCAAACTTTCAAGAAAACTCAAACTTTCAGGATGAGAGTAGCAATATTTCTTGTCGCTTCATTTTACAGAAAACGGGATAAGCTACAGCTGTATGGGTGACTTAGCTTGAGTGCGGGCTTTTCCTTTGCATACAACATCACGCAAACAATTCTAAAGGCACTTACTTCTGAGACAAACGGGGACACCTGCGTTCCATCTTCCCATTTGAGTACAATACAAAAGATCTTGACCCACGATAGAGTAACCATCGTTGCAGCTAAATTTGTACAATGATCCCTCTACAAAACCCGTTCCATTTATTTTGCCGTTTTTTATTTCAGATGGCAGCCTAGGACAATCTGTGTGAAGATTTCCAAAAATGTATACGATAAATCTCTATAAGTCAATTTGAAAACTGCATATGTTTGTTCTGCTGATTATAAGCTCGTGTTACTTACCTGACAGCAATAACAATCTAATAGAAAATAGTATTTACATTATGAAAAATTAGGATGATAGTAATTAGTAAACCTCAGTATTCACTATATCAGAACTCTTGTTCAGCAAGGTAATTTTAAGTTACTTTAGAGGTAAACATTGATAGATACACTACCTATAAGACACACAGGCACAGAGCCATTCCAGGCACCTGTGTTATTGCAATGTAAAGCTCTCTGTCCAACCAGTGAATATCCCTTATCACAAGTAAAATGATGCTTGGAGCCCTCTACGGAACCAGTTCCGTTTCCTTTTCCATTCGGTATGGACGACGGAAGGTCTGGACAATCTGTGACGATCGAACCAACAACAATTGAAATAAACTTGCCACGATGTTTGACTCTTCAGGATAACCTTCAGATAAAATCACTCGGTGACTCTTGTATTGCTGCAAACTATGTGACCAAAACTAAACATAGTCCATACACAATGAATTTTTCGTTACGTAAACACTTGTTTATTCCTAGACCGTAACAACTCCTTTATCTAACCCCCTCCCCCCATATTGCCTGCCTTGCTTGGAAAATAGGATCAGATACTGTCACAATATTTCTTAGTCAGGCATATCAGTTCACAATAGTTTCTTCGATATTTTAACGAAATAAACCTGCCACAATGTTTGACTCTTCAGGATAAACTTTAAATAAAATCACTCTGTAACTCATATATTGCTGCAAACCATGTGACCAAAACTAAATATAGTCTATGCACAACGAATTTTTCGTTACGTCACACTTATATAAGTGATTTATTCCTAGACCGTAACAACTCCTTTATCCAACCCCCTCCCCCCATATTCCAGCTTGTCTTGCTTGGAAAATAGGATCAGATACTGTCATAATATTTCTTAGTCAGGCATATCAGTTCACTTTAACGATGATCAGATAAAAAAAAAAAAAAAAACACTATTACAGAACTGTTAACCGATATTTAAAGGTTTTTGTCACGCTGAATGTCTTAAAACGCTTTTGTAGACACTTGAATGTAATCATTTTTCGGTTATTTTTCATCACTTAATTACAGCTACCTTTGAGACAGCTGGGAAGGCTGGAATTCCAGTTTCCGCCCGTAGAGCAAAGTAACGTTTTCTCTCCAATAAGGGAGTAGCCCTGTAAACAACTAAATCCATACACAGAGCCTTCCAAGAAACCTGTGCCGTTGACAAATCCATTAGGTATTGACGACGGCAGTTGTGGACATTCTGAAAATAAGATTACTTAAAGTAAAGAATCCGGAAAAATAAGCTCGCATAATTCAGTGGGAGATAAAAAGGAAATGAAGAAAAATTAGGGATTACTTTGCTTCATATTAGCGCGTAACGTGATAACCTTGGACAAGAAACGTGAGATGAGAAATTCGTTTCCTTGAAAACTAACCCTGTGACAAGTGGTATATCAAGCGAATTGCGAGCTACAGATCACACGAGGTTCCTTAAAAAGAAACAGGGATGGATATCTCTTGAATTTCTCAAGCACCAGGAAAATGTTTTCAGGTATCGGAAGTGGGGCACAAAAACGAGTGAAATGAAGTAATACACAAACCCTGGCAGGTCTCCACTCGGTACTCAGATTATGATGTAGTTAACAGAAAGTGCTACATTGGTGGAGTTTAAAGTAATCGAACTCTCGTGCACCCATACCTTTGAGACACGTAGGAACGGAGCCATTCCAGTTTCCCTGATCGGTACATTGAAGGATGTTTGCTCCCACAAGAGAGTATCCTCCCTTGCAACTGAACCTGTACTGTGATCCCTCCACTGATCCACTTCCACCAACGAATCCATTTGGTATGAATGATGGAAGATGAGGACATTCTGGAGAAAGAGGAAATAATGTGGAAAGTCATTCCTTCGAAGGAGCTCATTAGTCCATGGGCTATCTAAATTCTTAATCATTAATTCCTGATTCTCCTTTTCTAAGAAACCTCTCTAATGTATTAAGGCTAAACTTGATACCTCGCAAACAGACGGGTTTTGTACCATTCCATGAGCCATCCGCTGTGCATGTCACAGTACTGTCACCAACCAAGACATATCCACCGTTACACAGGAAATGATACGTTGAAAGGTAAACACTGCCATTCCCGTGAAAACGACCATTCTTAAGATGCCAAAGGTGAACTGGACATTCTTTTAAAAAGGAAATCAACATGTACCATGTTATCACTCGATCATTTAATTTTTTTTTTTCTGTCTTTCAAAGGTAATTATCTACCACGGGAACATTAGTGACACACTCACCATCTTCCTGTGCCTCTTCCCGTTCTTATTTACAGTTAGACTTAAGTGACAGGTCATTATTATCTCGGGGGGGGGGGTTCAATGGAATATGGCTGAGTTCCGATATAATTTGTTTGATCCCCCTATAGGGCTCTGTAATATTCATATAAACCTTTCCTCTCATTAATAGAGTTAATTTATAGTCAATGATCTATAGTCCCCCCATTTGTACTCTTTTTCGGCAACGACTAATAACGGATCCTCCCTCCGTTTCCCCTGGAAACGATCTGATCCCTCGATCCCCACAGAAACCTTCCCCCCACCCTCTCCCGGTGATTAGTAAGACTGCTCCCAAATTTGAGATCTAAAGATGATCAATCAAATTATCCACGTTAAACAGATTTTTTTTCTTGTCAACTAGATTTAATGTCCAATTTCAAAGAGCCTAAATGAAAATGCAAACAAACGTTAAGAAAGTAAATTAAAACAATTAAGTTTCTTGAGAAAAATTGAGGGACAAAATCGGCACCGGCAAACTTTCAAGAAAACTCAAACTTTCAGGATGAGAGTAGCAATATTTCTTGTCGCTTCATTTTACAGAAAACGGGATAAGCTACAGCTGTATGGGTGACTTAGCTTGAGTGCAGGCTTTTCCTTTGCATACAAGATCACGCTAACAATTCTAAAGGCACTTACTTCTGAGACAAACGGGGACACCTGCGTTCCATCTTCCCATTTGAGTGCAATACAAAAGATCTTGACCCACGATAGAGTAACCATCGTTGCAGCTAAATTTGTACAATGATCCCTCTACAAAACCCGTTCCATTTATTTTGCCGTTTTTTATTTCAGATGGCAGCCTAGGACAATCTGTGTGAAGATTTCCAAAAATGTATACGATAAGTCTCCTTAAGTCAATTTGAAAACTGCATATGTTTGTACTGCTGATTATAAGCTCGTGTTACTTACCTGACAGCAATAACAATCTAATAGAAAATAGTATTTACATTATGAAAAATTAGGATGATAGTAATTAGTAAACCTCAGTATTCACTATATCTGAACTCTTGTTCAGCAAGGTAATTTTAAGTTACTTTAGAGGTAAACATTGATAGATACACTACCTATAAGACACACAGGCACAGAGCCATTCCAGGCACCTGTGTTATTGCAATGTAAAGCTCTCTGTCCAACCAGTGAATATCCCTCATCACAAGTAAAATGATGCTTGGAGCCCTCTACGGAACCAGTTCCGTTTCCTTTTCCATTCGGTATGGACGACGGAAGGTCTGGACAATCTGTGACGATCGAACCAACAACAATTGAAATAAACCTGCCACAATGTTTGACTCTTCAGGATAAACTTTAAATAAAATCACTCTGTAACTCATATATTGCTGCAAACCATGCGACAAAAACTAAATATAGTCTATGCACAACGAATTTTTCGTTACGTCACACTTATATAAGTGATTTATTCCTAGACCGTAACAACTCCTTTATCCAACCCCCTTCCCCCCATATTCCAGCTTGTCTTTCTTGGAAAATAGGATCAGATACTGTCATAATATTTCTTAGTCAGGCATATCAGTTCACTTTAACGAGGATCAGATTAAAAAAAAAAAAGCAACACTATTACAGAACTGTTAACCGATATTTAAAGGTTTTTGTCACGCTGAATGTTTTAAAAAGTTTTTGTAGACACTTGAATGTAATCATTTTTCGGTTATTTTTCATCACTTAATTACAGCTACCTTTGAGACAGCTGGGAAGGCTGGAATTCCAGTTTCCGCCCGTAGAGCAAAGTAACGTTTTCTCTCCAATAAGGGAGTAGCCCTGTAAACAACTAAATCCATACACAGAGCCTTCCAAGAAACCTGTGCCGTTGACAAATCCATTAGGTATTGACGACGGCAGTTGTGGACATTCTGAAAATAAGATTACTTAAAGTAAAGAATCCGGAAAAATAAGCTCGCATAATTCAGTGGGAGATAAAAAAGAAATGAAGAAAAATTAGGGATTACTTTGCTTCATATTAGCGCGTAACGTAATAACCTTGGACAAGAAACGTGAGATGAGAAATTCGTTTCCTTGAAAACTAACACTGTGACAAGTGGTATATCAAGCGAATTGCGAGCTACAGATCACACGAGGTTCCTTAAAAAGAAACAGGGATGGATATCTCTTGAATTTCTCAAGCACCAGGAAAATGTTTTCAGGCATCGGAAGTGGGGCACAAAAACGAGTGAAAATTAAGTAATACACAAACCCTGGCAGGTCTCCACTCGGTACTCAGATTATGATGTAGTTAACAGAAAGTGCTACATTTGTGGAGTTTAAAGTAATCGAACTCTCGTGCACCCGTACCTTTGAGACACGAAGGAACGGAGCCATTCCAGTTTCCCTGATCGGTACATTGAAGGATGTTTGCTCCCACAAGAGAGTATCCTCCCTTGCAACTGAACCTGTACTGTGATCCCTCCACTGATCCACTCCCACCAACGAATCCATTTGGTATGAATGATGGAAGATGAGGACATTCTGGAGAAAGAGGGAAATAATGCGGAAAGTCATTCCTTCGAAGGAGCTCATTAGTCCATGGGTTATCTAAATTCTTAAAGCTGATATTTGCAGTCCACTTCACCCATCTCTATCCTTGCTCCTTCTTGATTTGTGATTGACTGACTCATTTCTCTTTTTTCTATCTTATTAAACATGATTTTGAATCGTCTTTTTAACTGAAGGTTTACTTCTTTCCCTAAAAAAATGACTCAATATAACTTGACGTAGCTCTGGCAAATTGCGTCCATAAAGGATACGAGCGCAAGTTTAACTAAGGGAGTAGTTTCTAAAATATTTCTACCTCATCTCTTCAATCAAAAACAGCGTTAGTGGTAACTGTTGTCATAACATCAGACCTCGTAACTCAATAAAACACATGTTTTGTAGTTCGGAGAATGTATCACAAAACTTGGTCGACGATTCCTGGACTAGGTGTTGTAACAACACACCATTCGTCAAATTTAATTTGAGATAGATATGTATACCTCTCAGACACATGGGAACACTGGCATTCCACTTTCCCTCTTCGTTACAGTACAAAATGGCATGGCCCACGAGAGAGTAACCAGGGCGACAGCTAAACCTGTGGTGTGATCCTTGCAAGTGACCTGAACCATGGACGTCGCCGTTTGAAATTGAAGAAGGGAGCCTTGGGCATTCTGCAAGTATTTAAGGCAACTCTTAGGTCATTTAGAACATGGCTAGGAAGATCATGAGATCGTATAATCATAACTAATACTAATTTCCACTTGTTGCAACTGGGAGCTGTATTAAATCATTTCTTTAGGTTTCATAGGTCAATTATCATTCAAAATTATAAATTTTGGTGAGCCATTTTTTTCCAGAAGAAGTAACATTTCCTTTCCTTGTCCCAGTAAGTGAAAAAGATCTCAATTTTAAGCGGAACATGAAGAATGGAAATTCTGGTTTCATTTTCTTCATGTTTTGTTTTTGTTTTGTTTTTTTTTTTTTAATCATTGTTGATTTTATTTCCGGCAGCATCACTATCAAGACACAAAATGATCTGATCAGGTGTCAATTTAAACCAACTTATCAGCAAGACTAAATAAAAAGACTATTTATTGAGTCAAGGATGTAGTTTATCTGCGACGTTTATACGGAGAAAACTGAGATACATGCATTTACACTGGAAAGTTTCATGCATATAACTTTCAAAGAGGGCTCTTTAACTTCTTCTTTTCTTCAAAAAAATTGGTAATTTCATTATGATCGATCCTTTAACATCCATCCCCGATCCTCCTTAATCATTAATTCCTGATTCTCCTTTTCTAAGAAACCTCTCTAATGTATTAAGGCTAAACTTGATACCTCGCAAACAGACGGGTTTTGTACCATTCCATGAGCCATCCGCCGTGCATGTCACGGTACTGTCACCAACCAAGACATATCCACCGTTACACAGGAAATGATACGTTGAAAGATAAACACTGCCATTCCCGTGAAAACGACCGTTCTTAAGATGCCAAAGACGAACTGGACATTCTTTTAAAAAGGAAATCAATATGTTAGACTTAAGTGACAGGTCATTATTATCTCCTGGGGGGGTTCAATGGAATATGGCTGAGTCCCGATGTAATTTGTTTGATCCCCCTATAGGGCTCTGTAATATTCATATAAACCTTTCCTCTCATTAACAGAGTTAATTTATAGTCAATGATCTATAGCCCCCCCTTTGTACTCTTTTTCGGCAACGACTAATAACGGATCCTCCCTCCGTTTCCCCTGGAAACCATCTGATCCCTCGATCCCCACAGAAACCTTCCCCCCACCCTCCCCCGGTTATTAGTGAGACTGCTCCCAAATTTGAGATCTAAAGACGATCAATCAAATTAGACTCTGTCGGTCTCCATTAGTTTTATTTCCTGTTAAAGAAGCTCTTGATCCTTTATTATTGCTCAGAGAGTTGTGCGAGACGGCAAGAAAAACGTCATGCGCAGTCACCGATCATCTCGTTTTATTATATTTATGTTATCAAATTCAATTTTGCGCGTGTCCATTTTAGACACAGATGACGTTTGAGCATGCATTGGAGGGTAGCAGAAAAAGTCTCTCTAAATCAAAAATTTGAAGTACCACTGCTCCTCGAGAGACTCTAAAATGTCTTGCATGCTTTTCTAACTTTCCGCGAGTTTCAAACCTCGATGAACATATACAGACGAATGAACCAATTGTTGGTTCGATAAAGAGGCTATCGTGGATAATTTGACGAAAGAGTTCTTGGAAAGGGCCCAATACTACCAAAGCGTCTCTGCACTAAAATGGTTTCTATGCCCTTCTTTCGTTTCTAAGACTGATTTGAGTATCATTGCAAAATTTAGCAAGTTTCGGTGTTACAAAAACTGGTTTGATCGTTCAGTAAAGAGAGATTCCCGCGTAAGACTGTTGTCGGTTGTAGTGACTAACGTTTCGACAACCTTGAGTTTGTTGAAGACTTCCTCTCAAGTTGTCAAAACGTCAGTCACTCCTATCAACTGCAGCCTTCCACACGTCAAATCTCAGCCGAATTATTAGGCTAAACGTTCTAAGTTTGATTTATAAGTATCAATCGATCGATTTTATTTCCATGCTGACCCAAGTTGTATCCACTTATATCGCTAGTTATCAAACGGTATCAATCATCGATGCTATCGATTGATCATGGCGGGAACAAAACGCAATTATAGTCAACATAACAATTTTTAAGGCATGCAGTGAATGAAAAAATGAAATATTGATCTACTTTACCTTTCGGCAAGCAGTTTGGAGCCGAACCATTGTAAACTCCATCTTTACACGTCACATGATCAGAGCCGTTCATAACGAAACCTTCATTGCATCCAAACGTGTAATCAATTCCGCCTTCAGTGTCATTTCTGTCTACAACCCCATCGGTTAGCTGCGAGTCCAGTGGTACGCAAGCTGAAAAATAAAGACAACATCACACAATTTAGCAACCCTTGTGATTGACATACCAGCCTTCAGCCATGAGCAAACAGGGAAGAGACCTGGAACAATACGGGAAATGAAAAGTGTCCATAAACGCGTTTTCGTTTGGTATCGAGTCGTTTGAATGCTAAGAGTCGTTGGAGAATGACTTGTTCCTTCTGTATGAATTTAATCGCTATCTTATGTATCAAAGATTCTTCCACCGATGCGTCATCAAGCTCTGTTTTTAACTGTACACACGGAATGCAAAGCCTTCTGGACGAAAATGACTTTTTTTATCTTTTGTAAATAAAACTCATTTTCACCCAGTAGGCCCAGCACAAGCTTGCCTCATTGTGCAGTTAACGCGCCGCCCAAAGCTCTGTTCTGATCTGCAGACACGGAGTGCAAAGCCTTTTGGACGAAAATCATTCTATTCTTAGGTAAATAAAACTCATTTTCACTTGAAAGGTCTAAAACCTGGACTCATTTTGCGATTGAGCATTGTAGGAGCTCGTAAATAATCCAATTGACGGATCAAATACTGTGAATTGATGTTTAGCTATCGCATTAAACTATAAAAATTATTATTCTCAACCTGGCTTCACAGTGTCGTTTACAATAGCGACAAACTGAGTCACAGTCTCTTTTGTTGCTCGTCCGATTCGCACTTTGCCAGTTATAAAAATATCGAACAAACACTCGGAGCTATCCCCACAAACATTCTGGGCCTCTTTCTCCAGCACCTTATCAGCGAAGTCCAATTTTTGGCTGTCAGGAAATATTGGCTGGAAATTCGGATGGTGAAACGTGGAGTGGTCCTGACCTTGTTGATAGACAAAGAGAGACTCATCTGGTTTGGTGACCCCTGCGGACGAAAGAAAAGGTGTAACAGTCAAGTGCACTTTTAAGGGATAGTGCCATTAAACGGTATCCTGGGAGTTTCCCATGTGACTCTTGTCTTATTTTTTTGGCTTACTTTGTCAGCATTTGAGAGTATGAGAAAAAACCTGCTACATATTGGCAAATTTTAGATATCTTTCTTTAAAAGTCTTAAAAGTAGTTTCATATCATTAAAGTTTATTGAGGTCTTTTGTGCTAAATAAGACCAAAACAACTTGAGAGAATTTTTTCATAGCTTAATCGTTTGGTGAATTGAGGCGGAAGTAAATGAAATCATAATCATAAAAATTACTATGGAGGGGTTGACAACCTCAAAGGACACGGTACAACTTAGCAACATCTGCACTATGAAAAAAGTGTCTTCAAAAATTGTATTTCTACCCTGAAAATTATACTAATGACCGGCTACAAAGGTTTTTGATATTTTGATTTAGAAATCTGAAATTTAAAAAGGCCATGCTTGCGTTTTATGACTTTCGAAACTCCGGAAGGTAAATCCATAACCTGGAGTAACATAAAAAAAAGACCAGAAAGCAATCATATCTGACAGTTACGTACATAATTGTCCGAACTCTCTGTGTATGATTTCCAAACTCGAATTTGTATTCAGGAATGTTCCGTCAGGCTTGAGGAATTCCGTCTCTTTACTGTCATCCCAGTATCCAAGGAGACCGGAAGTATTACCTGCAATGACAATTTATCTTTCCACTCTCAATATCGGATACTTGCTTCGATTTTTTAGCCTGTCCATTTAAGGAGTTGGGTATGTGATGCTGTTTCGTTTATATGCAATCTCACAGTTACCGAACGCATTGCGATTGGTCAATTTAGGGGGCCATCCTTCAGTTACTTTTTCAAAATCACCCTCTTGAATCCTTTCTTTCTCCAAATTGTTTGTTTAAACTTAATGAAGGCTAACTAACAAATGCCCGGGCTCGTTTTGCTTTCGAAGTACGTCTCTCGTAATATTATAGGAAGCCGCTCTAAGTAACCAATAATCGTTTCCCCAAACCAATTTGATGTACTTTACAAATACTGCAGTGAGTCGTAATTTCCCCCCGCAATTTACAATTTGTCACTGTTTCCCGTCGACTAAAGACCAACGCACATCACGCTTCGGCCATCAATTAACCTTAAAAAACTCTGTCCAGAACTTAGAGTAAAGACCTCAAACCTCGTTGGCAAGTGTAATATGACATCTCTTCTTTGATAAAAAGAGAATAGTCAACTACCCACTTGGGACCTCTTCTTCCCCCAGCCGGGTAACACTCGTTCAAAATGAGTTTCGCTAAGATATCTCTCTTCTTTAGAAAGACTCATAAACGTTAAAGATAAACTGTGTACCCGTATACTTGGAAAGGGGAGAGAAATAACTGAAATTAATTTGAATTCTTCCACCTTCTCTTGATTTTTACCTTTGAAAATTGTTGGTACCAAAGTCACGAGACCAAGCAACTCTTGCTGGCCTTCAACTGTCACGGAGATGCCGGAGTTAAAAATAACGGAATATTTAGTAGTGTTGGTGTAATACAACACAGAGACTCCGGTGAATTCCAGAAGGGAGAGCTCATCAAAATCAACTCTTTCCCCATTCACCAAAACATCCACCAAGCCGCGACCATTCAACTGGATCTACATTCAGCAGAAGAAGAGAAAAAAAGTTTAACTAAGTACAACATTTAGTTTATTTATATTAACAAATAAATGAGGACATGCTGGCCCATCATGGATGATCCAGTCTCTTGTGACCAACTGATACTCCTGCATGGGTGAAGAGGGGTACACTAGGGGCAAAGTAGATGACCCAGCCGGGAGACGAACTTAGACCAGTGTAGATCTATCGGGCTCACACCCAACATGCCAACCAATAGGCCACCTTGAGTCCAGCATGGCAATGACGGTCTAATATAAATATATCATGTAACGTACATTCCTGTGTGCCCCATCACCACATATACAAGATAATCAATATTTCTGTTTTCCGCATATTTTCCTGACCTGTACAACGTCTGATCCATTTTCTTTGGCTGCAAATGCCGTGTACACCGTGGCTTTTGAGGGCGATCCATCGTCTGCTAATAGAGGCTCCATACGCCCCTGCAAAGTGAAGTCCACCCCTTTCACTTTTAAAATGAAGTATTCCCCATATCCGTTGAACGTGAATGGCTTCTCATCCAAGGTCACCATGTGTGGGTCCCCAAAACCGGTAGCTATGGGCAACGAAAAAACGTATTCATTGAAATAAAGAAGATGTGAACTGTTAAGGGAAATCACTATCAAAGAACTATACATACATTTTTTCCCTACTTTTAATTAAAAGTAAAACATAATGCCCAAATGTAGTTGGCAATTAGCAGCGCGCTTTGTTTAGTTTAGGAAAACTTTTACGCTGCGCTTGCAATTGCACAATAACTGAACAATGTAAAAGGACAGTTCACGCGCCAAGCCTGTGTAATTGGACGGTGTGCGTCATTTCTGCGGTGTGCTATCGATCGAGACTGCTGGGTTTATTTGTATAAAAAAAATTGAACTGTAATGTATTTATTTATGAATAACTCTAACCGTTGAGAATTTGTCTCGTCAATTTTTTTCATAGTTTTGTTGATGGGTAAGGGGATTTTTTTGTCGTACAGATCTTTCTGCAAACAGACAAGCTATCAACAAATCGTACTACTGCGTCTCGTTTACCCAAATACGCGAATCATTCGTATGTTTATAGAGCGAATTTGACTCCACTTGGAAATGCTGTAACACTTTAATTATGTGGCATTGTCACACAGGAGAGTAACCGGCCTGCGCCTTTTTTCAACGGTATCCGGTTAGATCGCACCATGGTTAGATCGCTCCCAGTTAGATCGCTCCAACCAAAAGTTAGATCGCTCCACTCGAAAGTTAGATCGCTCCATCAAATAAGTTACTTCGCTACCAACAAGGTACTTCGTTTCATGTTGTAATGTGAAGTATTGCTTAGCAATGATCTTTAAAGTTCATAGGTGATGATGTGTCTTGCGACGATTCGAGTACATCGTATTCACTCTGTCCACCAGATTAACCACCTATATATTTATATATATATATATAGAGGTGACTAGAAGTATAGCGATGATGGAATAAATGATCGTGGTTACACTTCGTGAGTTCGTTACACGAGGTTTTATTTGTTCTTTCTGCGTAACTCGGATTTATTTCAAGCGCGCGCGAGCGATATTAATCGATTGTTAGGTAAGATATACACGTCATTTGATGAATTATCAATTTAGATAGCTTAGTTTTGCTACCTTTACCTTAGTTTTCTACACGGAGCGAAGTAACTTATACTGATGGAGCGATCCAACTTTCGAGTGGAGCGATCTAACCTTTGATTGGAGCGATCTAACTGGGAGCGATCTAACCATGGTGCGATCTAACCGTAATTCTTTTCAACGCGTGTTCAGCCCTTTCGTACATTTTTCGTTTTTAATTGTGAATTTTGAGCGACCACATTTTATCCACTCCAACCCCTGGGTTATCGCGTCGCCCACATGCCACATAACACTTAAATGATTAAGAATTACCGGGTCTTGGTGCTTGATATTCTGAGCTGTCGTCTGAAGGCCGCTTCTCAAAGTACTTTTCACAATTCTTAGAGTTGCGGCAGCAGTCTTCGTACGGCACCTTATCATGGAAGAAATGGGATATCACAGGGAGACCAGCATTAGGATGAACGCGGTCAAGGGACCCTGCGTTTGGTTGGCCCATCATTAAGTTTCCAAGCCTGTTGAAACAGCACTGCTGACCGGAGCCTGTGGCACTATGGAAGAAAAAGTAAATCAGTGCTCCATGCTCGATACATATTCGGACGAAAACAAGAAAAACTGGGTCCAGTGAATCAAACCGAGGCAAAGTTATATTTTGTGCTTATGGGTACCTTTTTTTCGTTGCACAGCGGGCCTTCTTAAAAACAGCAAATAGATCTACATTTCCTCAGGGTTGTTTGCCAGTAAGCTTTTATTAAACTAAAATTAAGAGTAACTGACCTGGGATTGACCATTAAAAAACACTGGAAAGCTCCCTTGTGGTATCGATCACATCCATCGCGATTTTGGGGATTGCATTCCTCATCAGACATGAAGCGCCCGCGATCTACCATAGCCTGAGTCAAACTCGAAGGGCAGGGCTGCATGCTGGGATCTCCTTAGTGGTTGAATACAATAATATTAGTCAAAATCCTCTTCGCCTTATCATTACGGTCGCCTTCTCAAAAACTATCCGCTAACGTTGAGCATGCAGAAACGTTTTCTTAAATGAAAAATGGGTGGGTCTTGCCATCACTCTGTTGGAATACTAACCCATGTTTAGCCCCACAATCCTCTATAGGAGTTTACCTTGGTCTTTCAAGCATGAAAAGTTTAGCAGCATTGCTAATCCTTTCGGATGGCAGCTTCTAGGTTCTCCTGACGGCTATACAGCACCCATTTACAGGCACTTCTTCTCAAAGAAAGGGAATGCGCGAGTGAAGAATCTTGCCTAATGTGCTGATAATGAATTGCTACGAGGACGCTTACAACATTTTAACGTGCTGGGGATTTCGGGGTGGCTGAAGGCTAATGACTGAAAAACCATCTTCCAAGAAAATGGCCCCTTACTCGAGTTAACTTCAGCGATAACCAAATTCGAATTTGTGAGGCTCTACCGTTTGAATCCGGACTTTAAGACGTAGACTTCATTCTCTTTAAGAAGCATCGATAGAGCTTATTTTTCAGTAACAACACGTTAGTCTGTTCCTTCCCCAAGACATATGCAATTTAGGTCTCCATACCTCTGAATGTGTCTGGATTAGGTTCCTTCTGATGCCATTTTTTACATCTACTCTCTGCCCACGGCTCATTCTTCCAAGAAAACACTTCACTCCACACCCACTGAGACTTAGATACGTTGCTGTAGCTGTTTTTTCTTGACACTCGAACAAGATTGATAAAACGATCATCAATGTTCCTACAAAATAATAGTAAAGCAAGAGGATTAGCTTTGAGGAAAAACACCCAAACCAATCATTGCTTTAAATATCTTTTGACATCAAGGGCCTGAATTTTTGATAGGGAGTAAAAAAAACATAGATCCTCCTCCCTTTTTTTAACTCGTGCGACAGAGTTCGCAAAAAGGGGGACTGCTTGTAGGCTTTTCGTTCTCTTACCGAGCGATGGGCCCATCTTCTTTTTAGGGCCCAGTGCAGTGATTTAAAAAAAGTATGGCTGAGTAAACTTAAAGAGAGTATACGCAGCTACTGCGTCAAACACCAAAGCACATCCAATCCTGACATAGCGACACACTCGACCGGTGACAGTTAGCCGGTGTGCATTCTCAGCTGCTTCAGGCATCTTTTCCTCAATTGGGCATGTCAGCTCTTCTTTGACATCCATTCGGTTCAGTTTTTCTTTCATTTCCTTGACGGAGGAATACAATTTGGCCCTCACAGCAGCATCTCTCTTCAATAGTTCTTTGTCGGCCTCAGCTTTCAGCCGAAATCTTTGCGCGTCTTTTTTCGCTTGGTGACACATTTCTTCGACAGCGTCCAAGTTGTCAAAGTACTTGTCAGCATTCTTCTCGAGTTCGCGGAATTCTCTTACAACTTTATCATAAACACTTTCTTCTTTACCACGAACTTTACTCAAATAACCCACTCTATCATCAATTGCTGTTGAAACCAGTTTCGTTGTGACTACCGAAACAGAACACATCTTTTTGTGACACAAAAGATGCAGCTTAAAACTCGCTGACAAAAACGAACAGTGAATTGCAACTGACGTAACAATTGAATTGTGTTCAGTTCTTAACGGACATAGCGCGCGCTCCATTCGAATAGGCTTTCCCTTGAAAATGAATTTTTCAACAAAACAACACCAAAAGATATTTAGGAACTGTTTTCATCTCCTCTCTGAGTTCCCTACTCATGATCAGTGACTCACAAGACGAAGAGGTGCGCTACATAGAGAATCATACATGGGCGCGCGTAGATATGAAATTTCTCTTCAATCGTTTAACTCGATAGCTAACGAGTGAGCACAGCGAACGAGTGAGGTTTCGAGTTGAAGACGAGAAGAGAAATTCCATATCTACAAGCAACCATGTATTATTTTGTTTATCATATCAACACAGTAGGCCTTTACTGACAAGAAAAGCAGTAAAATTAATCAATGAAAACAAATAAATTGACAATCCCCGAATAACAATCGTAGGGTGCGTGGGCGCTAACTCTTAAGATGCAAAAAATGCGTTGAATCATGATTACAAAAACAACAATGGTCGTAATTTCAATTTACAAAATTATCATTTATTGACTTTGTCCTTACCGACAGAAGAATTTTTTCAGGTAAACGGCCAAAATCGGCCAGTGGCAAATCCTCCAGTTGTCGATTTTCATTCTCAGCCGAGAGAAATGCTAACACCAAAGCCACTGAATACGTAACTTTCAGTTTTTCTTTTAGTACACTGGCTTTCTCCTTCTAGGTAAGTTTGAACCTCACTGTCTGTCAGGCATACGGATTTTTTAATGTTTTAGGCGCCATATTTCGAGAAAGCTCCGACAATCAACTTGCCGTTCATTCAGCAACCTGACCGAGTGATTGGCTATATCAACACACGTGGAAAATAAAATAAGATATTTTTTCACGTGTGTTGCTACGGCTTTTTTCAGGGCCGGAAATCCCTGTATAACATCGCAGTTTATGTGATAATAATACATTTATCAACACAAACAGTGCACAAACATGCGTTTGATGCCACTGAGCGGCATTGCAATTTCGCGCAGAATGTTGTTCATATGATGAAAAAGCATCCCAAACTAATGGTTTTTTTTCTTTCCCGCACATTACTGCTTAAAGAATCACCCTTACCCGTCTCCCTCTCCTTTTGTGACATTAAACTGACTATGTCCAGAATTAAGTTGATTGTTTACTACTTGGCGGAAGCTGTCCAGTACGGGAACATCATCATCTCCCATTTTATAGCGCGCCAAATCAATCGACACTTCCTCGTCTAGTCCTCCGATGCTTCCCGAATCCCAACTAATATCAACCGTGGAATCCTCCTGCCATGTATCACCGTCCTCTCGCTGGACCTCGGGAGTGAATCGATTTATGGGAACTAAAATAAAAGAGATAATTTTTTTAATGTTCCTTCTAGTGAAGGAAGAAATGACCCGGAAACTTGAACAAAGCCAATGGTGCATGTTGCCCTTAGAATATCTTATAAACATCCGAGGGCCTTGTGAAGATTCGAACCTCACCAAGGTTCCATTTCGCGATGAGATACTCCACCACATCCGGAATTATTTGGGCCACACATGGCTCATTGATTAGAACTTATGGATCCTACGGTCAGAGCGACTTGAGTGTAGATTAAAAATATGCATATTACAAATTTTAAGCTTGGTTATCGAACAAAGACATAAACGTTAAAATGTTCGTCTTAAAAGATAAAGTTCCTGTTCCTTATTTTTAATTTTTCCTTAAAATTTACAATTTTGATTGATGTCAAAAGTGAGCTCAACGGACAATAAAAAGAATTTAGTCGATAACGTACCTGATGTGTACACTCCATTGTAATCGAATGAATTTCCGCCGTCAGTAGATAACTTGAATGACAACCGCCCTGTCTTGTTCAACACTGGTATTGTAACTGATGACGTTAGCTCGTCGCTAAAAGTTGCATTAATGTTGACGTCATTGTCGAGTTGAACCACAATGTTATCATTTGCAGTGAAGCAAGGTCCACTCATTTTCACGTTCGTACCTCCTAACATAATCCCAGATCGGGGTGATATGGTGAGAGATCCTGTTAAATAGGAAGAAGCAGATGAATGCAATGTTAGGGTAGCATATAACCAAAAGCCCACTGAACGTGGTGAATGTTTGCGTCTCTTCACTTATTTGGATTCTTTTTTCTAAAACGAGGAGCAAGGACGGTACAATCTGCAACACTTTTATGCGTGGCGCCTTTTAAAAAGCGAAGCTAGATAACAAAAATTATGGAGGATAAAATGATTATTTCCGTACAGTTTTAAGTTACTTCCCGCAAAGTTTTTTGGTCTGTTCCATTGACTCTCTATTTATAATTTTTTTATTCAAGTTCTTTTTTTCCTTTTTAGGTGTTCGCTGAATGTCCACTCCTACGACATCTACAGATCTATGCCTATGACTCCGTGATGTTTCTTTAAACTATACTTGTGTTTACAATTTGTACCTTTTGTGTTACATCCCCCAGCTTCCACACTTGCTTCATCGGTTTGGAACATCCACTGACCGTCTCGAGCAACGTTTGAGGTGGAAGTAAGATTAAGGATGTCATTTGTTCGGGAGCCAGGAATAATGGAGAACCTCACCCCATCTCCAGCATTAAACCCGCCCTGCAGTTCAAAGTCAAATCCACAGTCAATTCCATACATTTATGGTAGCATCTTCATCATTGTGTAATATTTCGGTCACAGCTGCAGATAGAGGAAAGGGTTCGACTCTGCGAATCTATGAGTAATCTTTTCCAAGCGAGCTCAGTGCATGCATTAGTACCTTTCTCTTGGGTGACGTTTTAACCTTTCTTAGAGTTACAACGGTAAATTTGTTATGGATAGAGTTCATTAAATTAAGTAGGTCCAAAGATATTTGGGTATTCCATTGGCCATATGTTCTTTAATAAAAATTTTGAGAAGTGGACTCCCACTAAAGATGCGGCACGAGCAAAACGGGCAGTAAAGAGGTCTGAGAGGGGTCTCATTTTCGGGGCAGAACCCTCGCAGACTCTTTGCAAACCTCTTGCACGCTCGCCTCACGGGTGGGCTCGAAACCCGCAGGCTTCGCCGCTCCTGTAGGCGCAGTCTTGTGCACTCGCAGGCTACACAACTGTAGGAGAAGGACAGGAGAAAAAATATTGGAAGGCTATGGGTTATTCGAATGTGCGTTTCATTGCAACCTGCATGTTTATAATTTTTTTTTTCTATATAGATTGTGGTAATAAATCCACTGGGCTCACTGTTTTTACTCAATATATTGTCTCTTACTTTACATTCAGACACTCACCTGAGCAGGCGTACCGCCCAATCCGTCCTCAGTCCCTTCGCTAGCTTTACCAGTTGTCCACACGATTTGATTGTAATTGAATATGGCAAATGAATGACGTCCATTTGTAACCAGCACAGCTTGAAAGTTGTTGACCTGACAAGGAACAAAATTGCAATTTCTTTTAGAATTCTTACCCTTTTACACAAGATCCTCTGCTTAAACCATTGTGAATTAAGGTTATTTGTCTTTACAGCCCTGTTGGGTTTTAACTAATGTTACCTTGTTTGTAAAATTAGAGTGGGAAAGACGGTAAATTTTGCGCTCAGTAGTGAAGTGGAGAAAGACGTTTTACGTCTTTTCACGAGAGTGGGGGAAAGGAAAAAATTCTAAGTCCCCATAAGGAATCGAATCTCAGACCTCCAGATTCCACACTCTAATATTCTACCAGTGAGTCATAGAGACTCTGTGGAGAGCTACACATGTATAAGGTTCTTATGTGACACGCGTCCTGCTTATTGCTAGGATTACCTATTCGGAGAACGTCATGTGTAAATAAAATAAGAAAGAGGTCAGTGGTGGCGCATCAATGGTCAGAAGTTCGATTCTTCATGTCCCACGCTTGTGACAAGGCGAAAAATTTATCTTTCCCTGTTACCTTGTTTGTAAAGTTTCCTACAGCTCCATAGAATGCCACTCTGTCCCAGGTCGCTATGAAGATCCACGAGGCTGAGAATCTCTGGTGATTTAAGAATGCCCGTCGAATATCCTTTGTAGCTCGGTCCAGCAATACAGGGTCAATAGACTCCCTGTATAATACAGTTCCCCCATTTCTGGTATCCACGTCACCCCAAAATGGCGAAATAAGACGTCGGTTGTCGCCCAGGGGGAATGGAGCTGGGGTGTATTGACTCACTGCAACCAGAAATGAGATAACTCCATTTGTGTTCACCTGAAATCACACACAGAGAAAAGTTAAATAAGAAATGAAGATTATTCTGAAATCGATAATCTTCTGGAAGCCTTTAATAAGTCATGCGATCATATAAAACATGATTCTTCACAACTTCTGCTGGTGAACGATTTAAAATTACAATACATGTGTTAAATCATAATCAGATGACCTACAGTGGAGTTTACAAGTCTTGGGACACTTTCAATCGAATTATTTCTTCCGCAAACAAAGTTGAATTTGGTGCGCTTAGTAAACTTTACTAACACGTAGGTTCACCAACAATGTTAGAGGGCCGGGGGAGTGGATGTTCTGTGTACACGCCTCAGTGAATTGGCTAAAAGTAGTCGGTCTTTTTCATATATTTGGGCATAGGACATGTTTTCAAAAACTGCCTAAGGATTTTTGACCCCATTGTAAGTTATATGCTTCTGGTTTAATTCCCTTGATCGATTACATAAAGGAAAAGCTTTCACCCTTGCAACGTGGACTCAGCTAGGCGATAAGCACTTTGGTTGAAGGTAAAAATAAAATAAAAATTATAATACTCCCTATTTTTTTAAATCAAAATAAACACGAGACTCTTTTGTTGTCAGAGTTCCAACAACTTAAACTGTAAGATTATTCGCTCTCGATTTGTAATCGTGAAAGTTGATCCTGGCTTTTCCCGCATCAACTAATAACCAACTATCAATTATCACGTGACAAAAATCTTGAGCTGATAATCTGATTGTTTTAAATGCCTTAAATAGATAGCGACTTGCGTAGCCAGTCGCAATACAGCATTTGTGAAAGGACGATTTCTACTAATTATAGTTATGACTCGTCTATAACATGGCCGTAAACTGAAAACGGTGAGGTCATACAGATCAGATTCATTGTTTTGCAGCTCAAGTTCGAACCGTTTTAATGCCTTTGTAGCTTCCGACAACACTTCTTAAATTAAAAAATTTTCCGGTTGGAAAAGTATTTTAGTTTGTGAATTCGTTGGGCAGTAAAGCGGCGCTGAAAAATTACCCTTGAACAAATTTTGACAATACTCAAGTACTTAGTGAAACAACTACTAAACTGTCGTGCCCGCCAGACTATCACGAATACTTTTAATGCACGATCTGGTTGAAATGAAAGTGGAACGTCTTATATACTGAATTCAAGTTTTTTTTTTCGTTGTTTGCATTCGTTCTATTCGTCTTCTGCTGAGGTAGCGATGATTTCTGTACAGGAAGAACCTAATATATCTCGTGACACACACCACGCATGAAACACATGGGTGGCGTAGAAAGGTCACTTGTGGCATATTGGAGTACTTAAACAATGCGATAGAACTGAAAATATTGTTGGGCAGTGAAGATATAACGGAATAAACGAGCAACTAATATCATTCATCACAGTGTAAAGATAGAATTTTAAAGGAAAATCATGCTTTGTTTGAATACGTTATTGATCCGTGCTGCATTTAGTTATATTTAATCAAGCGAGACAAATGTGGTTCCGAGAAAAAATTTAACTGTCACACTGGTAGTTCATAGGGATTTTAATACACAAGAAATCAGAGACGCTGTCAATGTTTCAATTTTCTTGACAATTTTTATTTAAAGGGCGTTATTAGAATCTTAGGTGAAGTAAGAAAAGCAGAAACTCTTTCAATCTGTGAATTTCAATTTTGCAAAGTTTAGCGCTGACATCACGTACAATCAAAGTGGTTTTAAAATACAGGCACTTCTGTCAATATTTTAAAAAATAAACTTATAAAAGATATCACCGAGTCTAAACATAATTCATATTAAAAAGTGCAAATAAATACTGCCTACTTACATATAAGGAATCGTGATTCTTGTCAAAATACGGGTAGAGAATTGAGATTGGTATTTCTCCTGAGCTGCCGTCGTCATTTGGCGGAAGTGCATTATCACCCTCGCTGACTCCATAAGGATAGAAATCGCTGAGCGGAACACTGAAACACGATGTTATATGAAGGACTAATGTGGCGAAAATTTTACAACGTCGCCAATACATTTTAACACCGATTCTGTCCAGAGAGGTCTTCGAGAAGACGCTGGAAAACCAACTTTATCCTTTCCTAAACCAGTCGCAGACAACACTTAAAATTTACATAAAGCGATCTCAAGCAGATTGATGACACTTATAATGTATGTAAATAGAAAACTAGTTTTCAGCAGATTGGGTTGAAACAGCCGTTCTGATAACAGAGAGGAAATTGAACTTGCATCGAAACGGAGGTCATCTGAAGAAGAGTTGAACTTGTCAGTCAATTTATAGCCAAAATAAATATCCGGGTACGTGTTGGTTCAAATACCTTCGCAGCACGTTTTTCCTTTTGATTTCCAGTTAAGCCGCGTGGGAGAGTAGCCTCGCTTCTTCCAAGAAGTCCCTTGTCTTCCGGGATTGCTGAAGAGTTAACGGAACGTTTTAGAAGTCACTCAAAAACTCAAATAAATAAATAGGTAACCGCAGAAAAAGACAAGAAAATGAAAATATATAAATAAGTAAACAAATTGGTAACAAGTGAAACTACCGGTAAGTGCTTTGTAGAAAGGAAGATAAAGTGAAGGCAAATGGAGTCAGAAATTTCAAAAACACTTGTTTGTATGCCATCTTAACTGAAGGACGGGTGTGTTGTTGATGTTGCTTGTTATTTCCTATTAGTTTCTCCTTGTACCCACCGACACATAAATAATGCAATATTTTCATATGTAGAGCTTAGTACTACAAGTAGCAGGGATAGAAAATGAAAAAAACGGGGCCTCAAAATGTTGAATGACTCGCGTCAACAGCAGGATAAAATTCGACCCAAGCCGATTAAAAGTAATCGGGCAGGCTTGAAGTTTTGACTGTACATGTAGCCAGTGTTAGTGTTGGTAAATTCTGGTCAAAGCATTACATAGGAGGAATGAGAAAAAATCTGATCATCATTTCGTAAATAATTTTATTGATGAGGGTTCATGCTTCTGTAATAATAAGTATGAGCGCAAAGTGTGAAAGATTACGGAGAAGTACTAGAGCAGTGGGAGACCAGCTGCCAATCACTTTCGGGTAATGAAATTAATTTTAACATCCTACTCGGCCTAATTGAGTTCTTCTTTTGGGGGCTGGGGGGAGGAAGTAGGGCTGGCTTTGTTAAGAACATGAAGCTCTGAACGCGCTTTTTAGGGCGTTTACGGATATTTAACATATAAACTAACAATATTAATGTCGGGGCGTAACAGAAACATTGTCGTAATGGCAACGTAGTCGGATTTGGGAGGAAGTAAAATACGGAAGTTGACCTTGCAATATGTCACAACGTTAGGCTAAAACACCAAAACAAGTCCTCTAGTGCCTCAAAAAAGATTGGAGCTTCAGTTTTCTCCTCATTTCCTTTTTCTTTTATACATTTGTACAGGAATATATGAGCTCGATTAGTATTCTATTTATTCCAAACAAATTTCACAAGTTTCTGGCTTCCAACATATTCACAACAGCCAGCTTATTTCTTATGAATCTGAGATTTCCCTTAACCCTGTCGGGACTATGATCGGACAACAACCGCAAACTACGGAAGATGTTCAAATGACTTCCGCAAATTAACGAGTATGCTTCAACAACTTCTGAGGATAACTGGAGGTGTCTCAAACCGTTTAAGGATATTACGAGAGGGCCATTGCCAAACAAAACCCTGATTATTTTTAACCGCTAATGCGCGAACGAAGAAGTAGAATAAATTAATAAAAAGTCGGATTTATAAGTCAGAAGCAAAAAACTGTTGTAGTAGCTGGAAATCGATCTGAACGGATGATCTTTACACACAATTTGCGAGTATGGATGGGTACCGACACATCAAAAGAAACATCTCAGAATCCTCGCGTAATATCGCGACCAAGAAGAGATTAGATCAACTTTAGACTGAAAACAATCCCTCTTTTCCCAGAAGAAAATTTTTGCACCAATTTTAACATCTGAAACAACATCAAGTTGCTAACGGGAGGTTTCGATATATTAATGAGAGTTACATATTGTTCCTTGGTTTAAATGCGGTAATAAATATAATAATGATGAGGATAATACTGCCACCACTAAAAACAATACTACTACTTATAATACTACCACTATTAATGATAATTATACTTCTAGGACTAAGAATAATATTAATACTTATGGCGCAAGTACCTTTACAAATAACTCCAGGACACCGAAACCCAGAAATCGATTAAATTAAAGTGGAAATAACACACATGTTAGTAGTTTTCTGTTTTGTAATATGTCATTCGTTAGTCGGAACATTCTCCTGAGCTCATAATCTATTTTGTTCCGATGTTTCCGTGTCAGGATTGATAAATGACACTAGTTTACTAAGTCCTTGCTTGGCACTTTCCGTGTCGTCTTTAGAGCACGCTTGTATGTGCCAATTTCTCTTGCGAGCAATCGCATCCAACCCCATCATCCTCGACAGCTGTGGATTAAAAAAGTTGAAGACGCAGATAAAAAATCAACCATCCGCATACGCTTTGGACGCCGTATTCACATATCAATTAACAAATGGATTGCACTTTGCCGTGGGTCTGTTCAGCAATAGATCAAATATGACGTCAAGATGTGTTTGATTGTGATGTCCTTGCCACATTTTGACGTCTCCTGTGATCTATTGCTGTGCAGACCCACGGCATCAAAGAATCCTTTCATTTTATAATAAAACAAAGCAAAAAATTGTTAGTGCTGACGTCATCTGAGTGTCTGTCCTCCAATAGACCATCAGTAAGAACTAATCGAGATACGTGATTAATTCAGCTTATTATATAATACTCTGTCAAATTCTTCTTGTATAAACGTAAAGACTCCTGGAATAGTCCCCAGCTTTTACTAGTTAGCTGTAATTTTGTGTAGAGCTTTAAAGTTTCTTGCACTTTGTTATTTGACACGAACAACTAGTAATAGGACATCGGGTTGTTAAATTCAAAGGTAATCGCGCCCATTTTCTCGAATCATTCTTAATTAATGAGATAAACATTATGAAACAATGAAGATAAGAACACTTGTGGGCTTGATTGGCACTTACAGCGTAGGTCAGAAAGTTTCCCAAGTTCAGTTGAGAAAAAAAAGCCCCCTATGTTACATTTCTTTGAAATTTTTATTGACTTGTCAGTCTCTTACAACAGTTATTGCCTTTGACAGAGGGTCATAGTTAGGTGGACAACCAGCCATTTACCAATCACCAAATAGTTGAGTCAGAAGACATCTGTTTTTTTAACAATAAAATTATTCAAAATAACCTGCAAAAGACTCCACTTGTCAAAAATGTAGTGGATTACTGTGATATACATCGTTTACCATAGAAACGAACCAAATAAAACCATCTCTAATCCTGCACCGCTAGGTTCGTCTGCACTGCGGGCTCCATTAACATCTTGTTTGTTGGCTAAGACCGGCAGAGGAAGGGATTCCAGGGAGGAGTGGGACAGGACTTCTTGTAATTCAGCTGCCGCTAAATCCACATCACCATCATTGCAACAGCTGTCCACCACAAACACCTGCAAATTATTGGTTGTTGAATCGGATTTTAATATTCACTCAATAATCCTTATTTTAAAAATTCCAAAATAAACATCTTCCATTGTTTGTTATAAACAGACTTTTCAAATAAAGGATTACTTTGTTCCTTCAAACATTATTTAGTTATATCTGTATCAACAGGTTTGTTTTCCACCATTTTCTCATGTGTGGCTTACTTTGATCCTCTCAGGAACGGGAAGGAGCAAGGCACACTTCCTACCCAGCTGTTATGTCCAGAAACGTATGCAGAAATGAAAATGGCAGATTTAATTAGATTTCGTCAAACCAAGTGAATGTTCATGGATTCGACGATTTTCGAAAATTTTAGTCGAATTCGTCAAAGCAAAATCTGCTTAGCGGAATTGAAAATTTTGACGAGTTTTAGTCAAATTTATCCAGCGAAATCAGCTTGGGGGATTTGACAATTTTGACAATTTTGACAATTTTCCGTTACTACATCCATTTCTGGACTTATTTATAATGTTTGTGCAGGGTGTATCCAGTTCTACATAGGCTGTTTTATGTGATTACATAAATGTAATATTAAAAGATATAGATTGGTACAAGGCCTTCTAATAATTAGCGTTTAATTAGTCTGTAGTCGTAGGTGTGGTTAAAATATAAAACAAAAATAAATCAGGAGTCTGATTTATTGATCATGAGTATCAATAGAGACAGAATTGCGCAACAGATTTTCCTGATACTAATTCATCAAAACTGATCAACACATTTACAAATCCCTATCTTTGACAACAACCTCATTAGGATGCTTCAAAGATTTTCACCAGGGTCGCACGCTCTCAAAGTATGTAAACACCATTCTAATACCACTTCTGAGAAATATTTTATAAAAGCAAAAGAGGATGTTTTTCATGTTTACAAGGCCTTATCTACAGACTTGCAGGGTTGGGAAAATTCGTGAAAGTTTGCAAAACTTTCACAAATTTTCCCAGCCCCCCTTGTGTTCAGATGAGACTATGTAAGCACAGAAACTGAATTCCTCATCGGCTTAGCTCTAAAATAAGCTTAGGTTTTTTTCTTAATTTCCACTGAGCTTCTCCAAAGTAGTGTGGCAGTATTTTCTGATTTTTTGTCTCCACGTATTATGCAAAGTGAGATAAATTCATGAACAAATAATTTCATTCATTCAGAAAAATTCTACCATCAGTACCATAACTAAAATGACGATCATCTGAAATTCAATAACTAAAAAGATGCACGCTGCTAATTGGTTTTTTGGTAAGTCAACTCCTTTGGTCAAAGTATTCTAAATTTGTGCAAGAAATGCCCTGATTTCAGTTTCTTTATAATTGTACACTTGAAAACTCGCTCCCTTTAACTCCAGCCTCTTTGGATTTCTTTGAAAGTTGTGATCTATTAAGAGTTATGATCGTTGTTATTACAAGTAACTTTGCTGTCATGTACTTACCTCCAAGTTCTTTAACATTTAGAATAGCACTGGGTAGCTGAACAGCTTTCACAGAGAAACCTATCGTAGCCATTTCAGAAATACATTACTGATTTAGAGTACCGCTGAGCGTATGCCAATCATTTTTGTACAAGGTAATTTCCTGAATTAAATCAAAAAGTTAACAAGGGTGGTTTGTAAATATCTTCTGCTCAGAAGTAAGGGATACTGCCTTGATATACAACCAAATTCTTCCTACTAGCCCATGAAGCAATGTCACTAAACAAACTGGGAGAATCTTTTCTCTGATTCTGAGAGTAAAATGGTTATCATGTGTTCACCAACATCACTATAAATAAACTTTTTCCGACATTTAACAAATGTCAACTCAAAGTGATAAATCTGAAAAGTATATTCAAACATAGACACTCGCAAAAAGAGCTTACCAACAGTGGGCTCAAGTTTTTTCAGAATTGTCCCACTCAGCTTTGCAAACAGCATTGACTTGCCAGCCTGTCTGATTCCAATTGCAATCACAGAGTATGATGGCCTGGGTGAGAAGGTTCCTTGTTGCAGGCTGTTTGATAAAACTGTACAGTAAAAATACAATCTCTCTTTTCTAACGTGATACATGAAGGCCAACTGACCCAACCTCCTGATACATGCGACAAATTACATCCAAGGGGGCTGGTTAAATACAATCTTTATTAGGGGGTGAGGGGTGGGGAGAAGGAGGAGGTAGTTTTCAGTAAAAGGGTTATTTCTTATGCAAATAAAATCTCTCTACAAAATGAACCTTCACCATAAATATGTGCATCCCGTCCTCTGGACAGAAGAGAGAAGAAAAGAAAGACTATACAACCAGTCTCCCAGTCATACATGCATACTCCCATATATCTCCATGATGAGAGAAACTTTTGGACAACTTATTTGTCTGCCAATGTAGGCCATGTGAACTGAATACCTGTCAAATGTTGTTGTCTGTGGTCTTTCGAAATGTATGCTGAGATCAAAAGCTTTCTTTAGCGTCGTTTGGATTAAAGGTTGAAAATTTTAATGAAGACAATAAATGAGGAAATTTCTGTGTATTTCAACTAGCACTTACGATTTTTTCCTAAACAATGTGCTTTACACACTAACTGGATAGTATTATAAATTACACCTTGAAATAAATATTAACAACGTTTAGCTTCTCGTGAATTTATCTCGGAGACACCAACTCGATAAACGGTAGATTTGCTAACTTCCTCGTTATCTTTTCTCAAGTCGTTAACAAAGTTTCTGGGTGTGGAGATCTACTTTTCATATTGGAACCCTTTTCAAGACGGTAAGGTGATGGAGCTTATCGCTCTGCGTGGATTTTCATCAATTTTATATTCCTCTTTAAGTTAAGGTCGCCACTTGAAAAAGTAACTCAACGGACATTTCAGATATCGAGTGAAGTACAAAGAACGATCTCTTGATGTCTTGCAAAGTCACGGCGGGAATATTCAAGCGTTTAAAGAGGGCTCTAAAAGAGCTACATCAAAGACGTGACACTCTGAAATCCAGAAAACATAGTTAGGGCCAACGGAGATCTTTCATCTATACCACACCCACAGGATCTTTAGAGCAATCGTTTTGTAGAGGAGTGGTACATTCGTCTTTATTGTCCTCAGATACTGAAGGTTTCATCATGACTTCCAGTTCTGCCTCTTCGTCACCCTTCATGGTTGCTGTATCTCTTTGACCTGACCTCCGTCGACAACAAATAACCAACAGGCCAATTGCGATTATCAGAATTAGGATAGCAGCACCAATTAGGACGTAAAGGTACCAGCCGTTTGTATCCTTGTCCTCTTTATCTGTACGAGCTTGGGTAAATTGAAAGTTGTTCAGTGAGGGGGGAGTACATATGAAAGACTTTCAGAGGTCTTTTTATTTACTCTTGGAACACTGTCACCACTGCTATTATTTCACGCACTCGCAACAAGATGACGCAACCCCTACCACTCACATTAAAATGATCTCAATTAGCATCAAAACTATCAACACTACACAATCGCCATCGTTGCCAAGATCACTGCTGCCACCGCAGTCAAGCAATAATCATTACCACTATGCCACGAACACAGAGAACTTTAATATGGCTACCTACCCTCCTACTATCAAGAGCATTATGGGAACACCGCTTTCACAACCAGAAAAATATCCACCACTACCGATACCAAAAAAACTGTTAATCAAGATTCTTGCTAATGCCTCTACTTTCTCTGCTACTACTGCTGCTACTACTAATTGCTAAGTTTTTGTGACACGCAACTTGATTAGTTGGCGACTATAGCAAAGCACTGATGCATAACAGGTCGGCCGATGCAAACTGTAATCAAGCAGTAACTTGAGAGTTTAACGTACCCTTTAAACATACAGGAATGCTACCATTCCATTGTCCCTTTTCATCACAGCGCAGCGAGGTTTCTCCATCTATGCTGTATCCTTCATCGCAAAGAAAGCTATACACTGCACCTGACGTGGATCCATTACCATCAATGTGCCCGTTTTCTAGTGTGCGGTTCATTTGAGGACAATCTTTGAAAAAGAATGTGTAGCTGTGTTAGCGTACAGCTTTCTGACACATTGATGTTCTTAGGTAAGCGAATAAACTCATGTGTAGGTTAGTTATTTTAACAGTAACAAAACAGCGATATTAGCTGCTTTAAGCGATGTTCTTATTAGTCATGGTTTATTTTGTGAGCATGTCTTCATCAAATTTGAATTTAAAACATATTTACTTTACCTTTTAAACAAGAAGGTGTTGTACCATTCCATTGACCATTTTCATCACAATAGAGGTATTTGTTTCCTTCAAGTGAATAACCATTAGCACAGCTAAACCAGACCAAGGAGCCTTCCACCGACCCACGGCCATGTTTATAACCATTTTCCATGTCAGCAGCCAGAGAGGGGCATTCTATCAAGGGAAAAAACACAGAAAGAAAAAAGAATTCGAAAACACAGCAATAGATGGCTAAATCTAAAAATAAATATTATTTCTCTGCCAAGAATTCCAGTGCAAGATAAAGAAAACGTATCCTTAATTTCATGCCAAGTCTGGTGGTCTTAAAACCGTTGTGATGAACAGAAAAACACGATTTAAGTTATTCAACACGAAGAGGATTGGTGCTGATAAAATGGCTAGATATACCTTTAAGACAACTGGGAAGGCTGGCGTTCCATTTTCCTTCTGCCGTACATTTCAATCTCTGTTCACCAAATAGTGAATAGCCTTGAATGCAGCTAAAACTGTACTCGGATCCCTGTACTGAGCCCGTACCATTAACATGACCATGTAGTATGGAAAGGGGAAGCTTTGGACATTCTGTGTGAGCAGATATATGAAGATTATATTCACGGTAATGTGTAGGGAGAAAACAAAACAGATCAAAATATGATTAAATAAAAGAATAAAGTTGACTTTTCATTTCTAGATTACTGCGAAGTGAGCAACCTTTCTTTGATCGTACAATAAGGAAACAAAGTATTTCGTTAGGAGACAAGAAAGTTACAAAGTTACAAAGAAGTAATTAGTAAACCTCAGTATTCACTATATCAGAACTCTTGTTCGGCAAGGTAATTTTAAGTTACTTTAGAGGTAAACATTGATAGATACACTACCTATAAGACACACAGGCACAGAACCATTCCAGGCACCTGTGTTATTGCAATGTAAAGCTCTTTGTCCAACCAGTGAATACCCCTCATCACAAGTAAAATGATGCTTGGAGCCCTCTACGGAACCAGTTCCGTTTCCTTTTCCATTCGGTATGGACGACGGAAGGTCTGGACAATCTGTGACGATCGAACCAACAACAATTGATATAAACCTGCCACAATGTTTGACTCTTCAGGATAAACTTTAAATAAAATCACTCTGTAACTCATATATTGCCAAAACTAAACATAGTCCATGAATTTTTCAAACCATGTTTGACTATGTGAAAAAACTAAATATAGTCTATGCACAACGAATTTTTCGTTACGTCACACTTATATAAGTGATTTATTCCTAGACCGTAGCAACTCCTTTATCCAACCCCTCCCCCCATATTCGAGCCTGTCTTGCTTGGAAAATAGGATCAGATACTGTCATAATATTTCTTAGTCAGGCATATCAGTTCACTTTAACGAGGATCAGATAAAAAAAAGCAACACTATTACAGAACTGTTAACCGATATTTAAAGGTTTTTGTCAGGCTGAATGTCTTAAAAAGTTTTTTTAGACACTTGAATGTAATCATTTTTCGGTTATTTTTCATCACTTAATTACAGCTACCTTTGAGACAGCTGGGAAGGCTGGAATTCCAGTTTCCGCCCGTAGAGCAAAGTAACGTTTTCTCTCCAATAAGGGAGTAGCCCTGCAAACAACTAAATCCATACACGGAGCCTTCCAAGAAACCTGTGCCGTTGACAAATCCATTAGGTATTGACGACGGCAGTTGTGGACATTCTGAAAATAAGATTACTTAAAGTAAAGAATCCGGAAAAATAAGCTCGCATAATTCAGTGGGAGATAAAAAAGAAATGAAGAAAAATTAGGGATTACTTTGCTTCATATTAACGCGTAACGTAATAACCTTGGACAAGAAACGTGAGATGAGAAATTCGTTTCCTTGAAAACTAACCCTGTGACAAGTGGTATATCAAGCGAATTGCGAACTACAGATCACACGAGGTTCCTTTAAAAAAAAAACAGGGATAGATATCTCTTGAATTTCCCAAGCACCAGGAAAATGTTTTCAGGCATCGGAAGTGGGGCACAAAAACGAGTGAAAATGAAGTAATACACAAACCCTGGCAGGTCTCCACTCGGTACTCAGATTATGATGTAGTTAACAGAAAGTGCTACATTGGTGGAGTTTAAAGTAATCGAACTCTGGTGCACCCGTACCTTTGAGACACGAAGGAACGGAGCCATTCCAGTTTCCCTGATCGGTACATTGAAGGATGTTTGCTCCCACAAGAGAGTATCCTCCCTTGCAACTGAACCTGTACTGCGATCCCTCCACTGATCCACTCCCACCAACGAATCCATTTGGTATGAATGATGGAAGATGAGGACATTCTGGAGAAAGAGGGAAATAATGCGGAAAGTCGTTCCTTCGAAGGAGCTCATTAGTCCATGGGTTATCTAAATTCTTAAAGCTGATATTTGCAGTCCACTTCACCCTTCTCTATTCTTGCTCCTTCTTGATTTGTGATTGACTGACTCATTTGTCTTTTTTCTATCTTATTAAACATGATTTTGAATCGTCTTTATAACTGAAGGTTTACTTCTTTCCCTAAATTGCGTCCATAAAGGATACGAGCGCAAGTTTAACTAAGGGAGTAGTTTCTAAAATATTTCTACCTCATCTCTTCAATCAAAAACAGCGTTAGTGTTAACTGTTGTCATAACATCAGACCTCGTAACTCAATAAAACACATGTTTTGTAGTTCGGAGAATGTATCACAAAACTTGGTCGACGATTCCTGCACTAGGTGTTGTAACAACACACCATTCGTCAAATTTAATTTGAGATAGATATGTTTACCTCTCAGACACATGGGAACACTGGCATTCCACTTTCCCTCTTCGGTACAGTACAAAATGGCATGGCCCACGAGAGAGTAACCAGGGCGACAGCTAAACCTGTGGTGTGATCCTTGCAAGTGACCTGAACCATGGACGTCGCCGTTTGAAATTGAAGAAGGGAGCCTTGGGCATTCTGCAAGTATTTAAGGCAACTCTTAGGTTATTTAGAACAAGGCTAGGAAGATCATGAGATCGTATAATCATAACTAATACTAATTTCCACTTGTTGCAACTGGGAGCTGTATTAAATCATTTCTTTAGGTTTCATAGGTCAATTATCATTCAAAATTATAAATTTTGGTGAGCCATTTTTTTCCTGAAGAAGTATCATTTCCTTTCTTTGTCCCAGTAACTGAAAAAGATCTCAGTTTTAAGCGGAACATGAAGAATGGAAATTCTGGTTTCATTTTCTTCATGTTTTGTTTTTGTTTTGTTTTTTTTTTTCATCATCCTTGATTTTATTTCCGGCAGCATCACTATCAAGACAATATGATCTGATCAGCTGTCATTTTAAACCAACTTATCAGCAAGACTAAATAAAAAGACCATTTGAGTCAAGGATGGAGTTTATCTGCGACGTTTATAAAGATCTCATGGTCATTTGCGAACTGAAACCGAACTTATATTCTGGTTAATCAGAACAAGGATGGGGAAACGACAGTCAAGGAACTGGAATCGAGGGAAGGAGGATCGGGTGTCAAGAATCTGTTAAATCATTACGCCAGGAAGTGACTTGGACTCTCGTCCCCTGGAATTAAGTGAATGTAGTGAGATCATAGTGAACCTAAAAAGGGAATTATCTTCATAGCAAATTTCAAATAAAGAACACCAACAAAAAATTTCTAAGATGTTGCCAACGATAATTTGACTACGTAAATTGTAATAACCACGAGGTGGTTTTTAGTTCTGTGATTTAGGAGAAAACTGAGATACATGCATTTACACTGGAAAGTTTCATGCATATAATTTTCAAAGAGGGCTCTTTAACTTCCTCTTTTCTTCAAAACAATTGGTAATTTCATTATGATCGATCCTTTAACATCCATCCCCGATCCTCCTTAATCATTAATTCCTGATTCTCCTTTTCTAAGAAACCTCTCTAATGTATTAAGGCTAAACTTGATACCTCGCAAACAGACGGGTTTTGTACCATTCCATGAGCCATCCGCCGTGCATGTCACGGTACTGTCACCAACCAAGACATATCCACCGTTACACAGGAAATGATATGTTGAAAGGTAAACACTGCCATTCCCGTGAAAACGACCATTCTTAAGATGCCAAAGACGAACTGGACATTCTTTTAAAAAGGAAATCAATATGTACCATGTTATCACTCGATCATTTAATTAATTTTTTTTCTGCCTTTCAAAGGTAATTATCTACCATAGAAACATTGGTGACACAGTCACCATCTATCTGTGCCTCTTCCCGTTCTTATTTACAGTTGGCCTTAAGTGACCGATCATTATTATCTCCTGGGAGGGGGGGGGATTCAGTGGAATATGGCTGAGTCCCGATATAATTTGTTTGATCCCCCTATAGGGCTTTGTAATATTCATATGAACTTTTCCTCTCATTGGCAGAGTTAATTTATAGTCAATGATCAAGTCCCCCCTTTATACTCTTTTTCGGCAACGACTGATAACGGATCCTCCCTCCGTTTCCCCTGGAAACCATCTGATCCCTCGATCCCCACAAAAACCTTCCCCCCACCATCCCCCAGTATTAGTAAGACTGCTCCCAAATTTGAGATCTAAAGATGATCAGTCAAATTAGCCACGTTAAACAGATTTTTTTTTCTTGTCAACTAAATTTAATGTCCAATTTCAAAGAGCCTAAAAGAAATTGCAAACAAACGTTAAGAAAGTAAATTAAAATAATTGAGTTTCTTTGGAAAAATTAAGGGAGAAGAGGCTAACCTATCAATAAAGCATTTTCAGACATAAAGACCGAAAAAAAAGAACCCAGCCTGACCAATCGTTAGCGATCGATTATTGGTAAACAAATTCGTCGAAAAAGTCGATCATGTAGTTTGCAGCTTTAGTCGTTTTGATTAGAGTAATCTTATAAACATTCTGATCATGACAAACTGTTTACCACGAAGAGACTAGCACATTGCATCGAAGAGGCATTCCTCAGTATCTTAACTATGAGGCTGTAACATTTAGTCACCACTTTCGTTTGTATGTGTACAGTAGAAGAGAGAGACACATTTTTCATATGTGAGCGGGAACATTTTAAGTCGCAGATGGCATATTCTTTTTCCGTCTTACTTAATTAGCTGAAGGACTTGTAATAAGTGACTTAAATTACATGTTGAAACAATTTCTTGCTACACGGCAAATTTTTGATGTTGGCTAAATTGGATTGTTACTGGCATTAAGCAAAAAAGAAATACTACACTTTTCAAAATTCGTAGTTAAGAGAACCTTGTATGGTTGAAAATACCTGCATCTGGCCAGTTCATAAAAAGTTTTCGTGTTTGACAAATATCTAAAGGCCCACTCTTACTTTGCAGTCTGAAAATCATTCAAAAATTTCAAAGTGTTAATCAACCCTTGATGCTCTCACCTATGGTATACTTCATGCTTTACCCTAGTGAACTGATTTGATTTCAAAGCCGCCTACTTGTCAACAGTATGGCCGATACTTGGAGTCGAATCTACGCCACAACACAGCAGCTCAGTGACAGTGGTACTGTATGTAAATTGATGATAATATCATGGGATACCGATGCACTTGTAAGGATGCCTGAGGGATCGGTCGTACGAGAGAAGTGCGAATAGACTAGGACATCTTTTCATGCCGTGAAATGATATCTACCCGCGGGTGAAATTCATTTCCTGCCAGCTTATGCAATTATAACCATGGAAACATTGAAAAAATGTGCAAGTTTTATTTGTTTTATGCACTCATCGAATAATCATATATTAATTTCTCTAATTTGAACAATAGAAAAAATATAAATTTCATCTTAATTTTTCCTGGATTCGCTTCGCGGCAACTTTACTTCTTTACTAATTGCTCCACATTCCCTGGTTCTGGTCGTAATACCATTTATCCAGAAACTTGAACCAGCTGAGGATCTATGAAATAAAAATAAGTACAAAATAAAATGAAAAGGAATGAATGAATGAAACTTAGCAGAAAAAATAAATTTTACCAAACTAGGGAACCATTACGTGTTTGATGAAATGCCAAACACTTTGGTGATCCTTCTATTTCCTCTGTGATCCCTGGTGCAAACAGGGTATTTACAGAGTTTGCGTGTAAAAGCATACCGCTCGCTTCAACTGATTAACAATTATAGTGACTTTTTTTCTTTTTTCTTTTACCATTTTAAAACGTCAGTTGTTAGGTCATTGGTCTGTTTTATTATTGATTTCGAAATATAATTTGAATTACTATTTAAAAGCTTCTAAGGCGATAAGTCAGTTGAAAATCAGAAGAGAATCAACTCCGGACAAAAGGCAAACTACATTGAAAGTTTACTGGTACGTTGCTCTTACCTTATCCCTGTCAGTTTTGAGCTCCAATGCTAATCTATCTAGCGTTGAGGAATCCGGAATACCATTGTAGGCTAAATACTCGAAATACAGATAAACCAGATCTGGATTGTATAGTAATTCCCACCGGAGTTTCCATGCCTGTCGGTCTCCATTAGTTTTATTTCCTGTTAAAGAAGCTCTTGATCCTTTATTATTGCTCAGAGAGTTGTCCGAGACGGCAAGAAAAACGTCATGCGCAGTCACCGATCATCTCGTTTTATCACATTTATGTTATCAAATTCAATTTTGCGCGTGTCCATTTTAGACACAGTTGACGTTTGAGCATGCATTGGAGGGTAGCAGAAAAAGTCTCTCTAAATCAAAAATTTGAAGTACCGCTGCTCCTGGAGAGACTCTAAAATGTCTTGCATGCTTTTCTAACTTTCCGCGAGTTTCAAACCTCGATGAACATATACAGACGAATGAACCAATTGTTGGTTCGATAAAGAGGCTATCGTGGATAATTTGACGAAAGAGTTCTTGGAAAGGGCCCAATACTACCAAAGCGTCTCTGCACTAAAATGGTTTCTATGCCCTTCTTTCGTTTCTAAGACTGATTTGAGTATCATTGCAAAATTTAGCAAGTTTCGGTGTTACAAAAACTGGTTTGATCGTTCAGTAAAGAGAGATTCCCGCGTAAGACTGTTGTCGGTTGTAGTGACTAACGTTTCGACAACCTTGAGTTTGTTGAAGACTTCTGCTCAAGTTGTCAAAACGTCAGTCACTCCTATCAACTGCAGCCTTCCACACGTCAAATCTCAGCCGAATTATTAGGCTAAACGTTCTAAGTTTGATTTATAAGTATCAATCGATCGATTTTATTTCCATGCTGACCCAAGTTGTATCCACTTATATCGCTAGTTATCAAACGGTATCAATCATCGATGCTATCGATTGATCATGGCGGGAACAAAACGCAATTATAGTCAACATAACAATTTTTAAGGCATGCAGTGAATGAAAAAATGAAATATTGATCTACTTTACCTTTCGGCAAGCAGTTTGGAACCGAACCATTGTAAACTCCATCTTTACACGTCACATGATTAGAGCCGTTCATAACGAAACCTTCATTGCATGCAAACGTGTAATCAATTCCGCCTTCAGTGTCATTTCTGTGTACAACCCCATCGGTTAGCTGCGAGTCCAGTGGTACGCAAGCTGAAAAATAAAGACAACATCACACAATTTAGCAACCCTTGTGATTGACATACCAGCCTTCAGCCATGAGCAAACAGGGAAGAGACCTGGAACAATACAGGAAATGAAAAGTGTCCATAAACGCGTTTTCGTTTGGTATCGAGTCGTTTGAATGCTAAGAGTCGTTGGAGAATGACTTGTTCCTTCTGTATGAATTTAATCGCTATCTTATGCATCAAAGATTCTTCCACCGATGCGTCATCAAGTTCTGTTTTGAACTGTACACACGGAATGCAAAGCCTTCTGGACGAAAATGACTTTTTTTATCTTTTGTAAATAAAACTCATTTTCACCCAGTAGGCCCAGCACAAGCTTGCCTCATTGTGCAGTTAACGCGCCGCCCAAAGCTCTGTTCTGATCTGCAGACACGGAGTGCAAAGCCTTTTGGACGAAAATCATTCTATTCTAAGGTAAATAAAACTCATTTTCACTTGAAAGGTCTAAAACCTGGACTCATTTTACGATTGAGCATTGTAGGAGCTCGTAAATAATCCAATTGACGGATCAAATACTGTGAATTGATGTTTAGCTATCGCATTAAACTATAAAAATTATTATTCTCAACCTGGCTTCACAGTGTCGTTTACAATAGCGACAAACTGAGTCACAGTCTCTTTTGTTGCTCGTCCGATTCGCACTTTGCCAGTTGTAAAAATATCGAACAAACACTCGGAGCTATCCCCACAAACATTCTGGGCCTCCTTCTCCAGCACCTTATCAGTGAAGTCCAATTTTTGACTGTCAGGAAATATTGGCTGGAAATTCGGATGGTGAAACGTGGAGTGGTCCTGCCCTTGTTGATAGACAAAGAGAGACTCATCTGGTTTGGTGACCCCTGCAGACGAAGGAAAAGGTGTAACAGTCAGGTGCACTTTTAAGGGATAGCGCCATTAAACGGTATCCTGGGAGTTTCCCATGTGACTCTTGTCTTATTTTTTTGGCTTACTTTGTCAGCATTTGAGAGCATGAGAAAAAACCTGCTACATATTGGCAAATTTTAGATGTCTTTCTTTAAAAGTCTTAAAAGTAGTTTCATATCATTGAAAGTTTATTGAGGTCTTTTGTGCTAAATAAGACCAAAACAACTTGACCAAATTTTTTCATAGCTTAATAGTTTGGTGAATTAGGGCGGAAGTAAATGAAATCAAAAATCATAGAAATTACTATGGAGGGGTTGACAACCTCAAAGGATACGGTACAACTTAGCAGCATCTGCACTATGAAAAAAAGTGTCTTCAAAAATTGTATTTCTAACCTGAAAATTATACTAATGGCCGGCTACATAGGTTTTTGATATTTTGATTTAGGAATCTGAAATTTAAAAAGGCCATTCTTGCGTTTTATGACTTGCGAAACTCCGGAAGGTAATTCCATAACTTGGAGTAACATAAAAAAAGGAACAGAAAGCAATCATATCTGACAGGTACGTACATAATTGTCCGAACTCTCTGTGTATGATTTCCAAACTCGAATTTGTATTCAGGAATATTCCATCGGGCTTGAGGAATTCCGTCTCTTTACTGTCATCCCAGTATCCAAGGAGACCGGAAGTATTACCTGCAATGAACAGTTTAACTTTCCACTCTCAATATCGGATACTTGTTTCGATTTTTTAGCCTGTCCATTTAAGGAGTTGGGTATGATTTTTTAGCCTTTCAGTTACTTTTCAAAATCACCCTCTTGTCCCATTTAAGGAAGTTGGGTATGTGATGCTGTTTCGTTTATATGCAATCAATCACAGTTACCGAACGCATTGCGATTGGTCAATTTAGGGGCCATCCTTCAGTTACTTTTTCAAAATCACCCTCTAGAATCCTTTCTTTCTCCAAATTGTTTGTTTAAACTTAATGAAGGCTAACTAACAAATGCCCGGGCTCGTTTTGCTTTCGAAGTACGTCTCTCGTAATATTATAGGAAGCCGCTCTGAGTAACCAATAATCGTTTCCCCAAACCAATTTGATGTACTTTACAAATACTACAGTGAGTCGTAACTTTCCCCCCGCAATTTACGATTTGTCACTGTTTCCGGTCGACTAAAGACCAACGCACATCACGCTTTGGCCATCAATTAACCATAAAAAACTTTGTCCAGAACTTATAGTAAAGACCTCAAACTTCGTTGGCAAGTGTAATATGACATCTTTTCTTTGATAAAAAGAGAAGAGTCAACTACCCACTTGGGACCTCTCCTTCCCCCAGCCGGGTAACACTCGTTCAAAATGAGTTTCGCTAAGATATCTCTCTTCTTTAGAAAGACTCATAAACGTTAAAGATAAACTGTGTACCCGTATACTTGGAAAGGGGAGAGAAATAACTGAAATTAATTTGAATTCTTCCACCTTCTCTTGATTTTTACCTTTGAAAATTGTTGGTACCAAAGTCACGAGACCAAGCAACTCTTGCTGCCCTTCAACTGTCACGGAGATGCCGGAGTTAAAAATAACGGAATATTTAGTAGTGTTGGTGTAATACAACACAGAGACTCCGGTGAATTCCAGAAGGGAGAGCTCATCAAAATCAACTCTTTCCCCATTCACCAAAACATCCACTAAGCCACGACCATTCAACTGGATCTACATTGAGCAGAAGAAGAGAAAAAAAGTTTAACTAAGTACAACATTTAGTTTATTCATATTAACAAATAAATGAGGACATGCTGGCCCATCATGGATGATCCAGTCTCTTGTGACCAACTGATACTCCTGCATGGGTGAAGAGGGGTACATTAGGGGCAAAGTAGATGACCCAGCCGGGAGATGAACCTAGACCAGTGTAGATCTATCGGGCTCACACCCAACATGCCAACCAATAGGCCACCTTGAGTCCAGCATGGCAATGACGGTCTAATATAAATATATCATGTAACGTACATTCCCGTGTGCCCCATCACCACATATACAAGATAATCAATATTTCTGTTTTCCACATATTTTCCTGACCTGTACAACGTCTGATCCATTTTCTTTGGCTGCAAATGCCGTGTATACCGTGGCTTTTGAGGGCGATCCATCGTCTGCTAATAGAGGCTCCATACGCCCCTGCAAAGTGAAGTCCACCCCTTTCACTTTTAAAATGAAGTATTCCCCATATCCGTTGAACGTGAATGGCTTCTCATCCAAGGTCACCATGTGTGGGTCCCCAAAACCGGTGGCTATGGGCAACGAAAAAACGTAGTTATTGAAATAAAGACGATGTGAGCTGTTAAGGGAAATCACTATCAAAGAACTATACATACATTTTTTCTCTACTTTTAATTAAAAGTAAAACATAATGCCCAAATGTAGTTAGCAATTAGCAGCGCGCTTTGTTTAGTTTAGGACAACTTTTACGCTGCGCTTGCAATTGCACAGTAACTGAACAATGAAAAAGGACAGTTCACGCGCCAAGCCTGTGTAATTGGACGGTGTGCGTCATTTCTGCGGTGTGCTATCGATCGAGACTGCTGGGTTTATTTGTATTAAAAAATTGAACTGTAATGTATTTATTTATGAATAACTCTAACCGTTGAGTATTTGTCTCGTCAATTTTTTTCATAGTTTTGTTGATGGGTAAGGGGATTTTTTTTTGTCGTACAGATCTGTCTGCAAACAGACACGCTATCAACAAATCGTACTACTGCGTCGCGTTTACCCAAATACGCGAATCATTCGTATGTTTATAGAGCGAATTTGACTCCACTTGGAAATGCTGTAACACTTTAATTATGTGGCATTGTCACACAGGAGAGTAACCGGCCTGCGCCTTTTTTCAACGCGTGTTCAGCCCTTTCGTACATTTTTCGTTTTCAATTGTGAATTTTGAGCGACCACATTTTATCCACTCCAACCCCTGGGTTATCGCGTCGCCCACATGCCACATAACACTTAAATGATTAAGAATTACCGGGTCTTGGTGCTTGATATCTTGAGCCGTCGTCTGAAGGCCGCTTCTCAAAGTACTTTTCACAATTCTTAGAGTTGCGGCAGCAGTCTTCGTACGGCACCTTATCATGGAAGAAATGGGATATCACAGGGAGACCAGCATTAGGATGAACGCGGTCAAGGGACCCTGCATCTGGTTGGCCCATCATTAAGTTTCCAAGCCTGTTGAAACAGCACTGCTGACCGGAGCCTGTGGTACTATGGAAGAATAAGTAAATCAGTGCTCCATGCTCGATACATATTCGGACGAAAACAAGAAAAACTGGGTCCAGTGAATCAAATCGAGGCAAAGTTATCTTTTGTGCTTATGGGTACCTTTTTTTGTTGCACAGCGGGGCTTCTTAAAAACAGCAAGTAGAAAAGATATCTCACTGCATTTCCTCAGGGTTGTTTGCCAGTAAGCTTTTATTAAACTAAAATTAAGAATAACTGACCTGGGATTGACCATTAAAAAACACTGGAAAGCTCCCTCGTGGTATCGATCACATCCATCGCGATTTTGGGGATTGCATTCCTCATCAGACATGAAGCGCCCGCGATCTACCATAGCCTGAGTCAAACTCGAAGGGCATGGCTGCATGCTGGGATCTCCTTAGTGGTTGAATACAATAATATTAGTCAAAATCCTCTTCGCCTTGTCATTACTGTCGTCTTCTCAAAAGCTATCCGCTAACGTTGAGCATACAGAAACGTTTTCTTAAATGAGAAATGGGTGGGTCTTGCCATCACTCTGTTGGAATACTAACCCATGTTTAGCCCCACAATCCTCTATAGGAGTTTACGTTGGTCTTTCAAGCATGAAAATTTTAGCAGCATTGCTAATCCTTTCGGATGGCAGCTTCTAGGTTCTCCTGACGGCTATATAGCACCCATTTACAGGCACTTCTGCTCAAAGAAAGGGAATGCGCGAGTTAAGAATCTTGCCTAATGTGCTGATAATGAATTGCTACGAGGACGCTTACAACATTTTAACGTGCTGGGGATTTCGGGGTGGCTGAAGGTTAATGACTGAAAAACCATCTTCCAAGAAAATGACCCCTTACTCGAGTTAACTTCAGCGATAACCAAATTCGAATTTGTGAGGCTCTACCGTTTGAATCCGGACTTTAAGACGTAGACTTCATTCTCTTTAAGAAGCATCGATAGAGCTTATTTTTCAGTAACAACACGTTAGTCTGTTCCTTCCCCAAGACATATGCAATTTAGGTCTCCATACCTCTGAATGTGTCTGGATTAGGTTCCTTCTGATGCCATTTTTTACATCTACTCTCTGCCCACGGCTCATTCTTCCAAGAAAACACTTCACTCCACACCCACTGAGACTTAGATACGTTGCTGTAGCTGTTTTTTCTTGACACTCGAACAAGATTGATAAAACGGTCATCAATGTTCCTACAAAATAATAGTAAAACAAGAGGATTAGCTTTGAGGAAAAACACCCAAACCAATCATTGCCTTAAATATCTTTTGACATCAAGGGCCTGAATTTTTGATAGGGAGTAAAAAAAACATAGATCCTCCTCCCTTTTTTTAACTCGTGCGACAGAGTTCGCAAAAAGGGGGACTGCTTGTAGGCTTTTCGTTCTCTTACCGAGCGATGGGCCCATCTTCTTTTTAGGGCCCGGCGCAGTGATTTAAAAAAAGTATGGCTGAGTAAACTTAAAGAGAGTATACGCAGCTACTGCGTCAAACACCAAAGCACATCCAATCCTGACATAGCGACACACTCGACCGGTGACAGTTAGCCGGTGTGCATTCTCAGCTGCTTCAGGCATCTTTTCCTCAATTGGGCATGTCGGCTCTTCTTTGATATCCATTCGGTTCAGTTTTTCTTTCATTTCCGTGACGGAGGAATACAATTTGGCCCTCACAGCAGCATCTCTCTTCAATAGTTCTTTGTCGGCCTCAGCTTTCAGCCGAAATCTTTGCGCGTCTTTTTTCGCTTGGTGACACATTTCTTCGACAGCGTCCAAGTTGTCAAAGTACTTGTCAGCATTCTTCTCGAGTTCGCGGAATTCTCTTACAACTTTATCATAAACACTTTCTTCTTTACCACGAACTTTATTCAAATAATCCACTCTATCGTCAATTGCTGTTGAAACCATTTTCGTTGTGACTACCGAAACAGAACACATCTTTTTGTGACACAATAGATGCAGCTTAAAACTCGCTGACAAAAACGAACAGTGAATTGCAACTGACGTAACAATTGAATTGTGTTCAGTTCTTAACGGACATAGCGCGCGCTCCATTCGAATAGGCTTTCCCTTGAAAATTGAATTTTTCAACAAAACAACACCAAAAGATAGTTAGGAACTGTTTTCATCTCCTCTCTGAGTTCCCTACTCATGATCAGTGACTCACAAGACGAAGAGGTGCGCTACATAGAGAATCATACATGGGCGCGCGTAGATATGAAATTTCTCTTCGAGCGTTTAACTCGATAGCTAACGAGTGAGCACAGCGAACGAGTGAGGTTTCGAGTTGAAGACGAGAAGAGAAATTCCATATCTACAAGCAACCATGTATTATTTTGTTTATCATATAAACACAGTAGGCCTTTACTGACAAGAAAAACAGTAAAATTAATCAATGAAAACAAATAAATTGACAATCCCCGAATAACAATCGTAGGGTGCGTGGGCGCTAACTCTTAAGATGCAAAAAATGCGTTGAATCATGATTACAAAAACAACAATGGTCGTAATTTCAATTTACAAAATTATCATTTATTGACTTTGTCCTTACCGACAGAAGAATTTTTTCAGGTAAACGGCCAAAATCGGCCAGTGGCAAATCCTCCAGTTGTCGATTTTCATTCTCAGCCGAGAGAAATGCTAACACCAAAGCCACTGAATACGTAACTTTCAGTTTTTCTTTTAGTACACTGGTTTTCTCCTTCTAGGTAAGTTTGAACCTCACTGTCTGTCAGGCATACGGATTTTTTAATGTTTTAGGCGCCATATTTCGAGAAAGCTCCGACAATCAACTTGCCGTTCATTCAGCAACCTGACCGAGTGATTGGCTATATCAACACACGTGGAAAATAAAATAAGATATTTTTTCACGTGTGTTGCTACGGCTTTTTTCAGGGCCGGAAATCCCTGTATAACATCGCAGTTTATGTGATAATAATACATTTATCAACACAAACAGTGCACAAACATGCGTTTGATGCCACTGAGCGGCATTGTAATTTCGCGCAGAATGTTGTTCATATGATGAAAAAGCATGCCAAACTAATGGTTTTTTTTTTCTTTCCCGCACATTACTACTTAAAGAATCACCCTTACCCGTCTCCCTCTCCTTTTGTAACATTAAACTGACTATGTCCAGAATTAAGTTGATTGTTTACTACTTGGCGGAAGCTGTCCAGTACGGGAACATCATCATCTCCCATTTTATAGCGCGCCAAATCAATCGACACTTCCTCGTCTAGTCCTCCGATGCTTCCCGAATCCCAACTAATGTCAACCGTGGAATCCTCCTGCCATTTATCACCGTCCTCTCGCTGGACCTCGGGAGTGAATCGATTTATGGGAACTAAAATAAAAGAGATAATTTTTTTAATGTTCCTTCTAGTGAAGGAAGAAATGACCCGGAAACTTGAACAAAGCCAATGGTGCATGTTGCCCTTAGAATATCTTATAAACATCCGAGGGCCTTGTGAAGATTCGAACCTCACCAAGGTTCCATTTCGCGATGAGATACTCCACCACATCCGGAATTATTTGGGCCACACATGGCTCATTGATTAGAACTTATGGATCCTACGGTCAGAGCGACTTGAGTGTAGATTAAAAATATGCATATTACAAATTTTAAGCTTGGTTCTCGAACAAAGACATAAACGTTAAAATGTTCGTCTTAAAAGATAAAATTCCTGTTCCTTATTTTTAATTTTTCCTTAAATTTACAATTTTGATTGATGTCAAAAGTGAGCTCAACGGACAATAAAAAGAATTTAGTTGATAACGTACCTGATGTGTACACTCCATTGTAATCGAATGAATTTCCGCCGTCAGTAGATAACTTGAATGACAACCGTCCTGTCTTGTTCAACACTGGTATGGTAACTGATGACGTTAGCTCATCGCTAAAAGTTGCATTAATGTTGACGTCATTGTCGAGTTGAACCACAATGTTATCATTTGCAGTGAAGCAAGGTCCACTCATTTTCACGTTCGTACCTCCTAACATAATCCCAGATCGGGGTGATATGGTGAGAGATCCTGTTAAATAGGAAGAAGCAGATGAATGCAATGTTAGGGTAGCATATAACCAAAAAATGGTACCGGAGTTTCAATTGCGGTTCGTAATGACCAAAACTTCTGTAAGGAGCTGTTTAGACGATGAGTTGCCCCTCCTTATCGGCAAAGTCGGTGAGGAAAAACTGATGATAGTGCGCCCACTGAACGTGTTAAATGTTTGCGGTTCTTCACTTATTTGGATTCTTTTTCTAAAACGACACATTTTGTGGAGTAAGGACAGTGCAATCTGCAACACTTTTATGCGTCGCGGTAAATGTTGCTTGCTGAGGGATGCGCGCCTTTTAAAAAGCGAAGCTAGGTAACAAAAACTATGGAGGATAAAATTATTATTTCCGTACAGTTTTAAGTTACTTCCCGCAAATTTTTGTTGGTCTGTTCCACTGACTCCCTATTTATAATTTTTTTATTCAAGTTCTTTTTTTCCTTTTAAGGTGTTCGCTGAATGTCCACTCCTACGACATCTACCGATCTATGCTTATGACTCCGTGATGTTTCTTTAAACTACACTTGTGTTTACAATTTGTACCTTTTGTGTTACATCCCCCAGCTTCCACACTTGCTTCATCGGTTTGGAACATCCACTGACCGTCTCGAGCAACGTTTGAGGTGGAAGGAAGATTAAGGATGTCATTTGTTCGGGAGCCAGGGATAATGAAGAATCTCACCCCATCTCCAGCATTAAACCCGCCCTGCAGTTCAAAGTCAAATCCACAGTCAATTCCATACATTTATAGTAGCATCTTCATCATTGTGTAATATTTCGGTCACAGCTGCAGATAGAGGAAAGGGTTCAACTCTACTCTATGAGTAATCTTTTCCGAGCGAGCTCAGCGCATGGATTAGTACCTTTCTCTCGGGTGACGTTTTAACCTTTCTTAAAGTTACAACAGTAAATGTGTTATGGTTATAGTTCATTAAATTAAGTAGGTCCAAAGATATTTGGGTATTCCATTGGCCATATGTTCTTTAATAAAAATTTTGAGAAGTGGACTCCCACTAAAGATGCGGCACAAGCATGGAGGCCTTTGAGATTCGAGTTGGCGAGCAAAACAGGCAGTAAAGAGGTCTGAGAGGGGTCTCATTTTCGGGGCAGAACCCTCGCAGACTCTTTGCAAACCTCTTGCACGCTCGCCTCACGGGTGGGCTCGAAACCCGCAGGCTTCGCCGATCCTGTAGGCGCAGTCTTGTGCACTCGCAGGCTACACAACTGTAGGAGAAGGGCAGGAGAAAAAATATTGGAAGGCTAAAGGTTATTTGAAAGTGCGTTTCATTGCAACCTGCAAGTTTATAAATTTTTTTTCTATATAGATTGTGGTAATAAATCCACTGGGCTCACTGTTTTTACTCAATATATTGTCTCTTACTTTACATTCAGACACTCACCTGAGCAGGCGTACCGCCCAATCCGTCCTCAGTCCCTCCGCTAGCTGTACCAGTTGTCCACACGATTTGATTGTAATTGAATATGGCAAATGAATGACGTCCATTTGTAACCAGCACTGCTTGAAAGTTGTTGACCTGACAAGGAACAAAATTGCAATTTCTTTGAGAATTCTTACCCTTTTACACAAGATCCTCTGCTTAAACCATTGTGAATTAAGGTTATTTGTCTTTATAGCCCGGTTGGGTTTTAACTAATGTTACCTTGTTTGTAAAATTAGAGTGGGAAAGACGGTAAATTTTGCGCTCAGTAGTGAAGTGGAGAAAGACGTTTTACGTCTTTTCACGAGAGTGGGGGAAAGGAAAAAATTCTAAGTCCCCATAAGGAATCGAATCTCAGACCTCCAGATTCCACACTCTAATATTCTACCAGTGAGTCACAGAGACTCTGTGGAGAGCTACACATGTATAAGGTTCTTACATGACACGCGTCCTTCTTATTGCTAGGATTAGCTATTCGGAGAGCGTCATGTGTAAATAAAATAAGAAAGAGGTCAGTGGTGGCGCATCAATGGTCAGAAGTTCGATTCTTCATGTCCCACGCTTGTGACAAGGCGAAAAACTTATCTTTCCCTGTTACCTTGTTTCTAAAGTCTCCTTCAGCTCCAAAGAATGCCACTCTGTCCCAGGTCACTATGAAGATCCACGAGGCTGAGAATCTCTGATGATTTAAGAATGCCCGTCGAACATCCTTTGTAGCTCGGTCCAGCAATACAGGGTCAATAGACTCCCTGTATAATACAGTTCCCCCATTTCTGGTATCCACGTCACCCCAAAATGGCGAAATAAGACGTCGGTTGTCGCCTAGGGGGAATGGAGCTGGGGTGAATTGACCCACTGCAACCAGAAATGAGATAACTCCATTTGTGTTCACCTGAAATCACACACAGAGAAAAGTTAAATAAGAAATGAAGATTATTCTGAAATCGATAATCTTCTGGAAGCCTTTAATAAGTCATGCGATCATATAAAACATGATTCTTCAAAACTTCTGCTGGTGAACGATTTAATATTACAATACATGTGTTATATCATAATCAGATGACCTACAGTGGAGTTTACAAGTCTTGGGACACTTTCAATCGAATTATTTCTTCCGCAAACAAAGTTGAATTTGGTGCGCTTAGTAAACTTTACCAATACGTAGGTTCAGCAACAATGTTAGAGGGCTGGGGGCGTGGATGTTTTGTGTGCACGCCTCAGTGAATTGGCTAAAAGTAGTCGGTCTTTTTCATATATTTGGGCATAGGACATGTTTTCAAAAACTGCCTATGGATTTTTGACCCCGTTGTAAGTTATATGCTTCTGGTTTAATTCCCTTGACCGATTACATAAAGGAAAAGCTTTCACCCTTGCAACGTGGACTCAGCCAGGCGATAAGCACTTTGGTTGAAGGTAAAAATAAAATAAAAATTATAATACTCCCTATTTTTTAAAATCAAAATAAACACGAGACTCTTTTGTTGTCAGAGTTCCAACAACTTAAACTGTAAGATTATTCACTTTCGATTTGTAATCGTGATAGTTGATCCTAGCTTTTCCCGCATCAACTGATAACCAACTATCAACTATCACGTGACAAAAATCTTGAGCTGGTAATCTGATTGTTTTAAATGTCTTAAATAGATAGCGACTTGCGTAGCCAGTCGCAATACAGCATTTGTGAAAGGACAATTTATACTAATTATAGTTATGACTCGTCTATAACATGGCCGTAAACTGAAAACGGTGAGGTCATACAGATCAGATTCATGGTTTTGCAGCTCAAGTTCGAACCGTTTTAATGCCTTTGTAGCCTCCGACAACACTTCTTAAATTAAAAAATTTTCCGGTTGGAAAAGTATTTTAGTTTGTGAATTCGTTGGACAGTAAAGCGGCGCTGAAAAATTACCCTTGAACAAATTTTTACAGTACTCAAGTACTTAGTGAAACAACTACTAAACTGTCGTGCCCGCCAGACTATCACGAATACTTTTAATGCACGATCTGGTTGAAATGAAAGTGGAATGTCTTGTATACTGAATTCAAGTTTTTTTTTTCGTTGTTTGCATGCGTTCTATTCGTCTTCTGCTGAGGTAGCGATGATTTCTGTACAGGAAGAACCTAATTTATCTCGTGACACACACCACGCATGAAACACAATGGTGGAGTAGAAAGGTCACTTGTGGCATATTGGAATACTTAAACAATGCGATAGAACTGAAAATATTGTTGGGCAGTGAAGATATAACGGAATAAACGAGCGACTAATATCATTCATCACAGTGTAAAGATAGAATTTTAAAGGAAAATCATACTTTGTTTGAATACGTTATTGATCCGTGCTGCATTTAGTTATATTTAATCAAGCGAGACAAATGTGGTTCCGAGAAAAAATTTAACTGTCACGCAGGTAGTTCATAGGGATTTTAATACACAAGAAATCAGAGACGCTATCAATGTACAATTTTCTTGAAAATTTTTATTTAAAGGGCGTTATTAGAATCTTAGGTGAAGTAAGAAAAGCAGAAACTCTTTCAATCTGTGAATTTCAATTTTGCAAAGTTTAGGGCTGACATCACGTACAATCAAAGTGGTTTTAAAATACAGGCACTTCTGTCAATATTTTAAAAAATAAACTTATAAAAGATATCACCGAGTCTAAACATAATTCATATTAAAAAGTGCAAATAAATACTGCCTACTTACATATAAGGAATGGTGATTCTTGTCAAAATACGGGTAGAGAATTGAGATTGGTATTTCTCCTGAGCTGCCGTCGTCATTTGGCGGAAGTGCATTATCACCCTCGCTGACTCCATAAGGATAGAAATCGCTGAGCGGAACACTGAAACACGATGTTATATGAAGGACTAATGTGGCGAAAATTTTACAACGTCGCCAATACATTTTAACACCGATTCTGTCCGGAGAGGTCTTCGAGAAGACGCTGGAAAACCAACTTTATCCTTTCCTAAACCAGTCGCAGACAACACTTAAAATTTACATAAAGCGATCTCAAGCAGATTGATGACACTTGTAATGTATGTAAATAGAAAACTAGTTTTCAGCAGGTTGGGTTGAAACAGCCGTTCTGATAACAGAGAGGAAATTGAACTTGCATCGAAACGGAGGTCATCTGAAGAAGAGTTGAACTTGTCAATCAATTTATAGCCAAAATAAATATCCGGGTACATGTTGGTTCAAATGCCTTCGCAGCACGTTTTTCCTTTTGATTTCCAGTTAAGCCGCGTGGGAGAGTAGCCTCGCTTCTTCCAAGAAGTCCCTTGTCTTCCGGGATTGCTGAAGAGTTAACGGAACGTTTTAGAAGTCACTCAAAAACTCAAATAAATAAACAGGTAACCGCAGAAAAAGACAAGAAAATAAAAATATATAAATAAGAAAACAAATTGGTAGCAATAGGACGGAAATTGATCCAAAGTGAAACTACCGGTAAGTGCTTTGTAGAAAGGAAGATAAAGTGAAGGCAAATGGAGTCAGAAATTTCAAAAACACTTGTTTGTATGCCATCTTAACTGAAGGACGAGTGAGTTGTTGATGTTGCTTGTTATTTCCTATTAGTTTCTCCTTGTACCCACCGACACATAAATAATGCAATATTTTCATATGTAGAGCTTAGTACTACAAGTAGCAGGGATAGAAAATGAAAAAAACGGGGTCTCAAAATGTTGAATGACTCGCGTCAACAGCGACCCAAGCCGATTAAAAGTAATCGGGCAGGCTTGAAGTTTTGAATGGTTGATTCAACGAGGTTTGACTGTACATGTAGCCAGTGTTAGTGTTGGTAAATTCTGGTCAAAGCATTACATAGGAGGAATGAGAAAAAATCTGATCATCATTTCGTAAATAATTTTATTGATGAGGGTTCATGCTTCTGTAATAATAAGTATGAGCGCAAAGTGTGAAAGATTACTGAGAAGTACTAGAGCAGTGGGAGACCAGCTGCCAATCACTTTCGGGTAATGAAATGAATTTTAACATCCTACTCGGCCTAATTGAGTTCTTCTTTTGGGGGCTGGGGGGAGGAAGTAGGGCTGGCTTTGTTAAGAACATGAAGCTCTGAACGCGCTTTTTAGGGCGTTTACGGATATTTAACATATAAACTAACAATACTAATGTCGGGGCGTAACAGAAACATTGTCGTAATAGCAACGTAGTCGGATTTGGGAGGAAGTAAAATACGGAAGTTGACCTTGCAATATGACACAACGTTAAGCTAAAACACCAAAAGAAGTCCTCTAGTGCCTCAAAAGATTGGAGCTTCAGTTTTCTCCTAATTTCCTTTTTCTTTTATACATTTGTACAGGAATATATGAACTCGATTAGTATTCTATTTATTCCAAACAAATTTCACAAGTTTCTGGCTTCCAACATATTCACAACAGCCAGCTTATTTCTTATGAATCTGAGATTTCCCTTAACCCTGTCGGGACTATGATCGGACAACAACCGCAAACTAAGGAAGATGTTCAAACGACTTCCGAAAATTAACGAGTATGCTTCAACAACTTCTGAGGATAACTGGAGGTGTCTCAAACCGTTTAAGGATATTACGAGAGGGCCATTGCCAAACAAAACCCTGATTATTTTTAACCGCTAATGCGCGAACGAAGAAGTAGAATAAATTAATAAAAAGTCGGATTTATAAGTCAGAAGCAAAAAACTGTTGTAGTAGCTGGAAATCGATCTGAAGGGATGAACTTTACACACAATTTGCGAGTATGGATGGGTACCGACACATCAAAAGAAACATCTCAGAATCCTCGCGTAATATCGCGACCAAGAAGAGATTAGATCAACTTTAGACTGAAAACAACCCTTCTTTTCCCAGAAAAAAATTTTTGCACCAATTTTAACATCTGAAACAACATCAAGTTGCTAACGGGAGGTTTCGATATATCGATGAGAGTTACATATTGTTCCTTGGTTTAAATGCGGTAATAAATATAATGATGAGGATAATACTGCCACCACTAATAACAATACTACTACTTAAAATACTACCACTATTAATGATAATTATACTTCTAGGACTAAGAATAATATTAATACTTATGGCGCAAGTACCTTTACAAATAACTCCAGGACACCGAAACCCAGAAATCGATTAAATTAAAGTTGAAATCACACACATGTTAGTAGTTTTCTGTTTTGTAATATGTCATTCGTTAGTCGGAACATTCTCCTGAGCTCATAATCTATTTTGTTCCGATGTTTCCGTGTCAGGATTGATAAATGACACTAGTTTACTAAGTCCTTGTTTGGCACTTTCCGTGTCGTCTTTAGAGCACGCTTGTATGTGCCAATTTCTCTTTCGAGCAATCGCATCCAACCCCATCATCCTCGACAGCTGTGGATTAAAAAAGTTGAAGACGCAGATAAAAAATCAACCATCCGCATACGCTTTGGACGCCGTATTCACATATCACAAGTTAAGTTGAGAAAAAAAAGGCCCCAAATTTTGATTGGATTGTCAGTCTTTATGCAACAGTTATTGTCTTTGACAGAGGGTCAAAGTTAGATGGGGTGATTTAGTATTATCAGCTGAGCTGATAATGTAAATTGGCTACCATAAAGAGTTTCATAGCTGCCATTTCGAGCATTAGCCCTTCCTTAGAGCTCTGACAAAGGAGCACTACAGTTTCTTAACCCTAGCCCTAACCCTAAGCAAACTTACCCCCTCTATTCATAGGTTGATGGACAACTGGCCTTTTACCAGTCAACAAATATTTGCATCAGAAGACATCTATTTTTCCTAATGATGAAATTATCCAAAATAACCTGGAAAAGACTCTACTTGTAAAAAATGTAGAGGATTACTGTGATAAACATTGTTTATCATTAAAACAAAAAAAAAAACATCTCTAATCCTGCAGTAATGTTAAGAGGTGCACCACTTACCTCATCTGCACTGCGGGCTCCATTAACATCTTGTTTGTTAGCTAAGACCAGCAGAGGAAGGGATTCCAGGGAGGAGTGGGACAGGACTTCTTGTAACTCAGCTGCAGCTAAATCCACATCATCATCATTGCAACAGCTGTCCACCACAAACACCTACAAATTATTGGTTATTGATTTGTATTTTAAATATGGCAGGATTTATTATCCAAATAAACATCTTTCATTACTTGATATAAAAAGCCTTTCCACATGAAGGGTTATATCATTCTTTTAAACATTATGTAGTTATATTGGTATCAGCAGGTTTGTTTTCTACCATTTTCTCGGGTGTGGTCTTACTTTGATCCTCCCAGGAACAGGAAAGAGTAAAGGCTCGCTTCCTGCCCAGCACTTATGCCAGAAATTTTTTAAGAAATTTTTAAAAATTAATTATTGTCATATTTCAAATACAAATTACAGACATAGTTAAAATCATTACACAGAAACAACAAGGTTTGGTCAACAGCAGCTGTGCAATTTTTGTTGTGTGCATTTTCACCAAAATTAACAATTGTGACAATTGCTCTAAAACAATGTTAGTTAAATAAGCACTAAGACATTTAAATTACTATACATTCTCATTTTTTTGAGAATTTGAAAATTTTTGAAAGTTTGCAAAACTTTCTCAAAGTTTCCTTGCATTCAGATGAGACTGTATAAACACAGAAAAATTCCTCATTGGCTTAACTTTAAACTTCACTTAAATGTTTTTCTTACTATCCCCTGAGCTCCTCCAAAATAGTGTGGCCAGTATTTTCTGACATTATCTCCACCTATTATGCAAAGTTAGATAAGTTTATGAATTAATAATTTTATTCATTTGAAAAAATCCTACCATCAGCACCATTAGTAAAATGACAATTACCTGACATTCAATAACTTAAGGAGGCCCACTGCTACATGGTCTTTTGGAGTGTAAGTCAAATCCTTAGGTCATTTGAAATATTCTAAATTTATGTAACAACTGCCCTGATCTCACTTTATATGTAAGTCTATGCTGGAAAACTCACTCCCTATAACCCCAGTCTCTTTTGATACCTTTTAAAGTTGTGATCTTTTAAGGGTTATCACTATTGTTACTAAAAGTAACTTTGAAGTTATACACTTACCTCCAAGTTCTTTAACATTCAGAATAGCACTGGGTAGTTGGACAGCTTTCACAGAGAAACCTATCATAGCCATTTCAGAAATACATTACAGATTTAGAGTACCACTGAGTGTATGCCAATCATTTTGTAAAAGATAATTTCCTGAATTAAATCAAACAGTTAACATGGGTAGTTACTGAATATCTTACACTCAGAAATAAGGGATATTGTCTTGATATAAAACCAAATTCTTCCTACTAGCCCATGAAGCAATGTTAAATAACAAGTTGGGAGATTCTTTTCCATGATTCTGGGAGTAAAACGATCAACACATGTTCACAAACATCACAATAAATAAACTTTTTCTGACATTTAACAAATGTCAACTCAAAGTGATAAATCTGAAAAGTATATTCAAATATAGACACTTGCAAAAAGAGCTTACCAACAGTGGGCTCAAGTTTTTCAGAAGCGTCCCCACTCAGCTTTGCAAACAGCATTGACTTGCCAGCTTGGCTGAGTCCAATTGCAATCACAGAGTATGATGGCCTGGGTGTTGAAGGTTCCTTGCAGCACACTGTTTGATAACACTGTACAGTAAAAATACAATTGAATATTTCAGGTATTGGAAAGAGTTTTTAGGATGAATTGATATAATATCTCTTTTCTAAGGTGATGCTTGAAAGACAACTGACTCAACTTCCTGGTACATGCAACAAATTACATCCCAAGGGGCTGGTTAAATACATTCTTAATAAAGGGGGGGGGGTTGGGGGTTGGAGAGAAGTGGGAGGAGGTAGTCTTCAGGTAAAGGGTTGTTTATATGCCAATAAAATCTCTCTCTGAAAATAAGCATTCACTGAAACTGTAATAGGCATCCCATCCTCTGGACAGAAGAGTAATGAAATGAAAAGAAAGACCATACAACCAGTCTCCTGGTCATACATGCAATTACTCCTTGGTATATATCTCTGTGATAAAAGAAACCGATGTTGGCCATGTGAATTGTTTCTTCTTAAAATGGAAATGAGCAAAAACACAAAAACCATGTTTGAAATCAAACCTTGAGAAAATCAGGTAACATAATATATTTGATTAAAAGTGATTATTTTCGATTTCCGTCTTATGGATGACACAAATTCTCTCTGTTTATCTCTCAGTTAGTAGATGTGACATGATTGGTCAATTTAGCGGGCTGTATGTTACTTCGCAACCAGCTAAATTCAAAAGTTTGTTGAATTTAATTCTTCCCCTCTATTTGAACCCGGAGAAATAATAAACATCTCATCTCGTTTCACACTGTTTTTTTCGCTCGGACTTATGAGCCAAGCGCGAAGAGCGCGGGGCATAAATCCGAGCGGAAAAAACGAGGTTCCGTAACTTATAGTAGAACGGACCACGGACACGATAAGTAAGAGGAATATATACAAAAGGAAAGAACTTGGCGAAAGTGAGTTAATTTAGTGCTGTGGACAGGCTAAAAAAGTTTGCTACTCTCGATCTCATTCCAACCTTTTTCAATTTCCTTTCTCATTTGTTATAAGATTTGATTTAAACTTTGATTGAGTTATCTTTCACAATACAAGTTCCAAAATTGCTCATAAAATCACGATAAGTTCATGATTAAAAGTCTTATTGATCATTACAATATCAAAATATATATGTTAAATAACTTTAGCTTACATACTCGAAAGCACCCTATGCGGCAAATTGCGCACGCAAGAGAACACCACTGACATTTATCCCCCATTTCTCCACCTTGACCTGCAAATGATTATTCTAACGGCAGAAAATTTCCTAATTTTAAAAGCGAATACATGGAGAAGACACGATCAAAATTGTCAACTGATTTACGCGGGCTTTCAAATCTTTATCATCTGCCATTTTGAGTCATGTGACTAAAGCCTAGGCTCCCCGTTAAGGGAAGTGAGAGCAGTCGACGTGACTTTGCCTGATTCAAGAGTTATTTTCGTTGTTTGCGTGTGCTTTTGCGCGTAAAAAACTGCTTCAAAGAGACGATTGAGTAGTTCAAAGATCAGAACAGAGTCATCATGTCATTGGCAGGGTTCAGAAAACAAATTAACAAAGCGAATCAGGTAGAGTAATGGGCGAGTAGGGCAGTGTTTCACGGCACAACTTGGTACGTGCTCGTGTTCATATTTCATGAACCGTTCCATCTTTGATTTCCGTTTGTTGATTAACAGTTCATGAGTGAGAAGATTGGTGGTGCCAAGGGATCAAAACTGGAAGAAGATTTTGTGGAGCTAGAAAGAGTAAGTTTCCTTATAAGGGTTACCAAATTGACCCCAGGTTCTACCAATGTGTATTTTCCCTTTCTGGTCGGATTCTACACGTAAGCTGAAGTAACCTTTAATGTTTGTAAACGACATCACCTTTTTAAAATAATTCTACTTCTATTATTAGGAAATAATAGTTTGTCTTGTAACCTCTCGAAGCTCGAGGCATCCTATTAATTTCTTCTTCAGGCCGAGTTGTAATCCGTTTTGTTTTGAAACCTTTCTCAGAGTGTCAAAAGGAACTTGACACAAGATGCTACAACCGCTGACGCCACGAAAATTTTGTCACACCGGTGATACTGATGAACATCAGGGATTTGCATTTTCATGTGTCACTGAATAGTGAGAATAATTTTAAGTTTACGGATGTTTTGCCCAGCGAGAGTCAAACTTCGGTTTCCTAGTGTTTTGTAATGACTTGCAAAATATCTATTGTTCTATACATGTTCCTCTTTGAATCGAAACTTGAAAGTATGTACCGCTTGTTATTATCGGAATGCTAGTTAAAAAATAATTATTGATTTTAATGTCCATAAATTTTCTGTAACCTCATAGCAATATTCGCTTCATGCAGTTTAAATCGAATCATTTAGAAATTTCTATCATGAGGAAATTCAATGGAAAAAGTTTATAATTTTCTCATTTCGTAAAGCTTAATCTCTCTCTGCATTTAATTACCATTAATAGTAAAACCTATATTTCATCGCATTTGTTCAATCCACAAACTCAGATATTACCTATAAATGAGTTTTAATCTCCTTATGTTAAAAGTGATGTTGAATTAATTAACACAACAACAGCAACGAGGAATCGAATTAGTGACTCGCAGATCCATGCAGTCGCTCTATTATCAACGAACGTTTTGCAAAAATTGCATCCTAAAATCGTGGATAGTATCAGAATGAGATGGGAAAATATGGACTGAAGAATACTGCAAATTGGTTTTTAGGAAATAATTGTCCTTTGCTAAAAATTCAGAAAAAGGCAATTGTAAAATTTTCTTAGTTTTCTCACAGGAAATATAATATTATGTACCATATACCTGTACATGAAATTGAACTAAATCGGAACTCAACGAAACCGAAAAAAGAAAAATTGGGGGGACAGAAAGTCTTGTGTATAAAGTGATATGCAAAATATCTTTATGTGGGAAGTTCAGAATACTGGCTGTTGTGGTAAAAAAAATTCAGTGTTATAAAAAATTATCCAGAGTTCTAACTATCAAATCTCATGCTGTTCCAACATGCTCAGCTTAGACATTGTATTTTTCGAGGGAAAGGGTTAAAAGCGACAAAGTTTAATCTGACTGAAGGTTTAGTTGATAAATTTAATTTTACCTTTATCACTTTGTTGAGGAATTGTGTTCCTCATCTGTCATGCCTACTGTTTAATGGATGAATGTACTGTTTAATGGATGAATGTAATTATTTGGCAATGGTTCTCTATATTATATTATATTATATTACATTATAGATGTGTTTAACTAAGTGGACCACTCTATAATTTAATGCAATTTTAAGTCCATTTTGGTTAAATTGAACTTATTGATTGAAGAAACTTTATAAATGAATTCTTATTGTTGAAGAGTAAGTTAAATGAAATTTGTAAATTTTGAAGTTTTTACTTAGTGGGACGGGGGAAAATATCTCATGTTCATGTTATTGTTATGTTAATGTTGGTCCTCAGTGAGCTTAATTACTATATATGTTTTGCTCTTTTTTTGTAGAAAACAGATATTACTGCAAACCTGGTGGATCAAGTCAGTGGTAAAACAAAAGAATACCTTCAACCTAACCCAGGTACTCAGTAGACTGAAAATATAACATGTCATATTTTAGTTTGTGTTCTATAATTGGTTGATTTTGCAGGCCATACTTCACTGTAGGGCTTACTAAATTCAAAACTTTGTTTGAATTGAAATTTTTCCCTCTGTTTGAACTTATGGCCTGTATGCCTTATGCTTATGCCAAAAATCTGGCAGTGAAAAACTTCTGATAAGACTAATGTGTTGCTCTCCATTCTACCACATATTGACTTTATGTAATCTTACTCTTAAGCTGCTCGGGCCAAGCTTACAATGCAAACAACTGTGCACAAAGTGCGAGGTGAAGCCAAAGTATCAAGGTACCCCCAACCAGAGGGCCTTCTAGGAGAGACCATGCAAAAAGGAGGCACTGATCTTGGGGTTGAGTCACTCTTTGGTAAAATGAGTAACATTTGCATGTAACTGAATGCTAATTGTGTAGTTGAAACTCATTCCTATATTGTAAAATATTATATAATAACCATTCAATGAGTGAATTACTTGTATCTTTGAAAGAGATGGTTATTTTTCCTTCTTTTAATACTGGTACACCTCACCTTCCCTTTTACAGCCAGGTGTGCTGATAGAAGGGTTTTATTTTTTCATTCAAACTTTATTGACATGTCTATGGGCATTAGCATTTTTTCTTAATTTACACTGAATTGTTATGTGATGCAAATGTCACCATATTTTGCCAAGTTTGTTTTTGACAAAATGAGCTAAATCCAGACACCCCTTGCAAGCCATTTTTATAATAATTGTATGAGTATGAAGATGTTTTGTTACACATACATTTTACTCATATAAACATTTTTTGGTTAAAAAAGTAACAATATTAAGCTCAAAAATTATGTTCTGAATACTAAGTAAATAAAATTGGAAAAATCAGTTTACATTTACAAAGTTACAGAAAAAAACTGAATAATTGGAGGTTAGGTTCAAAACAGCTGAGTGTGTAATTACTGTTGTGAGCATTTACATTGATCATAATCAGTTATTTAAAGATTACCTGGTACTTAAAGAGAAAACATTACACCTCTTTGCATTCTCACTTTTAAAGTAAGTAAATTATAGTTTACAAGTTGGAAGAATATTAAATACTTGTAATTACTGTGAACAATTAGGAAAAAAGAGAGAAAAGACAGAAAAAAACACAAACAAAAACAATAAATAGATGTATGTACAGTGTACATCTGTTTGTACAAATGCATTTGTCTGATTCTCAGTTACCTGATGAAACTTTTACTCAGTGAATCCACATGATATTACAGAGCATTCATTCTTGCAGGAATCATTAGCCTACACTAAAACATGTTGAATACCATTTATTGTGTGCTATGGCTAACATTTACCTACAGGCCAAGCCCTTCAGGATGCAGGGGAGGCCTTCTCAAATCTCGCTGAAATAAAAGAAGCACTGGACAATACTGTCAAACAGAACTTCCTTGATCCGCTGGATCAGCTTAGAAACAGGGATATCAAGGAAATTATGGTACAATTTGAAACATAACTTAACAAATAAATGACAAAAAGATTTTCATGTTGCGTTGCATCTGTTCAGTAATAGATCAATATGAAGTAAGAACAAAAAGATTTTTTCATGATTTTCTACCACATTTTGATGCCTTCTGTTTACAGACCCATAGATCAATATCCATTTGTTTTATATTATAAAACAAAAAAGGAAAAATTGAACACAACACCAGCAAAAAAAACCAAATTTGTCCACATTCAGTTTTTAATTCATATCTCAACAAATTTTCTATGTCATTTTAAAGTGTATAGAATGGGCTTCTCAGGAAAAAAAAAAAATTTCATTGAAACCCAGGACCTTTCCTAAAAAGTAAAATTTAAAACACAAAAAAGTAAGACATAGTGTAAAACTTGAGGTCAAAAGACCCACAGGTATACAAGATTAATTGACACATGTCAGCAACATCCATTTAATTTTTTATTATAAAAATGTCATTCCAAAAAAATTAGCAAAAATTTGAAAAATTCAGTTTTCAATTCATATCTCAACAAATATTTACAGGAATAACACCTACAATATGTCATTTTAAAGTGAAACCCAGGACTTTCATCCATGCATAGCCTTGAGTGTCCTCCAATAGATCATGATTATAGCAGAAGTTAATTAATGGTGTTTCATAATTCATGTCCTCCAATGACATTCTTCATAAATTCATGCATTCTTCAAAAGCAAACAACATATGGTCATGTCTCTGTCAGCACTCATAATTTTTTTCTTAAAACTTTATTTGCCATTTAGAAGGCTCAGTTGAACAGTGATCAGCCCAACTAGCAGTCAGTCATTATATGTGAATATGAAGTTGCACATGTATGCTTGTTTAGAAGCAACTACCACCAGGCTAATTATTCTTCAGTATTCTTGTTCATGTAAAGCTGTTTGTGTGGTATTTTAATCAAATTTATAATATTTTACATTGAATAGTAACACATTTCTTCTGATTTTCCTCTCAGCACCACAGAAAGAAACTGCAGGGACGGCGACTTGATTATGATTGTAAAAAAAGGAAGGGGCCCAAAGGTACACATTGATCGTAGTTAAGTTTGTTTGGCTTGTAATAGTGGAGCTTGTAGAGTGTAGCCCCATAATTATACAAAATGGTAGTAACCCATCAAGCCGAAAAAATTTGGATGTACAACCATAAGACCGTACAAGGTGCTACTTTTAACATGCATGGTCATCTGTACCGCGGGCACGCCAATGCCACAGCTTTGTTCAGAAGTCCAGTGGTCAGTGCACTGGGCTCCGAGTTGGACAACCCACGTTCTAGTCCTGGCTGGGCAAGGCATTGTGCCCTTGAGATATGCGGGAAAAAAATGGGAGCTCCACTTTTAGGCTTGGCTAAATCTATATATTATTATTGTTCTCCATTCTGTTGTACAAAAGGCATTGTAATTCCCAAAAACTCTCTCCAATTCCTCTGATAACTGATGTTTGAGCAACACAATGCAATGGAATAAAAGTGATTTTCCTCAGAAGTACAAAATGAAATACAATGTACATGAAGGAGCTTCTTTGCTGTATTATTATGACTATCCACCTTTTAGTTGGGAGGTTACTGCCATTTTGGCTTGCCTTTTCATTAATGTTTTATTTTCCTTTTTTTTGTATTTCCTAGTTATTTATTTCCTTGTTTCTTTTTCCTTTCAATAGTTCCAGAAGAAGAAGTCAGAGCTGCAGAAGAAAAATTTGAGGAATCTAAAGAGATTTGTTATAACAGTATGCTGAACCTCATTGAGACTGCTGATGTAAGCATGGAAATGTATTTTTTTTCAGTTAATACAAATTTACTTTTAATAATGATCCCTTGTCTCCAGCTGCACTGTAACTGTTTGATCTGAAATTTATGAAACCTTGAGGTAAATTGTACAGCCCCTTTACAATAAATTAAACTGGAACTTGTATTGATCACTAACTGTAATTTGTAATATGTTCTTTAGCAGGAGCAAGTTAGTCAGCTGGCAGCCCTAGCAGAAGCAATATTTGACTATCACAAACACTGCTCAGATGTCATGGAAAGCCTGGTAGCTACTCTGAACGACAAGTTAGTGGATTGATGAACATTTCAATGTATACACATACTTGCAACTGTTCTGTCTGTAACCATTATGTTTTCTTGCAGCTTTGACTGCAGAGAAATTCTGGAGAGAGATTGGTTTTAAGTTACTGCATCTTTAAGGTTCATTTCAGTAGTGGTTTCCTTTTGACTTTTATTTATTTCTTTTTCAACTTAACTCTTCTTTATTTTAGGGTTTCTGAAGCTGGTAGTCGCCCACGAAGTGAGCGAAGGTCCATCCGCATTCGCAGTAATGATGATAGTGATGATGAGGAGCCCGGGTCCTCTTACAGTTTCTCACCCACACCATCTGCCACTCCATCAGCCCCACCATCAGCACCCACCCCTGCAACAAATGGTTCTTACTACAGTGGCCCATTTAAAGCAGTGTATGATTTTGAGTCAGGTAAGAAAAGTCTTTGTAACATATTTGTTCAAATTATGTTATAAACAAAATCTACAGTGTGTACATAAGTAGTGCAACCACACACTAGTGTTATGAGATTATCACTGTGGTGGTCTTTGCCAAGCACAATGTTACACCTTGAACTGAATTGAAGACATTGCAGTTTTAAAATATTAAGGCCAAACTTGCTTTATTTTAATTTAACAAGATAAGAAGTTGATCTCTCAACTTTAACTTCTATTATTTTGCATATATAGTTCTCCATTCTTACACAAGCATATTTATTTTTGTTTTCCAGAAAATGACAATGAACTAGGTTTTAATGAAGGTGATGTAATCCAAGTGGATGAGCAAATAGATGAAAACTGGCTTTCTGGAACATTAAATGGTCAAACTGGAATGTTTCCTCTTAATTATGTGGAAAAAATGTAACTTTGATCAACCATTTTGAACAATTGTTAGGTTTGATTGGGTACAATGAATTGATGTATGAACTTAATTTATGTGACAAAATTAATTCTTGCCATATCAAAATAAACTTTGCAAACTAGGTTATATAATTTTGTCATAAGAAGAAGCTGAGAGAAGGATCTTGTGCATTATGTAGTTGTATAAAATTTACCTGCAATAATCCCTAGAATCATTAGTTGTAGCTCAAAGGAGATTAGGCTCTTAATAGTCAGCAGCACTTTTTGGGGGAAAAGGAGAAAAAAAATTTAAAAAAATAGGAAAATTAACAATTCAATAAATAGAAATCATAAAGTTTTCTTTCAAACTGGTTGATAATGGTTCTACTTAAAACAACATTTTGTTGCCAACCATCGGGGGATTATCACATCTGATTGGTTTGTGTCTTACAACCTGACCATCATGGAAAGCAGTTGAATTACTGTAGTTTGTGGAATATGTTACAATGAAGACAACTATTAATTACTCTAATGAAACAATGCAGCTTTATTTTACGATCATCCTGGTATATGAAATTGTTCGTACATAATTGATAAATATGCAGCTATAGTAACCATAAGGCTTTGCTTTTCGCAGCCTGTGAACAGAGATTTATATGCCAGACTGCAAGTAAACTTTGGTACTGTTAAAGTCATTATCTTACTTGTAAAATGGAGTTCAGAATGCAACATGTAGACCTTCATATGGTTAATTGTTTTGGCAAATTCATGCAATTTTAGTTATAAAAGTCAGTGCATGTGATTGAACTTGATTATGAAATATGTGTATTTAGAAGTGAGGAAAATTATTACAAGTTTTAGTGACCCACCACAGAACAATTGTGAATGGGGATGCTATGAAGTCTTCTGTTACATGTGCATGAGATATGTTCTCAGTGTAGCTCGAGGTGAGGTATTCATTAAATCGTTATGAGGTGATCTTAGATAATTAGAGACCTTTTTAGTAGGTGTCAGTGATTATCAAGAGATCTAAGTTTGCAATAAAATTTAAGTATTTTATTGAGTATCGTGCTGTGAACTAGTAAACCAGATACCTTGTAGTCTGCAATTTTGAAAGTTCACTGTTGCTTGGCAAAGTACAAGGAACACTGCAGCTTCTGGTTTTCATGAACTTATTTTCTTGGTGGAGATAGACCCAAATTGTTAGAATGTCTCTGTACACATTGCATTCTTGGATTAAAGTAACAGGCTGTTTGCTGTTTGTAAACCACAAAGAAGGAATGATGACAGCCAAAAGAAATCCCAACCATGCTCCCTCCCCTGACCACCACAATGTTGGCACTTTATTTGGAGACTAACGACTTTCTAAGACTTGTTGAACACTGAGGGCACAAGTGGGTAATGGAAATGTTTTATTATTCTATATACCATTTATTACTATTTGGCCAAAGATTTTCTTAATTTTTTTCCTAGATATCTGCAATTTTTTCCCTAAACGACTTGATTTTTGCAATTGTGGGTGATTTATGATGATGAATTAAACAATAACCTAAAATGTGGCATAAAGTGTAAGAGGATTATGATTTTTAAACTAACCCTAAGCATTAACAACAATGAATCCAAGAACACAAACTGATCTTCTCACCAAAAAGTTTATTTACATTGCATGGAACAAAATGTACATAACAGTACAGATTAATGTTGTAAAAGAAAAGGAAATTTGTTTCATGTTTTAACAACCTTTCCCTCAACCTTATCAAACCAGATATAATCGTTTATGTTTCTATTTAGTAGACACTCTGGTTTTCTTGTTCCAAGAAAAGTTTGCTCCATAAGACTTTGGCTTCATCTTGACTTCATGTTTGTCATCAATTTCATAATTCCAACCTGATAACACAGGGAAAATTAGAAGGCATCTTAATCAGGTGTAATGAATACTTGTAGTCAACTGATTTTGAGTGCAATTTGGAAACTATAAACATGTGCCTGTAGAGAAGGCAATTTGAAGCCTTTAAAGAAAGGGATTGATGTGCTCTCAACCAATAAGTATGCCAACATTGCTGCATGGTTAATGTTAGTATAGGTAATATATTTTTGAGTACAATTTTTTTCAATTTAGAATTTTTCGGACAACAAAATTGCATGAGCCTGTATGGAAAGTGAGATTCAAAGTCTTCAAAAAATCTACAAGTGCTCATTTAAACCAAATGATAGGAGAAATTATATGAAAAATGCGTCACTGAAAGTCAAGACGGGTGAACTTTTGACAATTATTTTGTGTACATTATTACAAGCATTACAAAATAATAAATGGCTTTAATGTTGGGGGAAGAGAAATGGGACACTTTTTCAGCTCTTCTACATTTCTATGTTACTTATATTGTGAGCTATAATATTCATTTTCAAGCAAGGATTGGACTCAAAACAAAAAGCTTTCATTTCACTGACTACAGTGGTGTAAGCATCAGTAGTTACCATGTTTCTCAGCATAGTTCACAGCAGCCTCTTTTGAGGGGAATGTGAGATAAATGTTAGACAAGGGATCAGCACTACAATGAAAAGAAACAAATACATTAATTGAGATGCAATAAAAAACATCCCCATTTCAGTTGTAAGTAATCCTCCTATTTACTAAGTTTTATACTAGTGCCTTCTTTTCCACCTCTAATAAGCATCTCCTCCCTTCCCTCTACTTTCATGGATGAGTTCTTAGACAATGAAAGACGTAAAGTATTGGTCATGTTTTGCCACTGGTGTAAGACCTTGAACATTTCTAACATTCTTGTTTGATGAATATGGAAGCGATCTTCACAGTAACGAGCACTACTTAAGCAGTAGTGAAAATATGGCCTGAAAAACATTCAGGCTTGTAAGGGATTTTCTTTTTTTTTAGGCCCATATGTTCGCTGTACTATGAAGATCACTTCCATATTCATTCCTTTGTCTGCAGTTCACAAATAAAATTTTCATATATTATCAGTCATTTATTCTTGTTACAGTGAGTGTACTTGTCAAGTTTGGAAAATAATTATGACTACCAACTGTGCAGCTACTAAAACTTAGAATCAGCTTTCTCTACAGTCTTTCACCCCGTATGTTGTGGCCTTTGAACTTCGTTTTATGATATTATCTACTGGAAAATCAAAAATTGAAACTCAAATTTGACGCCACCAATGCAATATCAAAAAAGTTAATGTTATTTACCAAATAATTAACCTAGCTTGGTTTGACCTTTTCTCTTTCCTGGGTCCAATTGGTACTCAGATAAATCAAACCTCATTTGATTTTGTTACATTATCGTTGTCGAGCTATGAGCTCAAGCATATTCACTGACACGAGCAGTATTCATACTATGTACAAAAATATTTCTTAATTTGCATCCATCTGCCTCGAAACTGATGCTTTATCAAGTGACTTACTTCGAGGCCCATCCCATCAATGGATTCTCCCAACGTTCCATCGTATCAAACTCTATTTGCCAATTCTTTGTGTTAAACGAACCGGACTGCGTCGCTGTTCGTGCAGGGACAAAAATCCTTGCTTTTCTTTCTTTGACAAGCCAGTCTGGTACACCAGTCGTTGTGTCGATTACTTCCTAAAAGATTCAGTGAGGAATAATTTTAACTTCATGGTCAACTCCTCGACAACAATGCACTAGATAAATCAGCTAATATAAGTCAGCTTGCAAGTAAGTTCTTAGTTCTACTTCTCTACCTTTCCGTCGTCATCAATCACCTCGACAGCTTTCTCCTGTTTATCTACGACTGTTGGTGTTGAACTGCTTGTAAAATTTTGATTTTGAAAGTGGAGGTGGCCAAGCCTTACGGCGGGACGAAGAAGACGAGGAAGATGCGCTCGATGACCAACCTTTATGATGAAAGTCGCCATTTTGAATCTCAACGATCGGCGGGAGATTGGGGTTGGCAAACAGTTTAGTGTAATGACGTAATTTATGCTAATCAAAGCTTCATATCATTATCTATTCCAGTTTACCAGGAGTAATGGCTCCTGATGTAGACTAATGATGACATTCGATGTTAAAGTTTACGCATAAGAAGGAGGATATATCCACCAGATGCAGAATATGCAGTTCTTCATCAGATTTCCAGAAAAAAAATACTTTAAAACATTGTTCAAAATTTATACTTGGAAAAAGTTAGTAGCGTTTCAGACGACATGGTACCTTGGCAAACAAAGCAGTCATTTGGACGAGGGCGGGTATGCTAGCCTGCAGAACAGGCATTATTTTTTTTTGGTTTTTTTATTTTTGACCGAATTTATTAATTGTTAGCACATAGGGCTCTCTACTAGGGTGTCAGAGCTTTATAAAAAATCTTTCCTTGACACACAGAACATAAAGTTTATTAGCAGTCCCTCTCATAGCAAAGGGTTTGAAACATAAAAATTCTGTTACAAATTCGGCGAAAACCCTCAAAGGAATCATTGTGGTTTTGAGTTCAACCACTTAGCCATGGCGGAACAGCGATTGCTAGGCTTTTCCCCCAAGATGAAAATTCTCCCTTCGTGCTAATGATCTGCTTTGGCCAAGATTAGTATTAGTATTTAACGCTCCCTCGAGTAAAAGGACGCCTAGTCGCAATTTTTTTTTGTCTTACTCTAGTATAAACTATTACTGTCAACACCCTGAAGGCCTGTCAACTGACTCGATGGAACACAACGGGACACTTTAGTTTTAATGGTAAGGTCCCAACAACAGAATTTTGCTTGTAATCTTATTCGCTTGAATCCACTGACTTTTCGTAGGCAAATAAATGAATGTGTATATTAATACGGGTAAGAATCGACCAGCGTTTCGGGTGCGAACCAACTCAAACTGGGTATAAATGGACTGAATTTGGGCGCGAAACGACCATGGGAACGAAACGACTGGATACCTCAGGGACCATTGCTAACGACTCACGCTTCATTATCGTGATCTCTTGTTCGTGATATACACGCGATTTCTTACGTCTGTTGACTCAAGAGAGAGTTAGATACAAATTGGAGAACATCTAAAAATACTTCTTGACCGAATGAATTTAAGAGCTCCTCGCAGCTAAGAACACTATTGAACTAGTAGTTGAAAATAGGACCTGAAAAAAACTCAGGTCCGTACGGGATTTGAACCCATGACCTCTGCAATACCGGTGCAGCGCTCTACCAACTGAGCTAACAAGCCAACTGGGAGCTGGTCAATATGTTGGGTCCAATAACTTCTTGACCGTAGAAAAAAAAAATATATTTGGTTTGTGTACCTGATGACGAGGCAAGAACTTGCATAATAAGTTTGTGAACTTGCTAAGATTAGAAAATAACTATGATAACCAACCATACAGCTAATAAAACTAAGGAATCAGCTTTCTCTATCATCGCATTCACCCCTTATGCTGTTCTAATATGAATCAATAAACCCTAATATATAAAGAAGTGCATAGATCATTTACGATCGTTTTATATCATATGAGACTCAAATTCACTGTGAATTTCGTAATGATAGTATTCTCTACTAGAAAACCATTATTGGACATGAACACCATCGATGCAATAATTAACAAAGTTGATATTAGTTGGTAAAAAGCTTTAAGATATTGTTCAATATTTACATTGAGATTGTTCAACTGACTTTGATTGGCGCAATGTGACTGATAAAACACAAATGCATTCAATATCACGGGCTCACATATTAGCATTTCAGACAAAACGAACACCTTGGCAGACAAAGGAATCAGGTAGTCGAGGGCATGCACGATGTTAGCGTCAAGATGATCGCTTCTTTTAAGTCGCAGCTCGTAGAGAAATGTTCCTAAACGAGCTTATGTCTGATGATTTGTTTTGGAAAGTGCTCCAGCTTCCACTAACGCGGTAACGACGAAAATTGGATAGGAAACAAACGTGCTTGAAATACAAAGGTACGTACTAAAGAAAACTGTAGAGAGATGAGAGATATTTCTTCGTATATTTTAATTATTCTGTGGTGTGTTCTATGATATTTTGGCTCTATAGTGTGAAGAAAACCATAGGATTATGGTTCTGATAGAAATCTTAGGTAAAAAGCTTATTTAACGAGACGAAGTTCACAGAATGAAAAGGCGACACATTCTAAAATTCATTATGCATACACTCTACCACGTGTTCTTTGATAAAAGATTATTGTTCGAATTTTTACCTTTGCTCAGCAGAATTGAATATCTCTAATTATGCTATTTGGTTCCTTTTATGGCAAGATTTCGATTCCTTACAGCACTGTAGTTCTTAATGCAAACAAGTATACGATGAAAGACAGCAAACACGGGCGTGCTTTGATTTGGAATTTCTCTTCTGTCAGCCCAATATCTCACGAGAGAAAGTGGCAAATGAGTTAGATTTAACAAATAGAGAAGTCTTGACTGTGCTCTGTTCTGTTGTAAAGCACGCAGGAAGGGGCTAGAGCACGAAAGAAGTGTAGGGGGAAACACGAGACGTAGTCGATAGTATAATAAAGAATCCGTTAAATTACCCAGGCATTACTTTCAATTTTCAAAACAAACTTTATTTCCAAAGCGAACAACGGTATCGTCAGCATGCTCTATACTCTCATAAAGCACGCTACAATAAGCCAATCAGAATCCCTGTTAGAATGGTTCAAATAATCTGATTGGCTGTACAAGACTAAAGCTGTCAAAAGTGTCAAACCATCAAAGTTCAAATTCTACGATGGTTTACAAACTAAAATAGTTCGGCAAGTCGAATTTAACACTTTTGCTTGAAGTTTTTAAGTTTCTAATACAGAATCTTGAAGTGAAATGTTCAGTGAACTTCAGCCGAATTATGGCTTATAAAAACACGTGAGTTTTTTCACATGACAAGGTAGAAAACAAACTGTTCAAGGCGAATGTCTGATGAATGAACGACAGCCGAATTCACCGTAACATGAAGATCGCTCGGGATAACAGCGCCGCAAAACCCGGCTACAGTGACTAAATTGACTTTCCACTCAACGTATCGGAAAGGATATCAGAGCAAGCTCTTATTTTTTCACTCGAAGGGCGGCCGATGTAGTTTCTGAGGCTTGCTTTACTGTGCTGACCGGAGATCGCCATGATGAGTGAGCCATGATGAACTTCAGCATGATCATATTCGCTCAGAAACCGTCATGATTAGTATGAATTTTAACAATTATGCCAGTTTGGTTATATTTTTCATCATTTCTGTTTTTTTCTGTTTTGTTTTTGAACACTGAACTTTATATATTATACGGGTGTTAGCTGTGTTTGATTTTTATTACCGTACGTAAGCTTGCAATCTAACTGAGCGTGAAAATTTTTAAAACTCGGAATGTCTATTTTGTTTTTCCTTTGAGGATTTTCGTATCTGCTCACGTTTTAATAACGTAAGTTACGGCGCCTGGTATGTTTACAAACCTTTGTTTGGTTCTTCTGTCGCTACTTGCCGGCTCGCTTCAGTTCCGAAATTTCACTTTCAATTAACGGAAAAAAGCTAAAAAGAAGTCCCAGAAAAAGTCAAACAATTGGCAGATGGCGTGACAGCTGTAGCTCAGCTCTATGTTCTATACTCTCATAGAGCACGCTCTTTCAACCAATGACAGCGCTCGTTATATCCGAACTTTATTATAAACTCTCATAAAGCACGCTACAATAAGCCAATCAGAATCCCTGTTAGAATGGTTCACATAATCTGATTGGCTGTACAAGACTAAAGCTGTCAAAAATGTCAAACCATCAAAGTTCATATTCTGCAATAGTTTACAAACTAAGATAGCTCGGCATGTCGAATTTAACACTTTTGCATGAAGTTTTTTAGTTTCTAATACAGGATCTGAAAGTGAAATGTTCAGTGAAATTCGGCCCAGTCGTGGCTCACAAGAATACGCAAGTTATTTCACATGACAAGTAGAAAACAAACTGTTTAAGGCGAGTGTATTATGAATGAACAACAGCCGAATTCACTAAGAAATGAAGATCGCTCGGAATGACAGCGCCATAAAACTCGGTTGCAGTGACTGATCTGGCCTTCCACTCAACGCATCGGAAAGGTAATCAGGGCAAGCTCTTATTTTTTCACTCGAAGGGTAGTCGATTTAGTTCCTGAGGCTTGCTCCATTGCGATGACCGAAGATCGCCATGATTAGCTAGCCGCGATAGACCTTAAGTCGCTCTGACACCGTCATGATTAGTATGAATTTTAACAGTTATGCCAGATTATATTTTTCATCATTCCTGTTTTTTTCTGTTTGAAATCGAAACTTTATATTATTATACAAGTGTTAGCTGTGTTTGATTTTTATTACTGTACGTAAACTCGCAATCTAACTGAGCGTGAAAACCGTTAAAAAAATTCGGACTGTCTATCTTGTTTTATCTTTGAGGATTTTTGTCTCTGCTCACGTTACAGTAATGTAAATTACTGCGCCTGGCATTTTTGCAAACCTTTGCTCGCTTGTTCCGAAATTTCACTTTCAATTAACGAAAGAAAAGCTAGAAAGAAGTCCCGGAAAAGGTCGGACATGGTACGATTTGGCAGATATACTCTCACAGAGCACGCTCTTTCAACCAATGACAGTACGTGTTATATCCGAGCTTTATTATAAATTGTGTTAAACAAGAGAGAAGAAATTACGTATCAACAAGCAACCATTTATTATTTTGTTTATCGTATAAACACCACGGGCTTTCGCTTTACTGACATGAATTTATTAATGAACTTTGAGAAACGACCTTTGGATCAAGAAGGGCCAACGCTTTGCCATTCATTCCGGCACAATAAAAGGCTTCTTCATGCAGATCCTTGTTGTCGCTCTTTTATAAAAGAATTTGCTCATGCTTTTAGCTACCAGCTACTCTTACACATTTTTCGTTCTCTCCAAACTTCTCGCGTACATCAACCAACACGACAGAATCACGTGAAAGGGGAGTGAGGTATCAGCAGCTGATTGGCTCTATCAAACGCACTTAAAATACCGTAATTTTACCATATGTAGGCAAAGCTTTTCTCAGGGCTGGAAATTCTTTTTAGACTTTAAGGAAAGGTCATCAATACAAAGTTTAGCTTTTTAATTAAAAACCATGCTCTAAACCATCTTCAGTTTAACTGAACCTTTTATCTATACATTCACTTTTGTGAAAGAGGGCTGAAAGCTAATAGTGGAAAGACATTTTATTGAATGAAATCAACCCCATTAAAGAGAATCCCTGAGGCCGACTACTTGATGTGTAAAACTGCAATTTGGTTTAAATAACCATCCCCAATACTTATAGATGGTTCAGTCCTTTAGACTGCTTACTGTCCTTGAGTCATTCTTTTCTTGTCAAAGTTTCCATTCATTGATGACTTTATTTTTAATTGTAAATAGTTTTATTTCTATGCTCTGATTAATATCTCATCTCTTATTCTATTTATTTAATTATCTACTTAAATGGCTAGGTTTCCTTCAGTTACCCTGGTGGCTAACTGAAGTTTGAAATCATGCAAAAATATTCAATTGAAATAACTTTGCTAAATCTTGATCTTTGTATGGATTCACTCCAAGTTTCCAATGTAGGATGATTTCTGCAATATTATTGTTGCTTTTCCCCTGCACCCCGGCAAAGCTTAAATCTTAGGATGGAAGTGCCTTGTGCAGTAAATATAATGATTTTTACAATATTCTTTAGAATGAATGATAGTTATTTTGCACTTTAATTTGTCTTTTTTCAGTTGTTTTCAGTTAAGTTTTATTGCCAAAAAATGGAAATGACAACTGATGAACAGAAACGTTGGATGGTGGTTGGAATTGCTATGATCAAAGTGATTGCCCCAGTGCTGCGAGATGTTGTTAACCAAGGAATAACTGCACATTACAAATACTTTGACACATCCTTACATCCCTGTAAGCTTAATGCACTGACCTATGCTGACTTTCGGAGTAAACCCAGCCTCGAAAACTTGAAGTTTGAAAACATCAACAACAACAGCCAAACATATAAGAAAGACAAGAAGAAAGACAAGAAGAAATACAACTTCAATGTTTTATCTGAACTGGACCTGGCAAAATTGTATCTTCCTCATTACCTTGCAACATTCTCAGCATTTGATGAATCTCTTGACTTGTGTGCCATTCTCCATCTGCTTGGATATAGCAATCCAAAACCCATCTTTCCCTCGCCAGACCCAATGCTCCTTATTCATACAGCAGCAGATGCTGTAAGAGATAATGTCAGAAACAAGTGGGCCCATCCTAATCCTAATGACTGGACTGAAGCTTTCTTCAAAGACTGCTTTGCCAAATTTGAGGATTTAGTGAAGAGTGTTGACATTGGCGCACAAGAGCAGAAAATACTAGACCAGCTGCATCATTGGCAAACAAAAGGTGAAATTGCAATGCAATTACACATCTACCATAAGAATAGGATGAGTAGCTGTTGAGGGTGGTTGTCATGCTTAAGTTTTATGATGTTAATAGGTGATTTCAGTGCACTTTTGGCGTTTTCCATACAGTTGAGTATTCTTTTAGAGAGGGGAGACTGAGATTCTTTAATTTGTTTGATCTTTGATCAAAATTGATCTTTTTGCAAAGGTTTCTGCTCACGGCTCACTCATGCCCTTCATTCTGGATGGTGTACTCGGCATCTGTGAAAATAAGGCTCTTTGGGTCCCTCCTCTGGAGTATTCTTCCCTTGGGGGTAGTCTTTGTGATGGAAGCTTGATCCCTTACAAGTATCCTGATCATTAATTACATAAAATTATTTCTCCATTTTGTCGTTAAGGCTGTGAGGTAGTCATGGGACATGTCGTTGATCAAGAACTTTTGAAATTGGTGCAACAAACGCAGGCATATTTCCGTAAAGAATTGGAGGAGCTTCAATCAACTGTTGCCTCCATCGGAGACAAGCAGCAAACATTAGAAGCCACGGTAGAAAACCAAGGCCAGAGGATTGATAAGGTGGAAGCTATTCAGGCCGAAAATGCCGAGAAAATGAAGGAGAACTACAATTACTTAGCGGAAGTGATCAAGAACTTTATAGCAGGTATTCTTTAATTCGCTTTGTGGGTTCTGCCCTCTGATATTGATCTGATCTGGTATTTTAATCATGTACTTTTAGTCGAAGTTGTGTATAGAGATCTGAAGAATATAGCTAACATTTGTTTTTGACCTTTAAATAGACTGACTTTTCTAGGCTACGATAAGGCAAACTCTTGCTCAGGCATATACGACTTGTGATTTTTTTCATGTATTGTCGCTATGTATGTATAAGAAATAACATGATTTCGAGTGCAATTTGGTGTTAACAAGCACGAGTAAATTTTTCAAAGGCAACAAAATTGCCCGTAGGGCAAGTGCAATTTGTAGTCTTTGAAAAAATTTGTTTATTACACCAAATTGCAAGAGAAATTATGTTTTATAACATAGCGCGCATGCTTGCCCTATTTAAGTCCTATTGAGCCGCTATGAACAAAATCCTTAGTAACGCACGCCCGTGCGTAAATAAGATGACGTGAGCATTTTTTTGCAAGTTTCCTGCAGTCTGTCTTTTCCAACTGCACCGTACACGGCAGCGTAAACATTATTTTGAACAATCAAAACCCGGGTCTTCGACTTTTAAAGCATTTTTTAGTGACACTTGAATTCATTTGGCTCTGATTTTCTCCATTTTCCCCTTAAATTTTGAGCTTTTCGGTTAACTGGATCAAATGGTCTCGCTCAAACCAAAGTATAAAATGTGACGTGTTTTTGACCAGCCGTTGTGCGTTGTGAGAATTTTGCACTATCCGGCACAATAAAAGGCTTCTTCGTGCAGATCCTTGTTGTCGCTATGTTATAAAAGAATTTGCTCATGCTTTTAGCTACCAGCTACTCTTACGCATTTTTCGTGCTCTCCAAACTTCTCGCGTGCATCCATAACTCGATATACGCACGCTAAGCATGAACAAATTCTTAAATTACTTGTTCATAATGTACATGAAAAAGCATTACAAAGAGTTAAGACAGACGAAATTTTGAAAACGTGTGCGTGCTATTTGTAATTTGCACTCGTGTTACACGAGAAAGCCAATCAGAAACGCATTTTTTTTTTCATGTACATTATTAAGATTAAAACACTGATGTGGATAGGCGTAGGAGCTTAATACAATGCATCTTGATCTGGTGTGAGAATGATTTTATGAGGGTAGTTCAGTTACCAGATTTAAAATTATGGTATAAAGTCCTTTTTACGTCATGCTTGTTGATGGGTCTCACTGCTATTTACCAGGGCTCTTTCGTTTATTAAAAGCAAGCTTGTTCGAGGGAGTCATCCTCCTTACTCTCCTGAGCTTTTATCTTGTTCATAAGTTTCCCTTCGTTGCTGCAACTTGCAACAGACTTGATATAAGTACCTTGCACATTTCTCGATTCGGCCAATTTCTGTGTTCACACACACTGGCGAGTAGTTGTAGCTTAATTGATTGATCAATTAGTATAGGTAATCACATGATTTCGAGTGCAATTTGGAATAAATAAGCACGAGTAAATTATTTCAAAGACTAACAAAATTGCACGAGCCCGTAGGGCGAGTGCAATTTGTGTTCTTTGAAAAAATTAACAAGTGCTTGTTTATTCCAAATTGCACGAGAAAAATCATGTGATTACCTGTTAATAATATACATGGAAAAATACGAGATGGTCTATCATAATTAAACATAAGCAAAGCGCGCGCATCGAGTGCAAAAAATAATTTATTCAAACCGTGCGATCGGTCAAAACAACTGCGTACGATCAAAACAATAATATGCAATGATATCTTCGCATCTTTAAGGTGCAAAAAAGTTCAGTCCGGCTTAACAGTTCAAGGAATTGTTCAGTCTGTGTCCGAATCACTTTTAATGAAATGGAATCGTCGTTTCCGAGGTTTAACCATGTTTGTTTTTAATTTCGGCGTTGGATCACTCGAGCAAAGTGTTAAGCCGGGTCGGCTCGTAATTTTCAATTTCCTCGGCAATTCCCCTCTCTAAACACCACTTTTTCCAAACCGACAACCAAAAGGCAGCGCCTTTTACATTGTTTTCATTGTTTAAGCTGTTTTTCAGCTGCGGTGGCGAAAGAAAACCTACTTAAAACGCCGGCCATTGTTTTGCTCGCAAATTTTCAAATTTTGTTGCGACATCCAAGGCTCGTATTTGATTGGCTATCTATGAGTTTCTTTGATTATTGACCAATCAGACTGTCTGATTTGTTTCTTTCTTTGCATTGAATTAACCCTCGTCTGCACTGAATTAACTCTCTTCTGCACTGAATTACCTGAAAACTGCATTTATCTTAACCAATCAGAACTAAGTAATTTTTCCATGTATATTATTAATTTAGGAATAGAACATTCTTCGGAAAGGTTAGCGTAGTTCTCTTACTTTTTCATCGCATCGTTGTGTGGCGTGGTGAGGTTGATATTAAGTTAGTGTATATACTTTTCTTCAGAGGCATCTAATACGCTTTTGATTTCAAATTGTATTCCGCGAAATATTTCCCTAGTTGTACACTTCATTGATGGAGGTCAATTCTTTTTTTTTCGCTTAGTATCTCCTCCAAAGAAGCAGTTTGATTTGGAATCTTTTCGCACCAAACTTGTAAATCATTATAGAACGACAGCAAAGGTGCAGACATCTGTGTGGTCGAAGAACGACAAAGTGTGTATTGACGAGGTATACACACGTCTGTCCATGGTCAAAGGGGAATGCAATGCGGGGTGCGAAGTGGGATGCGAGGGGAAGCACTCTGTTCCTGCAACTTCTTGGCAGCTATTTAATGAATTGAAGAACGGTCGTGAAACGAAGAGGATACTTGTCGATGGCCAGGCTGGAATTGGAAAGTCTACTTTTGTGACGAAGCTCTCTCTTGATTGGATTGAGTGTATCAAGGAAACAAATCCTTTAAAGAAATTCAAACTGGTTCTGTTGATCAAGCTCCGGGAAGTTTCTCACTGTAAGACGCTAGAAGAAGTAATTCGCTCTTCTGACCTTCTTCCAGAGGAAGAGGAAGACGTTATACCTGATTTGCTTCACTACATTACTGAGAATCAGGAAGAGGTCTTGTTTGTCTTTGATGGCTATGATGAATATGGCGTGCGGAAAGATTCCGACGTTCTTAAGATCTTCATGAGACGAAAATTTCGAGATTGTTGTGTTCTGGTGACGACGCGGTCCTCCCAAGGGGATGACCTTCGTGAATTCGCTGATGTACAGGCTGAGGTTACTGGGTTTAGTTTGGAAGACATCAAACGATACTTAAACAAACAACTCGGAGAAAAAGAGGCAGAGGCGCTACTACATCACCTTGAGAAACAAAGGTTGATTGATATTGCGAAAATCCCCCTACTGTGCCTGTTTTTCAGTATTCTGTGGAAGAATACTGAAAAGAAGATGAGAGAAAAGTTAACAACAAAGAATCGGACGATGGTATTCTTGGAGATTATCCAGTACGTTTTGGACTATGGTTATGGAAAGGGTGCTTTGGACCAGCCCAGAACTGTTGAGGGTAGTAAGGACATCCTTGCTGATCTTGGTGAGGTAGCTTTGGAAGGTCTGTTGTCTGATGATCTTATTTTTGAGTATGGCAAAGTGAAGCAAATAAAGGGCTGCGAAGGCATCATTAACGGTTTCCTGCAAATCACCGAGGATACCGAGAACATTCGGCCTTCTAAAAGAGTGTCCTTCATTCACAAAACAATTCAAGAATTTTTAGCTGCCTGGTTCGTTGTGCACAAATTGGTCCCTGAACGTAATCTTGGACGACTGCAAGAGCAAGCTAGGGACAGCGAGAGCTGTCTTCGTCTTGAAAATGTCTTTCTTTTTATCAGTGGATTGTCTCATGATGGAGGTGGAGCTGGAGCCAGAGCCGGAGCCGAGTTGGTTTTACGACACTTAACAAAGGTCAACCGGGAAGACAGGAACCTTCGGTTTATGCAGACAGTCGTTTTGCCGGGCCAAAGAGAAAAAACATGCTATGATCTCACTTACCGTCAAAAAAGATTTCACGACTTGGTGTTTGCGTCATTTGATGAAGCACAATTGAAAGAAGGGCTTTTACGACATTGCCTCTCAAGCACAGATGGAGTGATGTTACTCTCCCAAAGACTTGTGAAGAACCTTTTAGAGTGCAAGGATGATATTATTGAAATGGATCAAGCAACTGTTATTTTCAAGATGCTTAAACATGACCTTTCGTTCTCCCTCGAAGAGAATTTGAGGAAGTTCTTTGATGGTTTCGACTTGGTAGTAAAGGTAACAGAATATTCTCAGGCCCTCCAACTGGGGGACTTTTACAGGAACTTCTTGAACTGTGGTGTTCGCTGCATGTGCAATTTTAGTGCAGTCCTTTTGTCAAATAAAGGAAGTCTCTCGTTTTACATTACTGACCTTCGTTTGGCTTGTCTGCTTCATGAACTTATGTTCACAGGACATACTACTGACGGCCACCCTTTTCTCGAATATATTGCCAAGGATGTCAGTTTCATCAATCAAAACCACGAATTGCAAAAAGGTCTTCGACTTGAGCATTTAGTACCGCTTGAATTTCCCTTTAAAGGACCATGTGAAGCCAGATCTCTTCTTAACCCGCAGAACCCTTCGTCGGACGAGCATTTGCTCAAGCACCTTCAATCCTTGGAATGTGTCTCTACTTCAATCAGTGGGATCCTCAGTAACACTTGGTGTCATTGCTGGGAAATCAAAGTATTTTAATTCTGTAAAACTAGAACTTGCAAAAGGTGGTGAATTTTGTGATTTTCTAGAGCCTGTCAAGAAGTTAAAGGACTGTTCACTTCAATTGTCCAGTCGCTCCTTGGATACCTGTACGTCAGCTGGAATGAAACGACTCTCAAACTTATTACCAAATTTCAACAACCTCTCGGTTCTACACCTCAACCTGAAAGATTGCTCTGAGATCCTTGTCAATCAGTTGGTCGCCGTTATCACGCACCCCACGGTCAAAATACTTCAATTGAATAAGGTGGATTTGGTCGAAAATACCGCCATTGTTCTTGGTGGCTCTGTGCGTAGGATGTCAGCTCTGCAGGTTCTTGTAATAGAGGGAAAGATGAACGAGTTAGGATTGAGAGGGATGCAAGCTTTATTTGGGGGATTTTCGCGAGTAATTCCTTTAAGAGTACTTGAGCTTAGCTGTTTTCGTGTCTTCAAGAATGGTCTCAGCTTTCTCCGAAATAGCTTCCAGTTCTTCCCCCGAATGGTTGAACTTCGGCTTGTCAATCTAGAGCTTGATGAAAGAGATGTCGGTAATCTCCTCAGTGGCGTCAACTTTCCAGAATTACACAAACTGATTTTATCAAAAAATCGGCTCGGCCATGGGATTACCTCTATTGTGAGTCATATTGTGCGTTTTCCGAAGGTATTTCAACTCGTCCTGGAAGATGTAAACTGTTCCGAAGAAGACAAGAAGTTCGTAATTGAGAACGTCAGAAAGGTTCGGCCAGCGTTTGGTATTTACCCACTATCGCCTGACACAATCGAATTTTTGTTTAAGCAAGAAGAAAGAGGTGACAGTTACTGAGCTCAATTCGGCGTGATGTTGTTATCGTCAAACGGTGTGGGGAAGAAACTGTGTTTCATCAACTGTTGCTGGAATCGTTGTTTCGAGTTCCTTAAGGTCATAAATCCATGTTTCTTTTCTTTCCTTTGACTGAGGACGAAATTACAAAGTGTCTGGACCGAATTTCTGCCTTTCGGTCTGTTTTTTTCGTTTTCGTTTTTGTTTGATTAATATCGATGAATAATTAATCGAGAGGATCGCTCGTTCACCCGAGAGCGCTTCATTTATCATACTGTATATTTTTCAGTAAGCTGTAGATAAGGCTAACGTACTCATTGGGCGTATAAAGCTCTAAATATACTTGTTGCTTTTCTTTTTTAGTTGTCGCAGAATCAAATAAAAACGTGAATTTTGTCGGATCCCTTTTTAACACATTAGTCTGGACAAATAGCACGAGAAATTAGTCCTTCCCATTTTGTTGAGAGACAAATGCTCTTATCAGTAAATACAAATGGCATCTCCTGTCCAATGATGAAGAACAGTTGAAGAATATTAGATACTAAAATGTTGGTTTTTTTCGCGTTTTGTATTTATCAATTTTTTGTGCTTTGAGACCACTTCAGGTACCCGATCTCCAAAGGGGATCAGGGATGGGTGAGTTACTTCCCATTGTAGTTGCATGGGTATGATATCTGCAGGGGACAAACGGATTAAGTGTTATGAAGAACTAAAATTAAACGTGTTTGGGAAATACTAAATTAGGAATGTGCTGGCTTAGTGTTTGGAAATTGTTTAGGCCTCTTAGATTATGTTGAAATCCTCCTTCGAGTCTTGTGAGCATTGATTTGTCATGAGCTGCAAGGACGCACATTTATTTATACCTTTCGAGTGATTTGTCCTTGACCGTTGTAATAGGGCTGAATTCTCGTGCGATAATCGTCATCGCTAGTCTGGTTTGGGTTTGACCTTGACCTTGCTTAGAGTACTCAACAGGAAGTTTGGGTTAGCGTTCTAAAAACGTGTTTCCTTGCCAAAATTTGTTGTCACGTAAGCCCAAGTATGCCGATAGGACGTTCAAGAGCGTGTACTAAGAACTGAACTAGAAACGGACTCAGTCATGCCGATAATGAGTCAGGGTGTAGCGCTAGTTGGAGTGTATTTTTTAGGGTATACTTGCGCCTCAGACATTTCCTCCCTTGCTATGAATTTCCCGGAAACTGGAAAACAATGTAACAAAAGCAACTGCATGTTGCAAAAAAGTATGTTCCAATAATATTTTGACATATGCAGCTTACTACTTAACAATTGGTTCAATTGGCTCCAAACTTACCACGTGCTCCATAACTCGATAGTGCACAGCTAAAGCATGAACCTATTGTTCCATAACATAGCTGGTGAAATTGTGCATCAAATCCGACGCGAAAAACGGACAACAATATCAAAAGTGACAGTGAAGCGAATCGTGACGGCGCTGATGCCGAGTCTCCTTTACCGTTGCTTTTCTCTTTTTCGCCTTATTTAAGAACTCTAGCCCAAGGGAAAAGGTCGAAAAATTGTCTTCGTTTTGGGATTTATATAATAAGCTCACTTATGCACGCATTCTGATTGGTTCTCACTTATGATCTATTTGGGGACAGACGTATAGATAACGTCATCATTAGAACATTTTTAAAAATTCTTTATTATATAAAACAAATAGATTCCAACTTGCCGTGCGTCTGTCAGTAATAGACCACAGAGGACGTCAAAATGTGGTAAGAACATCAGGGACACACTCGGCTGCGCCTCGTGTACCACTTTTTTTTTCTTACCACATTTTGACGTCCTCTGTGATCTATTACTGAACAGACGCACGGCAACTTGGAATCTATTTGTTAATTATATAAAAAGCTCAGTTATGCACGCATTCTGATTGGTTCTCACTTATGATCTATTGGAGGACAGACGTATAGATGACGTCATCATAAAAACTTTTTTTCCGTATATTTTAATTCTTTAATATATAAAACAAATAGATTCCAAGTTGCCGTGCGTTTGTTCACTAATAGATCACAGAGGACGTCAAAATGTGGTAAGAACATCAGTGACATACTCGGCTGCGCCTCCTGTGCCACTTTTTTGTTCTTATCACATTTTGACGTCATCTGTGATCTATTACTGAACAGACGCACGGCAATTTGGAATCTATTTGTTAATTTGATCACGCTTAGGTATACTGAATTTGATTGCGCGGCTCTGCTAGCTATGTTATAATGTCTTTTTGTCATACTGTTTGGCGAGCAGTGACGAAATGCTATCAGAAAGAGGACAGATTCTTTCTTTAACCACAAACGTAAATAAAAGAGCCTCTACATTATTTTATGTATTTGTGAATATTCAAATCGATCGCTTGAAAGTAGTACACCTCGACTCAATTTAAATCCTAACCATGAAATATGGGAGAGACTAAAAGTTTATGGGTGACTGTGGACTGGCTTCATCGACGGTTGACGATGAAAATCTTTCATACGTCGCGCTTGATTGTTAACTTTTCCCCATTTTACGCTAGACAGTAAAGCTGGCTGACACCTATTTGTATGCTAGTCACGCTGGCTGTCAGATCCGTGATTGACCACTTAATAAATGACCTGAGGTCACACTGTTCGTACCGGTCAAAGTGCATGCATTTCCGATTTTTCGTGGAAGTGATGAGGAACGTAGAAAACTCTTTTGAAATAATTTTGCAACTAATAGAATCTTAAAAAAGATTCATTTTTAGGGCTCACGGTCTCATTATCGGTTGTAACTGGCCCGAATATCAGGCTTTCTAAGGGGTTGGACGTTTGGAAAGAGGTAGAAAGAGAAAAGGCCTTCCTCCCGCTTTCGTTGAAAAGCCTGATACTCAGGCTAGCTTCTAACTATCACACATTGTCCGAAAACTGAGAGGGTCTGGAAGGACATTTCGTCTTTTTTTTCTTCTTTATCTCAACCTTCGAAATCTTGGACATTTTCCTTTTTCAAGTGAACTTGTCGATCGGACTTCGTTGAATTTCTTGGTAATGTTATGCGGAAGTCAAGCATAACAAGCCCGTTAGTCGGCGCTCCGAAGAGAGATAATCCATTACTCACCCGATCCCAAATTGAAATTTATACCCCTTTGCGAAATTGAAATTCAATGGCCTGTTAATTTAGCTACTTTACTTCGTATCCTCGATTTCCTCCGAAGATTCAGCCACAGAGATATTACACTTTGAATAACGAATTCGCGGAAACTTCGCGAACTCAGTGATATACTTGCGTCACGCGCTGGCGATAAACTAGGTAGTGTTACATGACGTAACTTAGAGGTCTCTCTTGTAATGGCGACTTCCGTTCCAAGAAATTGATCAAGTCAACAGTTCAGTTTTAAGGAGCTGTTTATTACTCAAGTGTTCAGTTGCCTCCCAATGTTTGCATAGAAAAGATGGAAATTCCAGAGCAAAGAACTGCAAAATAGTCAGCGTTTTTCTGGATCTAGGTAAGTAAAAACAAAATCTTTCAGTTTTTAGTGTGAGGAACACGGTACACATTGCCAGTCAAACTTAGATTAAATTTAGAGCTTCCTTACATCATACATTTTGTGAGTCTTCCATTCTCGGTTCGTCGCACAATTCTCTTGCAAATTCAAGAACAAGACTCTTGAATCTGTTTTGTTTGCATTGTTGCAGGGGCTTGCAACTTAGTTTAATCGCTCCATATTATTGTGTGACTATACCAGTACCGTCCTTTCCGGGCCAACACTGCTAAGTTGGCTGCATTTCCTTGTAGCCTTCCGGTCACACCATTCAGAGCTGCAGAACAATAAATCAGTCTCAAAAGTATATAAATTAGTTTCTTTTTAAGTGAAATCAGATGTCTCCCAAATCTGCAATGGGAATCTTTCTTGGCACTCTTTAATATCGGTAGATGATAAGTTTGATGAACATGTTCTAGCGGGTTTATGATGTTTGACTACGTAAGACAAAGTTCTCGCAAAAGTGTTTTGAATGTATGTTATTGTTTCAAATCTAGCTATGTAAGAAAACTGATTTTTATTTTCCCCTGCTTTTATTCTGAAACAGACAAAACCAAAAAAAATTAACTGGAGCATGCAATACTTAGATAAATGATTGACATTGTTCACCAAGATTATCATGTTACCAAAAGAGTATAAAGGTTGAGCTAATGGTGTTTGATTAAATTCAATTCACAATGTGGACACGATTTTTATGTGCCTTGGCCCATCCAGTGGAAGGTTGCACATGGACAGTCAGTGAACAACTAATCTCTATTTTATTTACTAGCACTGCTTAAGTTTCATTTTATCAACCTTTTCATTTATAATTATATCTACCTTATTTGAAAACCTTATGGCAGATTACATTGGTTCTAGTCAGACATGGAAATATAACGTTTTTGTTATTGAAAAAAAAACAATCTGCAGCATTGATCACTTTCTCATGAATGATTATTGACCCTTTTTACTCTCAAAGATCTCATTTCATTAATTCTCCTTACTGTCTACCATACAATTCTTATGATGGTAGTTTGGAGAATTTAGTATCAGATCAACTGATAATCTAAATGATATTTTTCTTTATTCTCATCACATGTCTTCTTGATATTGTATTGATATTATATGGAGAAATTATATTTTGGTCACTCATGGGAGTTATAGGGTCTTAAAGGGATTATAACTTGTGGGCCTACATTAAGTAGGCTTCTCATTGGTTGAAGAACGACTCAATTTGCCATTCTGCCCTTATCTATACTCTCTTTAATTTAAATTGGCTTCTGAAAGTCCCATTTATTTTACAGCTGTGTATTTGTTTGATCACCTGTTGAATTTTATTTACATCTGTCAGTATTTAATAAACTGTTAAATGTGTTTTTGAATAAGAGACAGGAATTATCAGCACCAGAGAGATTGGTACAGTCTTCAAGACCTACATTTTTCAATTTATTTTTTTTAATGACTTAGAACAAAGTCCATTTACGACAATCCAAAATAAAATCATGCATTATCTTATCCACAGATCAAAAATATGAGTCATATCATCTGCAATTATATAACAGTCAAGAACAAAAATTCATGGCATTTGAGCTTAAATCAATTCTTTCTTTAACCCTTTTCAGCCCAGCATCAGTATGCATATTCTCAATACTGTTCTCTGTGCATTGCTGATTGTAATGAAAGGAGAATTGTTTAGCTGGTGATCATTTCCTTTATTCTCATCACCTTAAAAGGTTATTCATTTGGGATACTGTAAGGAGAAGGTTGTTATTAGTCACTTTTGGGGTGTCAGTAAGTGTTTTAAAATTGCTTTGGGAAGGGTGTTTTGAAAGCTCCCTGTAGAAGATTATCTGTTGTACAGATATTTCAAAATCGCAATGTTCATGGTAATTTCAATTTTTCTTTTTTTTTTTTTTTTTTTTTTTTTTTTACAGGAAAAAGTTCTTGCAATGAATACTCATTTCAGCAAGTTACCAAACAGTCTGATTGAAATATGTGTAGTGGTGGGTATGGATCAGGATACTGGCCTTGTGGCAGCCAGGTCTGCTGAGGTAATTTAACATAAAACAAGTAAAAACAAGGGACCTTGATTAGCACATTTTTTTCAAAAAGGAAAAGAAAGGAAAGAAAAGCAGAGAAATAAATGAACAAACAAAAAAAAAAAGGAAGGAATAAAGAATGAGCAAAGTGAAATAAGCTGCAGAAACATCTGAAAGAAGAAAAATATTATTTTGTAAACAAATGTTGTTTCCCTGAAGCCCCAATGCTAGAAGGAAGAAGAGAAACATTTCCAAGATATTTGTACACATGTTTATTGAGTGATGTTGATCTGTTTTCAACAGAGCAAGAGAGCCCCAAAAAGCAGTAAACAACAGTCTCCTCTTTCTCAAACTTTGTTTGAAACCCATGTACTGGCTGCTTTGTCTGGAGAAGTGGCTTCCTTTTGTTGCACAGCATTGGAATTTGATAGTAAGCTACCAATTAATTGTCTTAAAAGACAAAAACTATTTCAGTCTATTGCATGTGCTTTACATATATATTGGAGACTTCCAAACAGGAGGTGATTTATGAAGACATTTCTTTAAGATCTGCAAGACAACTATTGTGGCCATCTATTTTAATGAGGAAAATGTTCACGAAATGACTGTTGGCTCTATTTGTTAACTGAAACAAGAGAAAGAATGTGCATTGAAAGACACCAACAGAGATGTATCTGATGTGAGATGATGTGTTAGAGATCTATAGTATGGATTCTTGGCTTGACCTCAGGAGCAACTTGTATCTAGGATAGTTTATTGTTCATGCAGGAGTGGAACCATTTCAGGCTATACTAATTTTAAGCTAAGTTGTTTCCTTTTTTTTTAAGCCTATATCACAGAACATCGATATCCATTTTTCAGTTGACAGAAATTAACTTTTGACAAAGGCTCTGCGATGGCTGTTAGTGGTCACTGCTAAATGGTATTCAGTGTGAAAAATGCATTATTGCAATATCTCACAGAAAAACATCCTCACTCTTGTTGATCTTGAGGAGAAGCGAATCAGTATCTCCTGAGTTCAAACACTAACTATGTTTTTCTCCAACAGGTGAGCCTTATTATTCAAATTTGGGCATTCTGTGTAGCCCAACTAAAGGTGGAAATCCAGGAAGGCGTGCACGTAGGGGATCAGTCATGGTCAAGGCAGCTGAATTGCCATTGGCTCAAGATGTTATCAACAGCTTGCCACAATTTTGTTTTCCTGGTATGGTATAGTGTAAAACCTCCCTCTTTTATTAAAAAGTGTGCAGTTTCATTCAGGAGTGGTCAGAAATGATTTTTAATTCTCTCCTTCCATGTCCCTTATTTTTTCTTCCCATCCAACTTTGGTAAATTTAACTTTCTTGCAGATGGGGGTTATATTTCTATGAAAAAGAAACCTGTTGAGTGTCATTCACTTGTTCTAACAGACATAGAAGGTATGTCTGTGAAGTTTGGTTACACTAGTGGTTTATTTACAGTTTTTAGCCATGAGGATAAAACAGTTAATTATTACAACCATGTAGTTTTTTTGTGGAGTGTAATCTTAATATTATCAAAGTGACTTTTAATTAGATCAAGGATAAAATCAGTGATATAAATCAGTTTTGTCTCAAATTGACTTTGCATGCCTTTGTTATGTGTACTTTTAAACCTGAAAAATGTTTACTCTTATACTCTCTCCAGGTAACCGAACATATTGTTCCTGCATGACATTCTACAGAGGGTTTCTCATAGAGGAGGTAAGCATTCACATTGAAATATTTCAAGATCAGACCAATCTTAGGGAAAACAGCTTCAACCAATAAGAAACAAAGAAGAATTGGAATGCAAAAATTTAGTTTGAGCTTTGTCACAAATATCACATCCATCTAAAAGGAGTGCAATTAAGTCAAAATCAGCATCAGCAAAGGAGATATAAAAAATTTTTTTAAATACAAAATCTCTAACCTTTGTAACAGTTAAGGGTGAAAACAAAACAAAAGAAAACAAAACAACTGAAACATGAACAGTACATTAGAAATGCCTAAAATTTGTCTAAATCCTAAGCTTAACCTTAAACTCCCACAAGTTATTAACAATGTAACTTCTCTCTACAATATTCATGCATCGTCCACCAAACAGGCCAAGAGAATACTCAAACTTATCAAGTAGAAGTTAATATCTTTATCCAACACCAAATTCTTCAAACTAACATACAAGGAAATGGTTGTCAGCTTGAGGGGGAGAGTTAACAATCAGATCGTCACAGTTTAAGGGTTACTGTGTAACACACACCTAATAGGGGTGACTTAATTAACAGAAGTAAATTTTTAAAAGTAATTCTTTTCAATTTAATCTCTTCAATAAACATATTTAGGACAAAGATGTACCAGGCAATTACAAGTTGTTTTATGCAGAGGAAAAAACTGATGGACAAGGTATTTCACTTTCATCTTGGCATCAAAAGTTAAAAAAATGTCAAATATTCAGTTAACTGATACTTAAAGGTTAATGCAGTTGTAGAAAATTGTCAGTGGCAGTAGGGATTGCTGATAAACCTTTATTATGAAAAATTATCAAACAAACGGGATCTGGTAGACCATAACAGCCACTTCACAACTAAAAAGCATTCAGCATAGGTTCTTGAAATTACACAAGAAAAGCCATAGAAAAAAAATCCAGTCAAACTTGACTTGTTTGTTTTTGATAATAATTTTTCCCTGGAAATTCTCTAATAATACTGGACCTCAGAGACTCCTTTCAGTTTTGAAGCTCATTTTCAAACAATAAATTATAGTTATTTGTTCAAGTTAGAGCCATGAGCTTGGAGCCTTTTGACTTGTTTGTTAGCTGCTAATTGATTTTTCTGTATTTCTTTGAGATTGAAAAATGTAAAACACAAATACATGTCGTTCTTGTGTTTGTTTATTTTGCAGTTGTTCCAGGCTCTTCTTATCAGTTGTTTTACGTACCAACATGTTGCTGTTTGATTTCTAAATGGCCTTATTTCAACATAATGAAAGACTGTTTGTCTAGGTGAGACGTGAAACCATCCACAGCATCAGCATGTAACAAAATTTCTGTTCTTCTAAAATTAAACTAGTTTTAATCATATAGACAGATGGATAGCAGAGATATGACTTTGCTATGATTACATCTTTGGCAAAAAACAACAACAATAACAAAAAAACAACAGAAAATGGATGTTAGCATTGATTAAGTGGCCCACAAGTAAACTGACCTACTTTTAACTTGCCTTCATCATCGGTCAACTTACCTTCTTCTTTACCCTTAAACCCCCAGAGGTGATCAACATGCAACTTCTCCCAATAATATCCATACATTATCTAGCACGCTGGTAATGAGAATACTCAAACTTATCGGGTGGAAGTTGTCATCTTGATCTAACTCCAAATTCTCGTAAATAACTTATAAGGAAATGTGCAGTAGCCAGAGGAGAGAATTAACAATCAGATCTTGGGAGTTAAAGTTTTAACTCAATTTAATTTTATCTTCAAATATCAGCTGATACACATTATACCCAAAAATCAAAATTTGCAATGGCTATATGAGGGATGGCTTCCATTTTGTTTGGAAGTATGCCTTGAGCTGATAATTCCCAAGGAAAAAAGCGAGCATATTTTCACGGCATATATAGATGCTTTTGTGGTCTTTATCGGATAAGTATCTTTATTGCTAGGGGGACGAAAACTTTACTTACAACTTAGCGTCTAAAACTTTAACTGCAGGGGGTGTGGACTTTTCAGCGTTCCCTCAGATGACTGAACATAAGGTTTCAGAATTGAGAAATATCTTATGGGAAATTTTAAATAATATGAAATATTTCCCATTTCTAGCTGCGGCATATTTGGTGTTCTGACTTGCTTAGACCAAGGGCGTGCCAGCGAAAATATTTAATTGATTGTAACATTTTTCCGGGAAAAAAGTTGCGTACCAACACGATTTATGCTTTCATCTCTACCAATTCTGTGACTCACAGTTTGTTACCACAAGTGATGACAAGTGATCCAGCACTTTTCAGAACAGCTTTAATGCAGTTTGTGTCACAGCTTGCGATGGTACCAGTCCCTCCACCAGGTTCTCTTGGAATAGTAAGTAACCTACACATTTGGGTTTTTAAAGTGATTTATCAATTGACTTGCAGGTAAACTGACGAACTGTGTTACTCATAAACTGAAAAAAGGTACGGACCGACTGGCTGATTAACTGACTGATTAACTGGCCGACTGATCGGGTAACTGAGTGACTGACTAGTTGACTGATTGACTGACTAAATGACCGACTAATTGACTGACGAATGACCGACTGACTGACTTACATGTACTGTCTGACTGAGTAGCTGACTGACTCACTCACTGATTGACTGTCTGACTGACTGTCTGACTGACTGATTGATGGATTGATTGATTGATTGATTAATTCGAATCATCATTTCCTTTTGCTTGCAGGAATTTGAGCTCCTTGGAGTTAAACATCTTTTGCGACCTGCTGAAACTCCAGGTGAATAGAGAATTAATTCAATCAGCTACTTCAGCAACGTCTAATCATCGTTTTGTTAACAACGACAACATCAAAAAATGCAAATCCAATCTGTGTTCATGATTTCTTTGAGTTCCTGTTTGGATGTCCAAGCTTCCTTCGCTAAATATTCTTAATCCTCTATCATGTCACAGAAACTCGAGTTGTCAACATGGAACTTCATTATCCGTTCCTTTATTTCTCGTTGGATGACATTCTTCTCCTAATGAGCTGCATTTTGACTCAACAACGGATTATTTTTCTCTCGTCGTCGTATTCACTGCTTACTCCAGTGATTGAGGTTTGTTTCAAGCTTTTGAAAATTGATAATTAGTGGGAGGATTTACCGTGCGAATGCCGGATTCAAGCTTAAGGTCGTGAATGACTTAACCCCACTGAATTTCTTAAAACCTAGACGAATCATGTGTTTTTTATTTTCTTCAGAAATTCCACCTTAGGACCTCGACTTTTCTTTCTTAGCCACACCATTCCCAAAATAATTTTAACTCCATCTCATCTTGTCACAGAAATAACTTTGGAATCTTTCCTTAACTGATACCGAGGAAACCGCCTCCCTTTACTTGCGCTTTTGAAAAAAAAAAGTAAAAACAACAGTTATATTCCCGTTAGAACAGATATTCTCGACACTACTTTCAAATGTAAACTATCCTTTTTTATTTGCAGAGTTTATTCACGTTTATCCAACCTTTTTCATGGAGTTGGACATATGTACCAATCCTTCCAAGGTAGGTGATTCATCTTATTGTATCGATGTTGATTGCCCAGCCACTGCACCAACACTTTGTTTATGAGACTGATAAGAATCTGGGTGTGCTTTGCAGAACAATTTCTATAATAAAGGCCTGACTGAAAACTAAAGACTGTTTCCCAATTCTTTCCTACTGTGTTGCATGTAAATAACTGCCCTTAAATCGAACCCATTTCACATCTCTCTTGACTCAATTCCATGTACAGCGTCAAATAACTGAATTTTTCGAGGTGGCATCTGCGAGATGTTTTAAATTTATTGTCTAGGAATATTTATTGTGTCGAACTATTATCTCTCAAAATCGAGCACAGCACCCTGTTACTGACATACAAAACTGTGGACATGTCGCACATATGCAAATCTTACTGAAGGCGCATGTTATGACTAACGAGGTCTTATCGATAGAATGGGCATACAATTTTATGAATATTGGCTGAAGAAATATTTTATGTTACTCTTGCTTTTTTATTTGACTTTTGATTCTTTTATTATTATTGTGTCTAGCATTATATACAAAGGTGCCAAAAAGCATCATCACTAACATTATTATCGGTTTATCAAATATATAGAAATACTTGGAGAATAGAAATGACTCGTGTATTTGATACTTCTGCAGTGCACTCATAGATTTAGTAGAAGCGCCTGGTGCATTTATTATGGGATGTCATAAAGAACATAAGAGCAAGATACAACAAGTTGTCGAGGGGATGGATGAGGTATAAATAACTGTTATACCCTCTAGTAGCTATAGTTGTAAACAGTGGCCACAGACAATCTACATGCAATTTATCCCGCCCTATCTTAACTCGTCTTTTTTTTTCTTTACCAGATTTCTACCTTGTCCAACATCCCCATAAACCCACCTTCCAGATTGTGATGTTTTTTCTTTACCCAATCAATTTGCACTGCGAAGCACTTCATGATATGCCATAAATCGACTCTGACGAAGGCTAACTCTCGAAACGTCAGCTTTTAAACTCCTTACGGTGACCAAATTACGTCATCAATTCAGTTAATAATACTTTATTACCCTGTTATACTCTCCCACTGAAGCAGCACCACAGTTTCTTTAGAACCTTAACCCCCTTCATGATATGCACAGTAACAATTTTCGATTATTTGTTTATGAAGGGAATTTATTTTGCGTTTTTTTTTCTCAGTTGTCCAGCTTTGTAATTGCTGATATCGACGAGGGTTCAGTGACCAGCCCTCCCAGAATTCAGCGATTGCCAACCTATGCTGCAGAATTGTACAAATTTAGGTATCGATCTGTTCTTAGTTATATTGAAGACATTCACCGTATAAATTTCGCCTTTTAAACTGACATTTTTGGGAGTCGTTTCAAAGGAATCAAACAGTAGAAAACTACGCATCTTTCTTTTGCTTTAACGAGGGTAAACCAAACCGTTTAAGGATTTTGATTCCGCTCTAAGTTCTGCTTTTTCTGTGTTAGACAGCGCTTTAAGTAGAGTGAACCTTCCTTTCGCAAATTTCAAGATGAGATATTTTTAATGAATAACTGATTACGCTTTTGTTTAGGATGAAAAACGCAGTTATCCACTTTGACCGTCTTCTTGTTCAAAGGTACTGTACCACGAATTTAGTCTCTTTATAGTTTTTTATTGTTAATGTTTACAAGAATACTTTGTTTAATGACTGACAACCGTTACCTCTCAGTTTGAATTTGGATACATTTTCTTAGAGAAAGTTCTCTTAAAAATACATTTTACGCATTTGCAGACAAACATTCTACTCTTTGCAAGAATGGAACAACTGCAGAGATAAGTTCGTAAGAGATTTCCAACGGCTTGTTTTAGCATGTGAGTTACACTATGGCCTTTGATGCAGTGACTTTGAAGCATTTCTGCGACAGAATCACACATTTTTTAAAAGCTTGGTAGAAAGGCCAAAATTTATTGAGTGCCATGAGTACATGATAATTTTAGTACTATGGAATTTAGTAGACTTGTCATATGCAGTGAAACTTATCTTTCGCAGACACCCTCATGAATATCAGTAATGTCCACGTCGCATATTAAATCTAAAATTAGATTTTATACTTTGTATTTTGAATAACCAAATATTGTTTTTCTTCTCTAGCCAATTTGGAGATGATGTTGAGAATGTTCAGGTGCGTTTTTTCTAGAACTTGTTTCTTTAAAAATCTTTAAAAGGACAATAAGAAGCTAAAATATATATTTTAGAGAAAAAGTATAGCCTCACAAATAATCATATCCTTCGAGAAAAAGAAATAAATTATTTTCTAGCAGATAATGGACTAACTCTCAATTAAAATCTCGGAGGCATACACTGAGGAATTCAGTTGTTCTATTTCGAGTTTTCGAATGCATCGGTAAGTAATGTAGATCGGATGCTTTCAGTTGGACTGCAGACAGTAACCATCCTAAATACTGTTGTATTTCAATGTATTTCTTTTTGTATTTTTTTTTTAATTTTTTTTCTTATTTGCAGTGACATTAAGAATTTTATCGTACAGCAAGAAGATGTAAGATAATATTGTTGTTAATTATGTTTATTATTGCACGTTGTCCGGCGCAAACAGTAGAAAGATGTCTGAGCTTAAGTAATGCCGTGAAGTATTTGTTTGGATGTATTACTTGCAATTTGTAGTTGGCAAATGGCTGAGCGTCTTATTTGAGCTTTTGGAAAATTCAGGGCACGCTGCTTTGTGAAACTATTACACACGCAAAAAAACTGCCCAACAATGTGAAAGTGTAAAACGATTGCGGTATTAGTAAATAGTGAATATTCGATACACTTTTTTAAAAGACATTTTACTCGTCTCTCCAAAGCTTTTCTTTGATATGGATACTTACATTGAGTCAAAGCCTGCAGAAAACCAAGATTTCTTTCGGGAGGTGAGAGAGACATTCTTAAACTTAAATGGCCGTGATCTTGGCTGTGAAATATGTAAGTGAAATGTTTCTTAATTTTTCCAACCGAGTGCATCATTAAACAACACCTCGAATGACAAACACTTAGATGGCAATTGTTCTACATCATAGAGAGCGTGAAAGATTATTCGTGTTTAGAATCAGGAAATGAAAAGATTTTACATTTTCATGAACACCCTGATAATCGTAACAAAATCAAGTGATGGTAATTGTTATGTTTGGATTGTCCTGTTTTTCGGTTCCAAAAGGGTTAATGATAAGTCAAAAAATATGTGGAAAATGGATTCTTATGGAGGTGGGAACGAAACCAATCAACTGAAGTGTTTCTCGGCTAGGTTCTACAATAAAGATTTGTAAGATCCGTATCTAATACACAGTTGCTTACGATGATTTTTTTCTAGGTGTGCAAGAGTCAAGCATTTAGCATGTTTCTTTACGACCTGATTCACAACTCAGAAAAGGCAGACTACTTTACACTCATGGCTCAGAAAACCAGGGTTGTTCCAAAGTAAGTAGTCATGCAATGTTTATCAATATCAAGACCAAACTTAAAAATACTGCTCTGACAAGCCTAAATCTGGGGTTAGATAGGATCCGGTTCGGCAGGGATCTTGGATGGACGATTTGGGCTCCTCAAAAATATTAACCGAAATGTTGAGCACATGCTTGTGACTATCCCATTCATAGACATTATTTATCCTTACAATATCATCACCATGATTATGAAAGCGATCCTCGCAGTAACGAACACTACTTGAGCAGTAGTGAAAATAAGGCCTGGAAAAAATTCAAGCCTCTGCAGGATTTGAACGCATGACCTCTGTGATACCGGTGCAGCGCTCTACCAACTGAGCCAACAAGCCAACTGGGAGCTGGCTATTATGTTGGTTCCAAATATATGACTTTCATATATTCAAAGTCGTTTAATATCATCATCATATTAATCAGACGAGTGAGGAGAACAAAGACAACACTATCAGTAAGGGAACAATTAGTTGATCAAATACCAAATTCTCCAAACTATATCACAAGAATTGTATGGCAGATAGTAAGGAGAATTTATAATAAGATCTTGGGAGCGAAAGGGCTCAAACTACTCTTCTTGTGTGATGAAATAGTTTTACCTTTCTTAGGACAGGTCCTCTGAGGAAAAGAAGTTCATCTGCATTGACTGTCCCTGTTATACCTGAAGAGTGTTTTGCCGATGCACATGAGGAACTAAGCATATTTGCTCTTCCTCCTTTCGTCCGCGGAGGCATCCACACAGGTAAGAGATGCTCACACGCTCTTATATGGAAAAAAGTATTTTACAATTTTTCATGAACGTACATTAGTTGTGGTAACTTTTTTATTATTATTTAAAATCTAAACCGTTCAGACGGTTTTTTGTTAATTCACTTTCATACTAGTGACTATGGCGAAATATTTCTTTGTTTCACTTGCAGTCTTACAGACATTAGTATGATATATCTTACTTCTTGGAAATGTTTTCATATGTTGTCCTTACGTGGTGAAATGTTTTCTTTTCCCGTAGGACTTTTCTACGAAGATTACTTGAGGACGTTGAATTACAAGATCACTGTAAATACACTTTTTCTCGCACTATTCGAATCATGTGGAGACTTCAGCATATGACTACCTTCGGTTCCATAATTCTTCCGTAAAGAACTACGCTATCGATGAAGAAAAATACTTTTTCTCCTCCTCAGTTCTAACAGAATTGTTTTGTCTTCCTTTACACAGGATCCTACGAATAAGTCTTCAGGTCTTCTAGCTAACCACTTGTACTTGCGTGGGATGTTACGAATTGCTCGTGGAGAAAAAACCAAGGTAGGAATGTAACTTCTTATTTTTTCCCTTGAAAATTCATGTTCATTTGGTTTTCGAGCGCTAAATCTCCGACACAATTCACCAGATGCGAAATTCCCAGCTGGTAATTAACATGTGGTGCGGACTTCCATCGCGGCCTTGTTTTATATTCTTACTTGCATTCATTGAAAGATGCAAATTGAAACAAGGTTTCGTGAAGCGAGTTAGTAACTATACCTTCAAAAATAGTCTGTATAAAAGATGCAAGCTCGAAATACATAACGATGGTGTGCATGTGCAAATGGAGGAGACATTTTAAACTGAACGTGAAGTTACGCCAAAGTCAGAATAAAGATTCACACGAGCGCGCTGTTTTCGGCAGTTTCATAACCAAGTATGTCCAAAGAATATGGCGTTCAAGTAGAGGTGGTGAAGATAGAAACATGTTGGAACTTTATTTCATTTTACGCCCTGTCCTTTGTGGAAGAATTGTTGACAGACTTGTTGTTATTAGTCTGTATTACTCCACAGGCCGTGGACGACTTCTTTGGAGTTTCATCGACAAGTGCGCAGCTCTTCCCAACCTCGTAAGTAGCAATACGCGGAGCTTTTAAATTGAAATTCAATCAGAAACTGCTGAAAAAAATTGCAGACGTGCTTTTCAAGGATGAAACTTACTTCCAGACTGGGCTAGTGAAGGATTCATTGCAGTTTAATAGATGAATGAAAGAGACACGCTTATTCCCACAATATTTTTGCTTTGGCCTGCTGTCGTAAAACAAAATCCTCTCTCAGGGAGCAGAAAAGGAGGTGCGTTAAATCATATTTCAGATTTTTGAAAGTCAATTTAAATTTGATTTGGACAGGATTAGTTGATATTTTTACACAGCGTGAATTACAAATTATAAAAAGAAAAAGATAGGAATAAATACTTAAAATTTGATCATGGACCAAAGTAACTTACAAAGGCAAAGTTGGCTTTTTTTTTTATCTTTGGTTGTAGGACCGTGAAGGAGATCATGTGTAAACTGAGCGATTTAGAAGTAGAGGAGTTAAGAACAAGACATTTCTGGAGGAAAGCAGAGCGTCTCAGGGTTCACGCCAAGGTTTAATGTGATAAACTGTTTTACTTGGTCATCTGAAAGTCGGTTTGTATAGGTAATCACATGAGGCCAAGTACTATTAAGGATTAATTGCACGAGAGTTTTCAAAATTTTCCAAAATTGCCCGAGTCGCGAAGCGACGAGGGCAATTTGGAAAATTTTGAAAACTCAAGTGCAATTAATCCTTAATAGTACGAGGTCTCATGGGATTACTTGTTTATCAATAAAGGGCAAAATTTATACGAAGGAAAATCACGCGCGCAGTCTATTTTTATCTGGGAAGCCTGTTTAGCGCTACGGCAAATCATCAATCAAATTGAACTGACCAATCGATTCAATGAAATTTTATTCTCCAAAACTGTGTCGTGATACACTGCCAAAAGTCTAGAAAACAAAGCTCATTTCAACAGAGCGTTTCTGCCAACAGAAAAACAACAAAGTGCTTTTAACTGAACAAGGTAATCATGCCCTCTCTTGATTACTAAAAATGCCCTCGATTAAGAAAAAATGCCCTCTCTCTCAACCAATCAGCGCTCAGTAATTTTGCCCTTTATTGATAAAAATATTAAGGGATTCTCTATACTGATTACTCCTCGGAAAAAAGAGGTTAATGCAGTTTAATCCTAATAGCGGAGTTCCACAAACAAACAGACGAGAAAACAACAAGAAAAACTGAGCAGAGTAAACACTACTTGTTTGCTTTGTAGAAGTGAAACTAATGTTACGTGGAAGTACATTTAGAAGAGCACCTTGCTAATCCGGCACGGAGAGCGAAGTTCGCGACTCCCTCGACATGTACACCTTATTTTTAGTTATTACGAGTATGACGAAAGCCGGGCCGCCTTATATCTACTTCTTTTAAAATTTTTGTATTGTTTTCTTTTAGGAAAAGTGGAATTACAGAAGGGCAAGGTAAATGATACAGTTAATGTTTTTGAAACTTACAGCCTTAGCAATTTAACAAAACGCATATATTTCACAGCAGTAACAATGATCCGAAAACGAACAACGTGTACGCCTTGGCACGAACACGTTACGCCTATGCATGCGCAATGTATATGCACAGGCACATGTACAGGGCATATGTATATGCATTTGCCGCGAACTCGCAAACTCACACGCATACACTTATGCCAACGCATGCGCATATACACGCGCATACAACCATACATAAACATATGCACACATATACGTTAATACATACGCACAGGCATACGCTTAAACACTCATTTGCACATGTATACGCATATGTAACCGCATACACAAATGCACAACAGATAATACAAAGTAAAAATACAAATTTAAAAAAATCAATTAGATAACAAAAGAAATATAATTTACCAGAAGTTTCACGCACGTACAAACTTTGTATTACATGAGCATGATATAAGGAAAACGTAACCGACGTTGACTTTGTAAACGCAAAACGCGATTGATGATACACTGTCTGATGTTTCTTATTAGAAAAGAGGTGGTTACTTCAGCAATTCCTTCAAATCCTTTAGGTATGTCTCATTTGTGTCTGCATGGGGAAAAAATTTCTTTCAAAATAATCCTTACGTTAACACTGCCAATAAAAAGTTGGAAGAAGACATTCGGACACTCTCTATGTGACACTTCCTTTCTTTATTTTCCATTGCCTTTTTTTTAAATATCAATAATTTTTTCTATAGATAATTTTTTAACTTGTGGATTCGCGAAGCGTAGAAACATTTCTTACCCCGATAAGCTGTGAGGACTCTGATCTGAACAGAGACTTGAAGAAACATTACTTTGGCACTCAAACTATTTTTTGCATTATTGTTTTCTTGTTTTCATCAGCTTTTAAAGAATTCGTGAAACATGTAAGCATGTTACAGATAGCGAACGGTGAAGATGCTGGAAGAAGACTATTCCAAGCATTGGCGAATAATTCAACAACAAACGGTAAAGAGGGTTGTTTGAATTCCTATCGAAACCAGACCGAAAAAAAGAATCATTTTTTTAGTTATGAAATTTTTTCGATTTTAAACGTTAGACGAAGATGTGAAAATGTGTTCTGTTCTTTCATTGCAGTGATCGATCCAGACACGTTTGCCGCATTTTATGATGCTTTATCCCAGGTATCTAAATACTGCAGATGTGATGAACATCCGTATCGCTTCGCCGTTATTATTTTTTTTTCTTTGTCCTTTGTTGCCATCACCTGACTGTTTTCTCCAACTGGTGGTCTTCCGACATTATTTTAGTCCTTCTGACTAAAACGTTTATTTTTTTGGTACTCCTTTCATTCGTTCGTTAATCTCATTTTCGCATTTTTTATTAACAGGCTAGCACGATGGCCAAGAGTGTTTCATTACGTAATATTGTTTTGGAACGCAACGAGGTGATGTTCCTACTGAATTCACGTTTGTTTTGCTTTTGATTTTATTTAATATTCGACAGATTTTTCGCTTTATTTGTCCATTGCGTCAACATCGTTGACGTCTGCGAAGTAGATTGCATAGCTACCCGGAACTCATCTCAGTTTCTTTACCATGAAGCAGCTAGAAGCATTGTCTTTCCCAATCCTCCATGGGATGTTAGTGTATTGGAGGTTAACCCCCCTCCCAAGTATCTAGTCAAGCTTCCCTGGTAGTTTGTTAGCACCCCTTTATACTCCTGGGTTGAGGAGGCTCTGTGAGAATTAAATAAACAACCCGAGGACGAGCACGAGGCCAATTCTCGAAGCCAGACCTCTCTCCGACACTATTTGGCATCAGCGCTTCTTTGTTTTCTCCCAAGTACCTGGTTACATGTTAATAGTTACATGTTAATTTTTCTCTGCAGTTTGTACTGAAGATTTCAAAGCATATCAAGACAAATAAGGGCATGGGCTGGCTTGTTCTCACAGTCGACAGGTCAGTGTTCTCTTGTGTAAAATCGTGAAATTCTATTGCACATTTAAAAAAGTAAGTATTGTGTTCTCGTGGTTAAGAAGTGTGATCTGGAGGAGACTCATGTGCTTAGTACTTTAGCCTCAAGTTCTTTTTCGCTTCAGATTGTTGTTCCTGCCGGATGGAACTCAGCAATGTATATCTGTTGTAAGAAATGACGAAATAAAGAATGTGGAGCCGCACTCCGGGGGGGTGTTGTTAGGTGGAGATACAGCTATCCGAATAACCAGCACTGGTAAGTCAGATATAGAGAGATCTTTTAAGTTGTGTGAAAAGTCTGATAAGGTCTGTGAGATATAAACGGTAGGAAGCAGCGGATTAAAAATGTAGTGATTGAAGCCGGTTGACGTGTGATTCGCTAATACTTTTAATTCTTGTGGGTTTTTTTTTTTCAAATCAATTTTTTAGTCAACCTTGGATTTGATTTCTTTTACATTTATCAGTCTTGAAATATATACTGATGCTTTTAATATGATTAATTATATTGAAGAAAGTGAGCTTGAGAATGACCTAGATGTCCCGTGTATTGCTCGAGAATCAGCCTGTAGTGTAAGTGCCAATGGAACGCGAATGTTTAACCCTAGCTCGCACGAGCGAGAATTCTTGGGCGTTTTTTCCTTCTCTCGCACGCGTGTTCCTTGATTTCCTACCGATCGCCTGCTTCCTAGGCTGAAAAGAATCGTTGCGCTATTTCGAATCTTTTTAGGTGACGCGATAAACTTGCTTCAATTTAAAGAGACCACAAACTACAAAATACGAAAAGGATGTAGAGGCAATGATGACTCAATTAGGAACAAAGATTGCTATGGATAAAGAGTACTGAGAAGAACATCAATCAGGAAACGCGTGAAGGGTGGGATATATTTGTCGCGATGCACACACTAAAGTGCATTAAATCTCACTTTTAAAAAAGCTAACATCTTTATAACGAGCAGCACATTGACAAGCTCCTACCTTTTGTCCTCTATTCCCTTACAGAAAGTGATCCAGTGTCTTTCATAGCATTTGTAAAGGAAGAGAAGGATTTCTGGCGAAGCTGTTTGCTGGAAATGAAAGCAGGATACAACATTTCTGATGGTAAGCACACTGAATTAACTTGCGTTCTGTCTTCAGCCATGTTGGTTAACACTATCTGATACATTAACGCACGAAGTACGTTTTAATTATTAAGTTGTTTCTACTTATTTTAGGGGGCAACAGTTTTATTTGCGCGAGAAATGGCTCCGTAGCTTATGAAAACAACAAAACTCGTGAAAGGAAAAAATGCTGATCTATTTTATTTTGATATTGGGCGTAGAAGGAAAAAATGTTGAATACTCTCATGATGAATATCGCAGAGAGCTCATACAAATTCAAAGAAAACCCAGCGAAATGGCTTAAAGTGCGGAAAAACGCGAGTGGCTAAGTTGCAGTTGATTTTATGTCTGATTGGTTGAAAGTTTTCACAGGGCGCAGTAAAGCAAAAGCACTATTATCCTAGCCTGCAGAGCAGGGTAATTTTGGCGGGTGAGTCCTCAGTATTTTCTTAACGGAAATTATAGCCGCCATCTTTGATTTTAATGGCAGCGTAGGGCTGGGGAGAGAATGAAATATATATCAAGGGGGCGGTTGTCGGCCAAAAATAAGGAGAGGGGTGGGGATGTAAAGATGACTATCCTTGATTATAAACTTCATTATGGAGATCTCTGTTGCTCAGTGGTATAGCATCAGATCGCCAAATCTGCGGGTTAGGGGGGGGTTGATCCTTTGCGGGAGACTCAGACTATTTCTTTTGTCTTTTTCCCATGTTCGAGACAAAGAAAATAAAATCTTCAGTCGATCGAAAATTTCTCAAAGCGGTCATGTTTTTCTTTGTTTGAAGTTTACAAGGACAAGGAAATCGTAAAGCAAGCGGCTCAAAACGTCATCATGGCGGATTCTCTCAGACAAAGGTAACCACGAAAATTTCAATCTATGTCGTCGTAAATTTTGGCCAAATCTCAGTTGCATCAAGGGCGGATAACGCTATTCAACGGATAAATCGCTATCCGGCAGATAAGTGATTGCAAAACGGATAGAGTTTTATACAGTGGATAACGTTCTACAACTTTCGAGCAACCGGTGTCAGCTCTCTGAGCTCTTTCCGAAAAGTGAAGTCCCCATTGCACCTTTTTGGGTTTATCACTTTAGATGAGCGTTCTTTGAAGCTTGTAGTCATGTTTGAATTTCTTCTCTTTCATTTTTTCTTTAACAGTGACTACCAGGACCAAGTTGCAATGGTAAGATAATTGAAACCCTGCATAACATTTTCATTTACGTTCTTATGTACTTGGACAATTTAAAATTTAATATAAAATAGCTGTTTCTTTGTTTATTTGATGTATATCGCATGAAGTCATTTTTTGTCAGTCATTGTTTACTGTAAACTAACTCGTTTATTAAATGGGCTTTGGTTCGTCTAAAACCCACCTTTCATCGTACTAGTAAATGCACAGCTAACATACCGTGTGGATTAATTCGCCGGGAAACCGACAGAAATTGTGATCTAGTATTAAAAAGCTTTCGTGAGTTGTGAACGTCTCAACTTTTCATATCACAGTTGTCTGTTTACAAACTTAAGCAAAGGTGTCGAATCCCTGAGCAGCGTAGTGGAGGTACCACTCGCCACTGTTAGCTCCTTTCTCCGCTCAATTTCTTGTTTAGTTGGCCAAATTGCTGTAACTTATTTACCATCGCTATTTTGTTACGATTTGAGTCTCTCAAACCACTCTGAGTGTCTTCTCTGAATTGCTGACCGTCTTTATCGACGTAAATGTCTCATGCATCACAGTTGCCTACTTCCGCTGCACAAACGAGTTACTTGTTTCTCTGGAGGCTCGATGAAAAGTTTCATTTAAGCATGCTTTAAAAGGAAACATTCCCCTTAATACCTTCCGTAACAGCAAAACGAGAAGGGAAATGAAGTCACTTGCCCTCAAACGTATTCATCTTCTATCTTTTTTTTGGGCATTGTTGTTCTTGTTTCTTAGGAAAGGAATTTGAATATCTCTAAGTAATCTCTTTTAAAAGTTTTAATTGAAGTGAAAGTCTGAACATACTACTGTTCTTCTTAATATCTTTGCTTTCTTTGTAGCAAGTTCTCTACTTTAGCACGCAGGGCGATAACATAGATAAATTGACCGAGGCAACTGAAAAGGTAAGACGATTTCAAAACGGTGAAATGCAACCAACCTCAATGCACTCGAGAGAACCTCTTTGACCATCTCTTTGTCTTCGGGATAATGAGGATAAACTTGAGAATCCCTCACCATTGTTCAAACGATATGCGAGGATTGAGGATGCAGTGGCGTAACGGAGTTAGTTTTTGAATCCTCTGGCGCAGTTAAAACTGGGAAACCGCTTCAATTCTCAATTCTTGAACCCGATCTGCCGTGTCATGTGTGGGTCGAGTTTGTTATTGGTCTTCGTCCTTGATCCCGGGTTTCCTCCAGGTTCTCAGGTTGTCCACCCTCCACTCTAAATTCCAATCTGACTTGAAAACAGCGGACGAGGAACCAGCCGCTGCCACTTTTTCGATGCGTTTCATATTTACTTTTCTTAAAACTTTTTACTTATTTAAGGCGCTGTACAAGAGAGTGAGCCCCTCACCTCAGGACATTGAGAAATCAACAGTGGAGGCTTTGCTTTATGTGCGAGGCTGTAAGTTATAAATGTTTTTCCTTTAAAGATGCATGGTGTACACATTGTGTGAAGCCCTTGCCCTCTACGCCAAACACTTCCACACTTTTCTCAAAGAATGAAACAAAACGAATTTCGTGTGTTACTTTGCCAAATGGAACTCCGTACAAACGTTGTATTCCCTATTGTCTTCTTTCTTTAGCGAAAGGTAGAGAACCAAAGGTCTGGTGTGCCATGGTGAGTGACAGTATTTTTTGGACGTAAACGTTGCAATAAATTATATTTTCAGCACACAACTTCTGATCCTTCAGGCTAGAGGCGCCCCCTTAAGATCTCATTTGTAATCCTCCCTACTGTCTTCCATACAATTCTTGTGATGTTAGTTCGGAGAATTTGATATCGGATCAATTAATAATCTCCTTAGAGATATTTTTATTTATTTTCATCGTTTGTCTACCTGACATGGTATTGATATTGTGGGGAGAAATTGTGTCTCGATGACTCATGCGATTTTTCCCTGTTTGAGCCGTCAAATTTTAATCTTCATCATAATCCACATGTATGTTGATTGATCTTGTTTTTCAGGGCTCTGGTGTTGTTGTCGTGATAGATACAAAAGAGTGGGAGCATGAGACGCACATGAAACATGCGAAGGATAGGGTGGTAAGTGAACAACGAATTATGGGTACATACGAGTGAAAGGGCGGAAGGTAACCCGGATCGTGGGTTCGGCCCGGTTTGAAAAATTGCTAGCCAGGTAACGTGGTCTGACCTTGGGCAACGCAATGAAATGTCTCGACTGGGGTCAAATCCTTGAACACAAAGTTGTTCATAAAAATTTATTGTCGTGCAAAAGCCCTTTTTAAAGGATAGGGCGAGGGGAGGTGGTGTACTGGCCCTTGATTGTTTAAGCCAAAGATAGCGCGGAAGCCCCATAGAGGACTCACTGAGTCACTTTCGATTTCCCTTGCGATTGGGATTTATTTTAGCCTCGTGGGGATGTTCACCAGACTGGATTCGGGACCAACAAGTGATTCGGTAGCGAAGTAAAAGATAAAATTTTGTAAAATTCCACTGATTTGTAAACCGAACATTCCTGGTTGCATTCACTGCAGAGTTGTCTGTTAGCCGTCGAAGAGAACCAAGTTTGGGCTGGTTCCTTGGATACAACGATTTATGTGATCAATACACAAACTGGGAAAGGTAAGGAACAATTACACATTCTCAGCAGATAAGAGAATTGGTGACGTTTGTGTTATTTTGGCTGCTAACCTTCCGCCTGCCAAAAGAGTTACTCTCGTAGCTGTGTACGGTCTTCCTTCTTTTATTTCCTTTAATGAAGACTTAAACTGAAAGTTCCTTTATATTTCGCATATGTAACAAAACCCGTGTCAAGTGGAACCCATTTTTGTTCTTTTACGCCCTTGCTGTCCATGTTTGCTGTCCATTCCGTTTTCTGACGTTTCGAGCGTTAGCCCTTCGTCAGAACGAAGGGCTAACGCTCGAAACGTCAGCTTTTTTACCCTTTACGGTGGCTAGTTTACGTTTTCAACTCAGTTGTTAACACTAAGGCCTGTTCCAAACGTCGTGCTACTGCCGTGCCGAACTCAAATGAAATAGTAATTTCGATTTAAGCACGGCAGTAGCACGCCGTTTGAAACCATTAAGCGCGGCACGGCTGAATTAGGTTCGGCACGACTACTTAGCGCGGCAGGCTTTGCCGTGCCGCACGGCAGTAGCACGACTTGGTTTCAAACGTTGTGCTACTGTCGCGCCGAACTCAATTCATAAATTAATTTAACGGATTTTGCATTATTTGCATACTATTACGCATGCGCACTAATAAAAAAAGACAAATCTACCCGTTTTGCCCGAAAGCTTGAGAGAAGAGGAATCCGACGGTGACAATAAATTGCTTAGGGTTAGGGTTAGGGTTTGGAAACGCCGGCACGATCGTAATACAGTAACTTGCTGGCTCTCGTCAAGGGAAACCAGAAGAAGAATAAATGAAAAAACTTTCAAAAGTAATCCTCTCCTTGCAATAACAGTATTCAATATGGACTGTTGCATTCGCCTGCGTTGCCTTCTGGCATTTAAAATTTTCTTAAACAAATTTGGATGGGGCGATACCGCTGGATGGATGGTTTGTTTTGTCTTTTGAATTTGGCGCGACTGCATTAGGTTCGACGTTTGAAACCGCTGCCGTGCTATCGTCGTGCCACTGCCGAGCCAAATTCATTTGAGTTCGGCACGGCAGTAGCACGACGTTTGGAACAGGCCTAAATTACCTGCTATACTCTCCCACCGACGCAGCACCACAGTTTCTTTAGAAACTTACCCCTTTATTCATTCCTTTTTCTAGCTTCTATGCGTATCGTTGTGTAATAATTAAGGCTTGTTTTTTCTCTGGTAGCACCTTCTTCGCAGATGTGTTTGGCTTGTATCTGTCATTTTCTGGGGGCTGTTGTGCTGATATGATATGAAGTTTATGTAAAGTTAAATCACATGTGGCAGTTTTTAACAAGTGGTCTTGAAGATATATTAAAGTTCACACGGCAACCAGGTGGACAATCATACATGGTTTGATGTTACTCTGGTATACAGATTTAATGAATGTAACCGAAGGAGTGTCGGAACGCTGGGTCTCTGAATATTAACTTCTTCGGTTACATTCATTAAGTCTGTTAACCAGAGTAGCATCAAACCATGTCTGGTCTTGAAGATGTTAGCTGAATGTGTGTTCATTGTGTATCTCCAATGTCTTCGGCAAAAATGTTATACAAAATGTTCTGCCTTTTGCAGCTGATCAACAGCTTTTAGGACACCATGACTTACTATCACACATGATCAAAACTGAAGATAGTCAAGGGTAGGTTTATTTTCGCTTCATGCCTCCGAAACCGTGGTAGGGTCAGGCCGGATAAACCACCCAGCTTGACTGCTGACCATTCTTTTATCCCCTAATATAGCAGGGTTCAAGTTCACCGACCTTCGGTGGTTTGGAGTTTCTTTTGCAAACATCATCAATTCCATGTCAAGCTTAACACGTTTGAATGAATTAGTGCAGAGTTTATCTTCCTCTGATGATATGTCTGATTTACACAGGCAGACCACCGTGTGGAGTGCAAGTCTGGATGGACAGATCGTAGGCTGGGATCCTGTGACCCTCACTGCTAAGAAAGAGGTAAAAAAAGTTTTTCTGAGGACAATAAAATGCATAGAATTGGCATCAAATGTACTAAGGTCACGAATTGCGGGGGGAGATTGGGTTAGTTCTCGTACTTGGAGTTACAGAGATGCTGTAAAAAATCCATTTATGAAAAAAGAGACTAAACTCCGCAGAAAATATGTATTAAACTTGTTAAATGAACCACAACATATGGCTAAAATAAAAACTCCGAAACTTCTCTAAATTCCAAAAAAAGGGGTAACAAATTTACGCGAACGAAAGCTCAAAACAACTGACTAAAACTCCGCGGAAACAAAACTAAAAGTACACGAAAAATGTCCACGTAAGTTTTCCAATGTCAAGGTTAAAGTTTTTTGACACGATTGGCTAATTTGTGAAATCACGCGCGGCGCGCGTGAATTCAAAAAGAATACGAAGGGGGGAGAGGAAGAGAAAAATTGTAACTTGAAATTTAGAAAAACCAAAGAGATTTTCTACAGATGTTTCGATTCTTTAGGGATAGCTTTTACATTTTACAGCCCACTGTCTCTGTAGATGTGCGATATTTCACGCGTATGCAAACATTTGCTGTGGGCATGTGGAAGCGCTGGCGATATCCATGGATGGATCATAAACCCTTCTAAACAAAAGTTGTCTTTTTTAGCTTCATGTAAAGCTGGATCAAAGAAATGGCAAAACGCTGTACTTGATCGCTGCTGTTGGAGACACATTCTGGTGTGGTAAGTGACGGTATTATTGCTGTGAGTGGCTTTCAAACTGTTAATCAAGGTCAAGCTGTTTGAAACATGATAGGGGTGACTAGATTTCACTGCCCTGCAGTTCCAGCCTGAACAGCGAAACATTTTTTTGTATTCAGCTTAGCCCTAACTGGTATAACTGGGGTTTCCAATAACCTCGCCGGGGGTGTAATGGCTTTGACATGTAATTAAGTCTCAAAATATGATTTTAAATGCCGCTACTTTTTCTGTTTTATCTGTTACCAGGGATGAGTACACGTAGTTTGATTTTATGGCCACAGTTTTCCTGTCGTAGTCGTCTCGGGGCTCGAGTGTTGAAGACTCTCACTCTCGGTTTAAAATCAGCTTGGTTTATCATGGAAGTACTGGTCAGAGCTTTTGTGCCCCTTGAGAAATTGCTAAAACTAAAACTTTTCGAACTTGTGCTGCCAAGGAAAACGAAAGATGATTCAAGGCAGTAAATGTTTGAAAGTCCAAGTCATCGGGAAATTCGATTAAACCAGTTTGGATTTAGCAAATTCTTACTTCAGGAGCAACGGCACTCTTAATGGCAAATTACATTGAAATTTTGATTTCTGTAGCTGCATATCTGTGTAGGTCTAGAAGCGTTGAATTACATGTTTACCAGCACCTCCTTTTTGCTTATTTTCATAGCAACCAGGTTTAATATTTTCGTGATAAATTACAAGAGAGACGACAATGAAACCAAAATGTTAACTCCTAAGGAAGGCGAACTGATGAGCGTGGACACCATGTGTGCAGTATCTAACGAGAAGGTGAGTGTTCCTAAAGGGCCCCTTAACCTTTGAACCCCTAGGAGTGATTACCATCTAGTTTCTCCTTAGAGTATCATCCTCGAATTAAACATTAAGGTCATGAGAATAAAGGAAATGATCTCAAACTCAAGAAGCTCTTGGCTGTTAAACAAGTTCTCCTTCAATACGAATTCCAAATTAATTACATTGAACAAGTTAACTCAATCAATTTGAGGACAGTTTAAAACAGAATCTTGACAGCATATTAGGAAATATATAGAAAACAGTATGGAGAACTTTCACACTGATACTGGGTCGTAAGGGGTAAGTGAAAACTCTGCCTTGGCAGCCATGTACATTTTATCTCTGCACTTCATGGTTGACAACTTGGCAGGTTTGTCTTGGTGTGGGTTCAGTGTTTCCAGGATGGCTTGAACGACGCTACTTCGTTTCGGTTCCTTTTTTTCCCTTAGTGAGTGAGGAATTTATTAGTTCAGTTGCTGGTGCTCAACCTTTGTTACATTTTTATTTTTGTTTTCATTTCTGTGTCAGTCGTCTGCTCGTGACTTCTCAATTTAAGCCGCATAATGTTTAATCTTAACTGTCTTATGGTTGTTATGATATAAACGTTTCTGTTTCTTTTTCTTCGCAGTTTCTCTCTTTCTTTTTTTTTTTTTTCACTTATTAATTCAGTCATTTACTTTTTACTTCTTTTTCTTATTTAGATTTGGACAGGGTGTGATAAAAAGGGCCTTGTCGTTGTCTGGAACACTGTGACCTATAAAAATAAACACCAAATAGTTTGCGAATGCAACGGGTTCACATGCATGCTGAAAGTGGATAATAACACGGTAAAAAGGCTGGTTTTTAGTGTGACTCTATAGGTTAGGCAACATGCAATAAATGATTGGCAGATTTATTAAAACATGTAAGAGCAAGCGTCAAGAAATTTTGTTTGCATGTAGAGGAAATGTCTGCTTCCTTACAAGTAAGGAATGTTAGTATTTTGGATATGATTTGTTTCTATTCAGTCCTTTGGGGAGCACCTTAAAGGTCAATTTCAAAACAATTTTGATATAATGAATGTTTTAGAATTCATCTTTTTGAAAAATCACTGAAGGTAACACTGCCTTTATTGTAACAAGAGTGCGCTATAGAGATAACCGTTCTGCATGATTGAGCAGACAAGTGTATCTTGACGTTTCTTATTTCTCAAACCGGATTACAAAAACCGTCGGTGGTATTTTTCGGAAGAATTTAACAAATCCATGATATCGATCGACTATTTTTTGTAGGAGAACAAAATTTTTAATTCAATTCAATTCTTACCTTTCCAATTCTTGTTATCTAGATCTGGGCGGGAAGTAAAAGTGGTAAAATCTATGTGATAAGTGTCAAGGAACTCCAAGTTACTATGGTATGTTCGATATTTACTGGTGTTAGTTGATTTACTACTTTAAAATTTGAAGTTTTTTCTCCCAGGAGTGACCAATATCTGACTTTTCCTCAAATGACTTAAGATTGTCTGAAAGCTGGCAGGTGTTTTATGGAATGCCGTGATGGGAAATCAGAGCTAAAGAAACATCTCAAATCTTTCTCTTTTTATATTAGAGATCGAGTTGAAGTGTGGGTTGTCCGGGATTGTAATCGCACCGGTTTTTTTTTTTACCCTTGGGAAATGTGTCCCTTGCTAGCGAACGTTTATAGGGAAAAAAGATCAAATAGAGAGGAAGAAGAATAACTGATCTGATAAAGAGGGAGGGGATGGAGAAGTATTAATCTGATAGAGAGGGAAGGGGAGGGGAGGCAGGAAATTAGAAACGGGTTCTCCTCAAAATACTGCCATGCTCTGATAGTATTCTTCAGTGTTGTTGTTGTTGTTGTTGTTGTTGTTTCTGCTTTGTTTTGTTTTTTTTGTTTTGTTTTGTTTTGTTTTTGTTTTTGTTTTTCAACAATAAACAGTTAAACCTGAGAGCACTGGTCGATCACGCATTGCGATCGTATAGGTGGAGGCAGTTTCTAAAGGGAGTGTAATCGTTGACTATAATGAAAAAAAAACTGCGGTGCTGCGTTGGTGGGGGAGAATAACATGATAATTTTGGTTTTATCAACGGGGCTGAGTTTTGATAGCCTGCAGTACAGCCGTCTTATTAGGGCGAGTAAACGTTATAAGCTCGCGATCGTTTATCCGACCGGCCATGTTTGGCCGTCGTCCGCCCCCCTTGGCACAAATTTCTTTCTCTCCCTAGCCTTCCCCTTCCATTAAAATCAAAGATTGCGGCCATAATTTTTGTTAAGAAATACTGAGCACTCGCTCGCCAAAATTACGCCTGCTCTGCAGGCTAACGTTTCGAGCGTCAGCCCTTCGTCAGAGCGAACGACAAAGGGCTAACGCTCGAAACGCCAGCTTTGACACTGTTTATGGTGGGCTATTCACATTATCAACTCAGTTGATAAAACCAAAATTATTTTAATTTTTCAAAGGCTTGCCAGATTGCAGGAGCCCGTAGGGCGAGTGCATTTTGTTACCTTTTAAAAATTTGGGAATGTTGATTTATCCTAATTACTCGAAAGAAAAATATGATTACTTTTTAATACGATACATGCAAAAATTTGACTCAGTTTTCCTCTTAGCCGTGTTCATGATTCACTGGTGCGACTGCTTACCTTTGTGTTGTTGCCGGAGTCGTCGGGATTTTCCGGCAAGAATATGCTTCGAGCTTATCAACTTTCTGTCAGGACTAATGGCGTGTTTGCACTCTTTCCTAGTTATAATTCGCTTAACAGCAGTAACCAGTACGTGAAGGCCTTCACGCTCGTGATTTAATTCCGTCTTTCGTATGAACTGTTGCGTAAACTACGAGAGAATTTTGATCTGGGCTTCCTGTTTTGGAAGCCCAAGACTTTACTGAAGATTTTACTGAAGATTTTAGCTACTCATTTACTTTCTCCCAACCTGCGCGGCGTTTCGTTTTGTTGTTCTCTCTCCTGTCGACTCTCCTGTCAATCAATTTGATAGGCAATTGACAGCAATTTGACACGCAACTCTCCTGTCAATCAATTTAATTTCAACTTTCTGTACTCAATTGTATATTTTTGCACAGTACAGGATAAATTGACGTGCTCTCAACCAATGAGCATGCTGCGATTTTTGCATGCATATTATTGTGGTAGAAATTATACAGATTTATTATCGATTTCATTTCCCTTTATTTCAGGAGTTGTCTCTTCACCAGGACCGTGTCCGTTCTATGTGCCTCACGGACGAGGGACTCGTTATTTCGGGTTCCGGATCACGGGACGGGCGCATTGCAGTGTGGAAATCTCATCTATCTGAAGAGCGCCCTGCCATACAGCGCTTTAGTCACGAGCGTCCAAGACGTCCCAATCAGATACGTAGAGAAGTAACCGTTTGTGATGAAGAAGATGGCTTCGAACTTGTTTGCAGGAAATAGACAGAGAACGTCGACGTGGATTGCAACAAAACCCGCGCCAAACTGTCACGTCCGACATACCAAGGGAAAAAGGAAAAAAGCACTCAATGAAATCTTGCTGTCAGAATTGACAAAGCTTTACAAATGAATAAAGCCATGTAATTCTTTTTAATTTGTAACAATGGACTTAATAACAATTTTAGCATTTTGGTAGGTTTATAACAATACTTTATCTCCATGTGAATATTTTCATTCCCGTGCCGAGTATGCATCGACCTCCTAAAGAATGTTTTTGTTACGAACTGTAGTCTGAACCTATTCTTAAAGCATGTTTCTGTATTGGTTATTACTTCAAAAAGTACACTAGAATTAGAAGAACTTACAACTTGCCACATTTAGCTCACCTCAAAGGCTGTTTTAGTTGGGTTCCATCGATATGTTTTTTTTCTTTTTTCTTTACAAAGGAGGGAATTATTTAATATTTCCTAGAGATACAAGTATTTGTTCCGGTTTGTAAATTTTTGTGGAAAATTCTACTTTTTAAGCCAGTCAGGAATGTATGGTACAACTGATGTAAAAGTTAACATCTTTCTTTCCCTCTCTCTTCCTCTTCTTCCTCTTATTTGTTATTTTTTGTGACAGAGCACTATCTTTCGTACTTGATAACAAAATGAAAAATGCATTCGTTTGAATCGAAACAGACTTACAAACTCTCTCTATCAAATTCTACGGTTTTCATTTTTTCTGTTTGTTCGTCTTTGTAGACATCATTCCACCGCTATTCTGACAAATTTGTTGTGCGACCGTTCAATAGTAGATCATAGATGAAGTCAAAATTTGGTTAGGAAAAACGTGGCACACAAGGTGCAGCTGAGTGTGTCACTGATACGAGATATGTGCGATAAAATTCTCGGTCTTTTCGGGGCGGACCATCAAATTCTTTTGTGGATCTTTATTAGAAAGTTACTAAGGCCACAGTGAAGTCAGCTGAGGGCGTATCCGAAAAAACACAAGAACAAAGAGATCTATTCAAATCAACATTTACCAAACTTACTGTATTTCCCTCACTGCATATGGTTTTGAAATTGTTCATCAAGCCGCCAGTTGGAAAACGTCACGTGTACAGAAACACAAATCAACTATTAGATCAAAGGTATCTGTAAGAAAAACTATGATTAGTGCAAAACGGACCGCATTTCTCACACCGCACAATTTTTTGCAGTAGTTAAGAGACCTGCTTGTTGAAAAATATTGTAAGCCACAAATCACACAAAACGCAATCCAATGTTAAAACGCAACTAAGTTGAGTGAACCAATCAGACCACTAGAAATGAAATAATCGAAGTTGAAAATGTACTAATTACAATAGCTCCCGATCTTTGAAAGAAGGGTCGCGAAGAAAATGAGAGTGAATTTTTTGCTATTGCCTTTTTTCGGCACCTAGGACCTCGCAAGCAAAGCTTTGTTTTCTGAGCGAAGAAAAGAAAGTTTACTTGCCGATTATTGTCACGCACATGCCGAATGGGTCTCAAGGAACGCGTATCGCAGTGGGACGTATTGTTGTGTAGTCTAGATAAAATATCGTGTCTCGCTGTGATGGTTGGGTAAATTTGGTTGTAAATGCAGTCAAAGACGACTCTTCTCTACCTGTGAATTTATTTTCAATTTTCTCAGCCAAACTAAAAATAACAATTTAATCCTTTGGATAAGGAGTTTTTAAGACATTAGTAGAAATATCAATAAAGAACCCCTCTTCATGGTCAGCAGTTAGCAATGCATGGAATATGGAATCGCAGCAAAACCCTGAAATAACAATCAGTTGTACGGTCCCCCAAAATATTATTTTGCTACCAGTCTCCCGCCTTATTAGTAATTCTAACCCATCATGCAACACTTTCTCAGTGCGTGTGAAATTCAAGATGGCGGCGTTCCGGCGGTAAGTTGCTTTTCTGACCGATCTTGATTCACACGGGTCATCTAAGAAAAAATTAGCAAATCCCTGAAGAAAAGAAAATTTGGATGTATGGTTTCTCTTTTGGTGTATGAATCTGGTCCATTTTTTGGCATTCAAATCTCACCGTCTTTTCACCATGCGCATCTCTCGAATTCTCGTTCAAAGTGTATTTTTTAACATTTGTTGCGGAGGTCTCACATATCTTCCTAAACTCTAAAAGTCTGGGATTTATACTTTTTGTAGCCTGAATCTTGGTCATAAGGTAGCCGGAGTCACTTGAGTCATTGTTGTGTGCAACGAAAGTCTGTTTGATCGCTGTCGTTTTCTGAGAAGGCGATGTACGTGGAAGCTGCCCTCTCGCAAGAAAGAATGTTAAAGAGAATGTTGTTATTCTAGTCTTTGATTGACGGGGTTTTTCTTATATGGGAATCTCTTTTATTTCCTGTTGTTTTGATGTGTTTGCTACCTGGTGACGTGGTCTAATAAAACCGTGTTCAGGTGTAGAGTAATTTCTTTCAGTGATAGGTATCTTTGGAACCACTTTACAAGAGCTCATTTCAAAACAAGGTTACAGTGTAGGGGTGACAAAATTAATTTTTAAAATAAAACTACTGGGACTGGCACAAGGTGTTTCTATGTTTTAGGGAGATGTTTGGAATCATGATCAAATTAGACAGTATCTAGTTGGTTGCATGAACTAAACTTGAAAATGAAGTAATGAAAGTAGTGCCCACTGTTAGTCTTTGAGAAATCTAATAATTCAAGTGTTTCGATAAAAGCTGGTTAGTGGAAGTCTACCACCTCCTGTAAGACCTCTCACTGCTGTCTGTTTAGGCTGCAAGTAGGCTCTCACATTTGGGTTTTGTGATACTGCCCCTTTTCTGGGCACAGTAGCCTCTTACACCATTGGCAGCTGCTTATAGAAAAGATATTTAAACCCCAGGAATTACTCTTTACAAGCTATTATTGATCACTTTTGTTGTAACTGTGCAGAAAACTAATAATATGATATATATATACATAACCTTGTTTCTCAATGATCTTTTATTTTATTTTATAGTCCAAGAAAAAGTAAATGGGATGTACCTTCTGCCAAGGGAGAGGGCAGTAATGGAAATGGAAACATGTCAGCTACTGATGCTGCAAAAGAGAGGGCTGCAAAATTGAATGCAATGTTGGCTGCTCAAGGGAAGCTTGCCAAAAGCAATCCACCTCCAGTTGTGGTAAAGCATTTGTTTGTTTTACAAGAAGTCTGTACAGTATAATTGTTTTAATGCAGGGAAAAATAAAGAACCTCTAAAGGTGTGGGAAATTTGCTGAGGGTCAGTGGAAACTATTAATTTTTTTTATAAAAGTGAGGGGATTTTGTTATTTGAGTTACCACCTAGGTTCAATCCACAGAAGTTGGAACAATTTAAAAGACTTAAGACCTCTTAGTGTAGTTTGTAATTGCCCCTTCACCATGTTTGCTTTGGTTGATTGGTAAGTATTTATTTGAAAGTGTGAGTTGACAGTGTCAGTTTATAGTACTTTATTCTTATTATTACACTGTGTACTGTTTTTATGTTAAGGGCCGTCCATCACCAGCAGCAAAAGTGACTCCCCCTCCATCAGTAACTGTTAACAATGGTGCCACCAGTTTTAGTCAAGATCTTATTACCGCTGAAGTGGAGATAAATGATTCTGCAGCCCGGTATGGAAAAGATAACAGATATGCAACCATTTTGAGTGATATACCATGAAACATCCTTTAAGTCTTGTTTTTTCTTGAAACTTTGGGCTCATGTGTATGCTTAGAAATTACAAGTGATGAATACAACATGTAAAGATATTTTTTGAGTTGATCAATATTTTAAGTATATGCTATCAACAAGAGCATTTCTTTTCAACTCCCAGTAAACCAGTTGGGTAAATTATTCAACATGTCAGTGTAGTGTTTTTCAAGTAATGATAAGTCTACCGTGTTTTCATTATTTTTTCCAAATTTTTTCATATTTGATAGAAGGTTAGATGATCTTATTCATCCTGTGAATGGCTGAAATCAAGTGTATAACAATTATTACTTTATGGGGCGTGAAATTGTGCCTAATACAGGCGCCAATACCACTAAATTTTATCCTTTGGGGACCAAATCCTGAAAATTAGTTGCCAAATTGGTGACTAGAATGCTTCATCATAACCTTACCTAGAGATATAGTGAGTTAAAAAGATTTGCAAAGATCAAAGATAAATCCACAGCAAACTTCCTTGTTAAGTTTGTTTCGAAAATGCAGCACGTGCATCTCGATCGATGACTAGATGCCATCTTGGATTTAGGTGAACTTGAAGGTTGAATATCATCCATCCTAGGGTCCACTTTGTGGCATGTAAAGCCAAGTGGCTATCAGAAAAAAAAATTAATTTCATGCCCTGCTTTATGTATTTTGCATTCCATGCTTTGGTATTTGTGCTTCTTTTCATGTTTTATCATCCTTATGTCTACATGTGTTGATTTATTTTTATATTTGTTTTTTGACTTGTCAGCACTCTCCTCTGTAAAGGCACGACACAAGATGAGGTAGAAATCTATTATTTTTGTTTCAAATCATTAAAGTTAATTTTTCTGGTACTAGAAACTTGCAGTGCTGAATGTACTAAGTACATGCACACCACAGAGAAGCCCTTGCTTTTCCTGTTCCCATTGGCCAGAGAGGTTTATGTTTCAGAAAATAACAACAAAATGGGACACCCAATTTATGTTTGATACCCTCTTCAAAGAAGAAGAAATCAGTTGATAAAAATCAGCTTAGTTTTTATCCACTAATCAAGAATGAAAAGTTGCAGGGTACAAACTACGAATGTAATGAAAACTTTGAATCATAAATTTAACTGTTTAACTCTCAGTTGTGATTAACATGTAAATTCTCCTTAAATGATCCATGCATTTATCAAGCAAACGAGTAATGAGTATACTCAAACTATTCACCGAGGTGAATTACGGTCAACTCGCCGACGGACCAACTCGCCGACGCCAACTCGCCGACGTATAAAATCGAGTAGAGACGTTGGCGAGTTGGTCCTTAATCCAATACAACTTATTAGAAGTTAAACATACAGAAAAGTAAACGATATTTAGTAAAAAAACACTGGTGAACATTGGTAAACATCAAACAGAAGCTTAAACATTGGTGAACATCACCAATGACTTTAACAGCTTACAGCTTATGTTTAACTTCTAATAAGTTGTATTGGATTGAGGACCAACTCGCCAATGTCTCTACTCGATTTTATATGTCGGCGAGTTGGCATCGGCGAGTTGACTGGATACCACCGAGGTAGAAGTTCTCTTGATCTATCACCAAATTCTCATAACTTACTTACAAGGGGAGAATCATCTAAAAGATCTTGGGAGTTCAAGGGTTACTAGTGCTCAACCCTTTAACTCCCAAGATCTCATTAGTAATTCTCCTTACTGTCTGACATACAGTTCTTGTGATGTTGATTTGGAGAATTTGGTATTGGATCGACTTATAATCGCCTAATTGATATTTTCTTTATTCTCATCACTTATCTGCTTGATATTGTATTGATATTGTTTGGAGAAATTCTGTCTTGGTCACTCATGGGAGTTAAAGGGTTAAGATAGTGATTATTATTATAACACTATGCCTAGAATTAGCATATGTTACATTTGGTATTAAAGGTCCTAATCAGTATTAAACTTTCAATGTTACATTTAATTTCAGATCAATCGTTACAGTGGAGCTGCTGTCTCCACCAGAGGAAAGTTTATGTCTGAAAATGAAAAGAGGGAGGCAGAAGGAACAGGGTAAATATACCAGTTTCATGTAGATTACAACTTCTTTCAATAGTGCTGAGACATTTTCAATAGAAGTGAGGCAGGTAAAGGTAAAGTCTGTTTGAGAGCCAAGTGGCCCATACAGCTAGAGTTTATCCTGGTTTTCTTAGCATGATGGGACTAGGAGCATTTTAAATCCTCCCTGGAAGGGAGGCAGTTTATCACACAACTACCTCCAACATTTCATCAGGCTTCCCTGACAATTCACTGACTCCCATTTATACTCCTGGGAGGAGAGGGGTACTGTGTTGCCCAAGAGCACAACACAATGGCCTGGCCCATACCTCTCAACCCAAAGTCCAGCGCACCAACCATTAGGTCTCCATGTTTCTAAGTGAGGCAGGCAGTCTTCAAATAATAAGTGTTTACTACTGTTTCTGTTGTCTATTGTAACCCCTTTGTCTGCTTAAAAATGAAGTAGTCCTTAAATTTGAAACCAATGTTCGTGTGTTTCCACCTTCTTAGAATCACTGACATTTCCTAACCATGTCACTTCTGTTTTTTTCAGAGTAAAACCACTGTACCTATGTGTTCAGGGACTCACACAAGAAAAAGTTGATTGTAAGTTGAACACAGGAAAGATCATACCTGCACAGAATAATTTTCACTCTTGGTTTGTCTGATCTGGTATAATAAACATGTTGAATATTTCTCTAGTGGCTGTGAAACGGATTCGAGAGATAATGGCTGGTGCAGACGTCAATGTTCTCCCACCCTCTCAGCCTCAGAAGATGCCTGTGACATCACCTGCAGCCACACCTGCTTTCAACCAACCTTCACCAATGTTTGACAGACAGCCATTACCTCCCGGGGTAAGAGGAATGACTATGAATATTGATACAATTCATGAAATTGTATAGAGTAAAGTATAGAGAATATACATCCTGCTGCAAGACTGGGGAGGGTGAAGCTTAAGCTAAGAAATGGAAATTTAATGGTCAGCATAAAATGAGGCAGTGACCTAAAGCTAAAGGTCAAGATGAGATAAAACTGCAGTGTGTCTGATGTAACTATTAGTAAGTAACTTATTTATTCATTCTAGTTGTGTCAAATGGTATAATCTTTGTAAGTGAAAGTAAACTTGCTAGAAAAAAATACTCACACAGATAGGGTAGAAAAGGTTGTGGTTATTCATCATGGTGAATAATAATAAAAGCTAGGTTTTTTTGTTTGTCTCACGATGTAGTTACGTGTGATGTAGATCCTTCACACATGACTACATTGTGAGACAAACAAAAAAACTTAGCTTTTACAGATAGGATACTAAGTCTTTTGTACTAAACTGCCCTTTCTTAGTTCTTCAAAGGGCATATACCGCTCTCCAACTGATGAATCACTATCCAGCAGATAAGTGTTAGCTGAACGTACTGCACTATCCTTCGGACAGAGATTTATTCAGTGGAGTGAGTTGTTCACCCTTTGAACAATGGGGGCCAGGTTGTGTTACAGCTGTAATGTTTTTATCATCTACAGAATCATTCGAGTTTCTTTTTATCACAGATGCACTATGTTCAAGACAAAGTATTTGTTGGTCTGGATAATTCTTTACCTGAGTTTAATGTTAAAGAGAAGTTACAAGGACCAGGGGTATGAAGCAGACAATTGTGTGTCAACTAGTTATTATATGTTTACAATTCATGTTTATTTTTAGTCTGGAGAAAGTCTTGAATTTAATTTTAGCATACAAAAATGTGTCCAAGCATGTGAATGTGGTAGCTGTAATGTCATAATCACCTCATGTACCAGATGGTCAGTCTTTGTTTAGTAAAGATTTCACAGTGACATTCAAAATCATTTGACAGTGGACTATTTTTTATTGTATTTCAGGGGTCATATTTTCAGCATATCACTATGCAAACAGGAGCAAAGGTAAGGGAACACTGAATTCTTGTTTAAGATCTTAGAGGATAGGATGAGATTTTCATTATTTGTGAGATAGCAGCTACTTAATATCTGTCAAGATAAAAAACCAAAAAACACCAAAGAGAGGAATCAAAGTATAAAAGAACAAAAAAACAGAACAGTAAGAGCCTTGGTTTTCTATTATTCAAGAAGACCACCAAACATCATTAATTTGATGAGATGTGGTCAGTGAAGTTATAATATTTATTTTCTGTTCTACGAGGTTCAACTTCGTGGTCGGGGATCAGGCTATATTGAACCTACATCTGGAAAAGAAGCATTTGAAGCACTTTACATCTATATAAGGTGAGCATTAATTTTTTTTTATTGGGGCATTTGACTCCTGAAGACAAATGAAAGGTGAAGGGCATCCTGCAAGTTTTTACCAAAATTCTTGCTGTTCCTCATGATAACTAGATTTAATTTTATAAATGAAATACATGCCGCTAAACTCCAAGATTAATTTCTTGAATTAATAGCACAGAGGACAAAGGGTATACACCATTTAGATATTTAATCATATTTATGCCATGACCAATTGATGTGGAGAAACAAAAACTGAGTGTATGTTTTTCTGATTGCATCATCAACTAGCTAGAAAGATGTAGAGTTTTATATGAATGTGAAATCGCATTATTCATGTTCATTCTACAACTTAATTAAGTTACTGCACCAAAACGGTTTTGATAAATAAATGTATCTTTATTTTCCATCTCTCTCAATGTGTCTGCACTCATAGTCATGGTAGAGTTGATGGTTTAACAGCAGCAAAGACATTAGTGGAAAATCTCATACAAACAGTAAGTTCCTAGTTGTGTTTTTTGGTTTGTAGCACAAGAAGCAAAGAAATAATCTGCTCAATTGATTTAGTAAATAAAGAAAACAGAATACAGCATGGAGTGAAAAAAAGTCAAGGTTGATGATGAATTAACTCAAGGTTTTTTCTGGTTCTGTTTCTTTGAAAAACTACAGTACTGTAATTGTTTTCTTAGTGACAATGATATTTAATTCAAGGAAGGAGTTTGGGGGCTTTAGCCAACTCTATTTAAGCGCAAAACTAACAAATTATTTTTAACTAGGATTACCAATAGTTATGAGTTTAGATATTGACTGTTTGGTACACATTATAATTCCTTAATAACTACCTTATGATTCATGTCACAGCACCCTATTTCTGGTGTTCAACTAATGCATTTTGACCACATCAAGTAGGAATAAATGTCTTATCCTGTGATTAACAGTGATACGTAATGGAATGATATTCTCTATTTAGAGATCATATAAATTGTTTCTTAGGTTCATACAGAATACAAAGCATATGAGCAAACAAGAAGATCACATTATGGGTATTCACCATATATGAATGGTTAGTGATTGGATTGCAAGTTAATAAACCATAGCACTTTAGCTGAATACAAAAGAGGAATGCCAAAGGCATTTGGCATTTCATCTTTGGACTAGGCAAATGGTGTTTACTTGTAAAATGATAACAAGTATGAATAGTGAATGATGACTACACGTGCACCTTCTTAAAACAGAATCAGTTCAACTTATGTTGTGTGGTATGCACAAATTAATGTAGAGTCTGGAATGAATGCAAACTCTGTGGAATAAGCATTTGTCAGAATTCAAACCCTACAGTTCATGCACAATCTACTTGCACTAAAACAGTCTTTCTGTGGGCCCAGTTCTATAGGTACTGTAGTACTTACACATTCTTGAACAGGGGTTTCCATAAAAGCTGGTTTCTGACGGTCTACCGCCACATATAAGATCTCTTACCAGTTCGTCTGTTAAGCCTGTGATCAGACTCTCATGTTTGGGTTTTGCCTTATAGCCTCCGTTTTCAGGCATGACCACTTTTTCCTGGGTATGGGAAAAAGTTATTGAAACCCCAGCTTGATTCATACACTGTTTTGAAATATTGCTGTTTGGTACTTGGTTAACTTGGGATATGCTCAATTTATTTTTCAATGGAGGGTTAAGAAAGGGGATGGTGGTTTAGATTTGCCATCTGCTGATATTGCCCTCCAATATTAAGCTGTCAAGTTGATCATGTGCCACAGGATCAGGTATTGTGGCACCTACTTACACTGACCACAATTATTCTTATTACAAGTTCTTCATCCTTCAAGTTTTAGTCAATATTGAATTTGAAAGTGATCTTCACAGTAATGAACACTACAGTGTATGTAAGCAGTAGTTAAAATAAGGCCTGTACAGAATTTGAACCCATGACCTCTGTGATACTGGTGCAATGCTCTACCAACTGAGCTAACATGCCAACTGGGTGCTGCTCATTATGTTGGTTTGTGATAAACCTGTGAAGTGATGAATGACTGTAAATATATGAAAAATTAGTCAGTATTGTTTGTTATAATTTTAAACAGGGCACATATCGATTTTTTTTGCTTTTGACTTATTTTAAATGTGTCTTTGAAGTCAAAAATATCTATTTGTCATTCAAACAGCTGGAAACCAAAACAATATTGGTCAGACACCTTCAGGATATCAGGTTAGTAAAAAGAAAATCAGTTGTAACTGGCTTGAATACAAATTTGTGTGGTAACTTTTTGTTTAACAATACAGACTTTATTGACATTTACACTGTACATGTGTGTTGTTTCTGAGTGATTGGCATTCCTGGACTGGTGGCTGAGAGGAAATTCCGACTATGTTCCAATGCATTGGAGTTTGATAAATTATTAGTTTGATAAATTGCTGTACGTTTCTCTTGTGAACCCATCAGTTACAGTTTGATGTGTTGTTTTTTTGTACAGCCTGGGCCATATGGATATCCAAGACCACCACAACCTCCAGCTAATGGCTACCCACAATCTGTCCAGCCTCCCCCAGCATCAGGATACCTGTACAGCAATCCTTATCATGTTCCACCGATGCAGGTATTTCCTGAGCGATTTCAAGTAGCAGGGTAACATTTCATTAACACTTTAAACCCAGAGAGCAATAAGCATTTAATTTCTCCCATAAGTAAAACCTTTGAGTCAAACATTTAGGCCTTAAGATTAAAGAAATGAGAACAAACTTGAGAAGCTTGTGATCTGTAGACAACCTCTCCTTAAAAGCACCATAGGAAATGTATGGAAAACAGTATGGAGAACTTGCGCACTGATGTTTGGGTTTGAAGGGTTGAAGTGTTACTACTGTTCAGCTGGTTATGGAAGTGCAAGCAATTTCTCCTTACTCTTTGTACCAGTGTTTTAGTGTCTGATTTCCATTTGTATTTATATGCTGTAGCCAGATTTCTGAGTTACATTTATGTTAAATTTAATAACATTACCATTCTCTTTACAGCCTCCACCCTCAACAATGCACCATGGTGCTCCACCTCCTGGCCCTCCTCGATATGGGCCCCCTCCAACCCCAGGTAGGTGCCAGCTGTTGTGAAGTTGAGTAAAAATAACACACCAGACCAAAGGCTTAGAATCAAATTTAAATCTTGATCACTCAGATTAGAAGCTGCCCTTAGTATACAGGTCAGGTTTGAAAGGAGATAAAGTTCATTCTGTAGTCTTGAAGTTTTGAGTGCCTAGTAAAGTCAACAGTGTAATAGCAATCTATCTGGTATTCACAACGTGCAGGAGAGCAAAGTTCACCCACACATACACCATGAGTTGGTATTCTCCTTCCATTTATACGGAAATAAGCCAGTTTTTTTTTAATTTTACGTAGCCTTGATACAAACAAAATACATGTTGATGGAAAGCACTTGATTGCAACATAACCCATGCAATGCATTACATAAGTGTCATTATATTTGATGCTTTTTTCTGTGAAATTTCATTGGCTCTAAGCCTACCACTCAATCTGCAAATAACTGCCAACAAATAGCATGTATATAGACTATCTGGGTTCTGCTGCAAATGATATTCTTCACAAGGATATTCTGTTCCATTGAAAATAAGAGATCTAGCCGCCCTATGCAGCCACAATCACTATGTCAAAGCAAACGCTGTAATCTTATTATTGATGATGCTAAAAGTATTGAACTTAGGTAGATCAACATGTTCTTATTTGACAATGTTACACTGATCAATTAACTACCTGCTTAGCACTTACAAATCACAAGATTTTGCTCAACCTTGTTTATTTAAAATCGTTGATGATAATTGATTCCATTGTTTATGATTATTTAGTATCTGGTTATGGCAATCGTGGACCACCTAATAACTTACCCCCAAGGGGACCTGCACCATATCCTGGCTTTTCTCCTGTCCCTCCTCCCCTTGGAGCACCTCCAGTTGGACCATCACCATATGGGCCTCAGCCAGAGGCCCCTTTTCAGCACCCAACTCATGATCCTGTTCAGGTTCGTATTTGAGTTATAAATTTTCTCCACTTGTGGTATTTTTCTACTTAGATATCAGAGGTTATCCTGGAATGTTGTGATCTTAATCCGAATTCAATACGTCGTGAGACATTCAAGGAGATACGCTTAATCGTGTTTATACAAAAGGGAAAAGGGGAGTATATCCCATAGAACAGGCTATGGGTGAATTGAAGTTCGATTTGAAGTACATTTTGGACTGTGGTTGATTCTCAGCTCCCTCCGATGGCCTCCCGACACTGTATACAGCTGTTTCGAGACAATCTCAAAAGGCAATCTGGGTAACCGGTAATCAATGAATTTTAATAGGTCAAATAACTAAATAAATTCATCAAACTAACGTCTACCCTTTTCTCAAATTTTTTTGAAATCCTGAGGTCAAGGAACCGTAACCTGAATACCTCCCAAAATACCTTTCGGATTGTCACGTGCACTTGTACGCTTTTTTTTCCGATAACATTTCTCGAAACAGCTCTCTATCTGTACTCTCACGTTATATACTCCTGTTAACTGTAGAGTGAAAAGCCAACCGTGAAAATCCAATGAAATGAGTTAACTTGGCGTTTCCGTTGCGCCAAGTATTATCATTCTAACCATTTTGTACAATTTTTCTCTCTAGCTTCTTTCAAGAGAAAACGAATATCAACCTGGAGAACCAACCTCATCATCTGAAGGGTATCATTAGTTTCCAATTAACCTATTTCATTAATTGACCGTTACGGCCCCTCGGGCAATCCCATAGAAAACCATAGTGAAAGCTAACATGTGTAGGGCCGAATGGGTTGACGGTCCGTGAAAAGCCGTCCGGTCTTGCGCTCACATGGCTTTGTTGCAAAAACTTAAAGGAAAGAAAGGGGTGGAAAAAGGTTGCGTTTTTCAATAAATTGTGAGTTTCTTGTTCTGACTCGAAAAAACAAAGGAATACTTTGATTGCAGAATCTATTGCGTCCTGTTTTTAGGTGGAGACAAATTTTCGAGATTTTCAACATTTAGTGTTTATAGGGTTAAGTGCTTATTGACTAAATGTAGTCGGGCCGGATGGGAAAATATTATTTGGCTCTCAATCATGAAGTACGGACCTTGCTGCGCTCGGTCTGTACGTCAGGACCTCGAGCCAAATATCTTCTCGTTCGGCCCGCCTAACTTAATACGAGTTGTAGTAAGCTGCGCGAGGATTTTTTTGATTAACATCTATTCACCGAAGTAGAGGTGACGAGGTAAGTATCCACCACTTTCACCGACACTGAGGCGAATAAATGTTTTAGTATATACCACAGAGAAACCAAAAAATTAGTTTGTTTCATTCAATATATCGAAAAAATGGTCGGAAATTAGCGTCAACCTAACTAAATCAAGCGCTTTGAGCATATTTCTCGTTGTTTAAGCTCTGTGAGGGCAGCTAGCTTTTAAGAGAAATTTGATTTTATCTACGACAAGTCTGAACCGATAAGATTATTAAAATACCAGTCTTTGAACCGAACTGAAAATTGAACCTGATAGGGAAGCTTATGACTAACTTCTGAAGGGAGTCGCAACTGATGTTAATCATAAGATTTTAAAAATACAACAGAACAGCTCTTCCTCCCTAAGATTCACTTCCCATGCATAGTGTTACCTTGCACTACAAGCATTCCTCCCGCTTGTTCTTCGCCTTACTTTACCATCTCCTTTCCAATTGCAGAGACCGAGAGAAATATCAAAGAGAAACAGTACAGCCCCCTGATCCACCCAAGAGAAAGTTCAAAGAGAAGGTAAGTCACCTAAATCATGAAAGGGGGTAAGTTTCGAAATACTGTTAACTATGGTGCTGCGTCGGTGGGGGAGTGAAACAAAATAATTTGGTTTTGTCAGTTGAGTTGATCATGAAAATCGGCCATCATAAAGAGTTTCACAGCTAACGTTTCGAGCGTTAGCCCTACCTTAGAGCTAAGTCATTTTAGGAGATGCACCTTTTTCGTTTATATGCTCATGCACAGAATGTAAGGTGCCTTTTTGGAGTGCATTGCATCATGTTAATGTTGCTGTTGTTAGCAATAACTCTTTGTTTAGCCGTTTGCTATGTTGATAGTAGAGAGATAGATTTTGTCTTACCTACGAAGTTGTCTTATAAAGTTGCTAACAATTTGTCTTTTTTTCTTTTTTCTCTTTGATTTTTCACAATGTTTGTTCAAACTCGAATTCAGATACCAATTAAAGGTTCTTCAGCTCAAGATCAGAGTTCAACAAGTGGCCCAAGACATCAGGTGCTTTGGGCTTGTTCTTGATGTTTTTTAGTATCGCCATATTGCTTTTATCGTCTTGTTCAAACGCCATTGTGAATGCACGATGCAGGTTCATATCAGCAATTTACCTGTTGAGGGAAAATCATGCGAGGTCGGTTAATGATAATACAAGTCCGAAGTCTTAACCAATCGGCCACACTGCCTCCACTGGATCACACCTTAGATTATTTGTTGCACATTGTGGAAGCACGGACAGCGTAGATCGTTAAAAGATTTGTAATCTCAACCCTAGTAGTGTGAACCGTACCTGTACCCAGGCTTTCCTTTACTAAAGATCCAAATCCAAAACGGGGACACATCAATTAGCCTTACATTCTCCACGCTGAATCAACCGACTTTGCGTTGTTGCGATGAAACATTTTACTCTTGGCGTGAATACTTTGTAGTCATACTAATGCCAGTGTTCTTTCTTGTCAGCAGTCTCGTTCACGTTTGTCAGTGCTAACATGTCTGTTCTTTTTTCCCTCTGTCTGCCTATTGATGACTTTGTTCTAGGACTCCTCCATCTTAAATCTAGGTGAAGCTGCCCCTGTTGACGGCAAAAAACAATCTTCGGAGCTCATGCCTCCCCCTCCAGTCATGCCTGTCATAAAGAAAAAGCCTATAGAGCACGAGTTTGCTGTTCCACTGCCTCTTAAAGATGTTTTGCCTGCTTCTGCAACCTCTTCGACCCGTAGTAGACCAGCAGGTAAGTCCTGTGCCTTGCCACTAACACTGCAGTTATACGTGTGTTTTTGACTGAGCATGAGCTCAAGATAAGTGCAAGGTCCACAATAACACCAAAGAGAATGAGGCTATTACTCAGTTATTTTGCGAAAAACACTCGCTCAGCAAAGGCTGTCTTTCTATGAGGAAAGGATTACTCCCAAGTCTTACCCTGGGAATCTAGGAAACCAGAAGGGGAATCTAAGAAACCAGAAAAGGAATCTCGCGCTGAAAAGATAGGGCGATCTTTCCTCATAGAGTATCAAACCGGAGTTTACGGTTAACTCTACTTTTCCAGCTTAAGGAGACAGCCTTACTATAGAACACAATCGTCTGCCCTATTCTCACCACTTCGCAGTTGAGGTTCTGGCTCGTGGTCGTATTACACACATGGCCCAATGGTCAGCATATTAGATTGTGGGTTACCTGTTGTCAAACACAGGACAGTTTCATAGTTAGCGTTTATCTCCGCCCAAGGGTACAAGTGAGCCCAGGTAAATTGTGGGGGCAACCCACCAAGGTATAGAGGTTAACTTGTTATGAGCTTCGTGTAGCATATGGGGTTGATTTATGCCATACTAAATATAGATGCTACAATAATTAGATATTTTTGCTGTTTTGCACGGTGTTCATACGGCACAGTCACCTCCAACCTCTACTTATTATTTTAAGACAAATGACAGTAACATCAGCACGTTGTGTTGTTTTGATTTTCATACTAATTTGAATTTTGTTCTTGTTTCATGTGAATTGCTGTGGACTCTGTGATGCCGGTAACCTAACTTCCTCTTTTTACTTTTACTTGAATTGTTCTGTATTTGCTTTGTGTTGCGGCCTGTCTTTCCTCCGACCACAGGCAAAAGAGAGGCTCCATCCTTGCCTTTGCCCCAAGCTGATGAAAAAAAGTCGAAGACAGAGGAGGACGTGATTGCCCAGGCTTCAGGAATAGCTTCGCTTGTAGCTTACGGTGACGATGACTCTTCAGATGAAGAAGGAGGAAGTCTTTCCCCAGACGACAACCCAAATGATGGCACGCAGAGCAAGGATGTCAGGAGAAATCGGCAAGGGACTACCAGGCTGCCATTTTGGGCCGTCAGAAAGTAGTTTTGTGGTGAATGTAAGGGGTGGCGAGGGTCGGGTGAGGAAAAGGGGTTGGTTGGGGAATTGTGTTTTGAAACGCTGTTCCAAATTGTTTTTTACTTAGGCAACATTTTTTCGCAATTTTTGTCGTGAAGGAGCGAAGTCTTATCAAGACTATAACTTTGTCTTTCATCTTTACAACGCTGCCACTGTCGAGGATTCTTCTCCGGGGATACTACTAGCAACTCCAAACAGCGTGCGCTCCGAGTGATTATGGTGTTTTCGAACTACTTTGTCCTTGTTCCTTGTTCCTTGTTCCTTGTTCCTTGTTTTTAATTTTTTGGGGGGGGGGGGACAGGGGAATGGAGTCCAGGCCGGCTTAGGGTAATTTCCCCCCTGCCCCCTCCCCCCCCCCCCAAAAAAAAAAATGAAAACATTTTCAGAATTTCTAAGTCTTAGAAGAAAATTGCAGGGGTGTTACCTTACGTAAACAGCTTGAATGGTAACGGCACACACTTTGGCGTGAAGAACTCGCGCCTTCGGCGTGCACGAAAATTGCTACTATTGACTTCGTGTTTGGGAACTCCCGGAAGCTCTCCCTAATGGGCGAATACTGGGCGGGGAAGGACGAGATTTCTATTTCCTTACACACACACACCCCCCCCTCCCTCCTGTTTGACCGTCGCTCACCTCCTTGGTTCAAATGTCTTTCTCTCTTCTCCCTAGCTCTCTACTGCCGCAAAAACAAAGAAAATACTGAGCAACCCCCTTCCCCTTCTCTCTAAAACTTTGAATGTTTTGTAGGTTATCAACACAGTTTAGATTGTAAGAAGAAAACAAACAAACAAAAAAATTTGGAATGAAGAATAAACAAGGGGTCTGAGAATGGTGATAAAGCAGATCATTTTCCACCCAATTTTCTCTGTATGTAATATTGGATTGATTATATCATCATCATCATTGTTGTTATTATTATTATTATTATTATTATTATTATTATTATTATTATTATTATTATTAGCATTTTCGCTATCACCATAATGAGTGAAAAGAAAGGGAAGGAATGATCAGTTTAGACTTCGTTGAGATCTTGAGCCATTTTCCTAAGAATAGCATACAATTATGGGAATGAAAAAAAGAAAGCAGCTTGACTAAGAATGTCTCTGAATGCGAAGCCCGTGATGTGAACGTGACCCGGGTGTCAGTTCTTAAAGTCCACCTGCAGTGGAATTCGTCCCTCGCTCGCGATGCAAGTCGGAAAAGTAGCAAAAAATTACAGGAAATAGAACGGCAAGGGACTTGATTTCGAATGACAATGGAACACATGACCAATTTTGTTAAGGATGACATACAGAGCCAGTCAGATCAAAGCGATTCACAAATAACGGTTGGTAATTTTTCGCTTTTTCCAACGTTTCTCTTAACCAACACTTCTATCTAGAGTTCAAGTGTTTAGTCTCGATTCCTCCTAAACGACGCTTAAAAGGAATGTAAGACCTCGAAAGACATACCTGCTGATTGTGTACCTTTGAGTTTCGATTTTCCCTTCGACTGCGAATAGGTCACGAGGAAAACCAACCCTTACCCGCCATCGAAGCAATATTTGTTTAAAGTTAGAAAAACTCGTAAAACCGGATTAAACATTGCCTTCTTTCGCCGGACGTCATAATTCTAATGTTATTATCTCTCGTGATGTCATCTATTTTTTTACCGCCAGTGAATGCATACGTTTGTTGAAACAAAAGGGTTAAATCTTGGAGGGCGAGAACTTACGGCTTTATGGGAGGAAGTTGTCGTTTATTTTTGCAATCGGTGATTTATTTTCTTCATAATTCATAGAATTGATCCTTTTTTTCGGATAATTTTTTTCTACCAGGAAGACGTGGATGGCTTCCACCAATAACTCTTAAAGTCGTAGGGTGTCCCGTTCATTCTTGACAGGATTTAGGTTCCAGAGCTTTTAAAATCCACTGTATATAGAATATTTTTAC